CCGTAACTACGGTCTTTACCATGAACTGCGTATTTTATTAGCTCACTCGTACCGTATCATAAGGGGGAATACACCCCACCGTTACATTCAGTTTCATATTTATTCTAGCTCTTTCATCACTTTTAGCCGTTGTTATCCTATGCGGTTTTAGTCTAGTGCTCGTATCAGTTCAGCCTATTGTTCATGTTTTATTTCTTAGTTAGGGTAGGAAAGAAGGAGGAGGCAATCACGCCACTACGTTGTTATTGCGTTACTTTCAGCGGTATCTAGCGCGCGCATGCGCCCGCCGCTCGTCTTTGTAATTCCATGCGGTTCTCGTTCGGTCTTCAATAAACCTTCGTTAAGACACAGTTTGTTCCTTATTGGCGCTAATTAACTTCTAATCTTCAATTAATGTTCACCAATTAAATTCAGTCAAATAATATCTTATTTTAATTAATCTAATTATTAGATTGTGTGAACTAATGGTCTTACTCAGTGGGTTTTTAGTTGACACACACCTCCAAAATTCATCTCTAGATCGAGTCTGTTTAATATAGTTTTGCTTCAAGTGTAATGAACGCTGCAAACCTAAATGGTAAAAAACTGTTACAAAATATAATTGCTAGGCTGTCAGAATACAAGCAATGAATCGAATGAGTTATGCAAGTTTTAATGTTTTCTTATAATACTTTTGCATGTATGTATATATCAACATATAGTATATGTTGATGAAAGGAATTATCAATGAAGGGCATCACTGTTAGTATCAGTGTGACCTGAGCAGGTCAATAAACCTCACCTTCTAAATGCTACCAACTGCTGGGCCTGCCGATGCAGCTATAGGACTAGATCCTATAAGTGCTTAGACAACAAGAAACCTCCTCCAGGAATTGCTCCCTCTGATATTGATGAACCATCAAAATGTTTCCATTTCATTTTATATCAGCCACTTAGAAAAATATATAACAGTTGAAAATGCCATCTTGCATACCGCTTTTTCTTTCATGAATAGCTTGTCTGTAAGAATGATTTGTTATACCCATGAAAAGAGCTGCATGATGTGCTATTCATCAACTTGAACCACGGAAATTTGTATACTCTATCCATTTGCCTATGAACACAGCAGTGCTTAATTTATTTCCCGTTTTTGTGGCATTCAGAGCTTAGCTTTGCTTGTTAATGAATTCCTTAATGACCAAAAAAATCAGAGTGTTTACATGTATTTTGCCAGTGTGCAGTTGTGACTTAAGATTGAGCCCAGTTGTTCGAAGGCCAAATAGCCCTTAACCTGGGGTTAAATTTAACCCGGGTTTCTTTTTCTTGTGCTCAAAAGCATTTTCTTGGATAATTTTTCATCAACTTGTAGACAAAAAGAATTACAACTGAAATGCTTTATAAGAAATCTGAATTCAAATCTCGCACTTAACCCTGGGTTATCTTAACCCAGCTTTGAACAACTTGACTTTGTATCCCCACTCCCACCAATAAGTTGCTTAACCCAGTGACAAGAAAACTGACACGATTGTATGCTAATTTCCATTGTTTTATAATTCTTACAAAGAGACTGGAATAATAGTTATCATGCCCCAGCAAGATCCCAGCATTAGGCCGAGCCTGACAACTAATGTTATGTGATACTTTTTTAAAAATAGACTGTTAACAGTTCAGGTCTGTAAAACCTTACATACCTAAAGTTTATAAAGTTAACTTCTTGAACATGATTCTAATACAGATTCTCATGTAGGTATTTTAAGACCTTTCCGAAGCATTGAACAATCATCATAACCCGAATCAAAGTTGAATTGTCTGTGAGACTAGCTTGTTGAATGATTATTCAGAGCTAACCAAAAACAAGTCAGCCAACAAACTAGGGTCTTTTTAGATAATTAACTAGCTAGCCTTTTGAATGTGTTCAGCTGACAATGTAAATGCATGAATTTGGAGCCCTTATTTGTTTTTGTGTTCTTCACACTCATTATTTACCTGGTGTTTAAAGACTGTCTTGGCACCCTCTCCCCCTATAAAGAAGCTACACGATTAGAATAGTAGAGAAAGGACAAATACATCTTAATGTTAATTTTCAAGTGACAAAATATAGGTAGTTTCTGCTCCAAACATAATACACAGTGCAAACTGGATTTCATACATTAAATTATAGCCTTTTCATGTAAGTGTCACATGAAAACAACGCACTTACAAGAATGTCCCTGTCATGCTACCCATTCATTAATTTGCTATCAGTTAATGAAAACCGTGGACAAATGCTTGTCGTGAACCTACATATAGCTGTAACCCTTTTAATTTGCTGTGCGCAATGTATGTGTGACATGTTGCATACCATGTTATTATGTCACTTATTACCCCATATGTGCATAGCATAGTTGTACGAAAACCATGTGCTTGTGAATGAAGTTGTGATGCATATAAGTCCTGTTTCTGTTTCTGTTTCCGTTTTCTAATTTAAGAGGATAGCATATTGATACAGTATGTGGTGTTTAAACTCAAAAGCTGTGCTTCTCTGACTGCCATGCACTCATCAGTTAACCCAAGGCCATTTATTTGTATTTTCTTTGCACTTAATATTATATTTCAGCTGATTTTTTGTAAATTTAAGGAAATCTTTGAGTGTACAAAAGAGAGAAGTGAAGCTGAAGGATGCATAGTATAATATGTAACAACATGTCAAAAGTAAATTCAGGTATAATAAATCTTTTTAACTTACAATAGGTTGATTTTACCTCCTAGTACCTAATTCATGAATAATTAGGGCGATATAGCTAGAAGATGAAGTAAATTGAGAATTAACCTAGGTTAAAAAATTTTATGCAATTTATGATAACATGTTGTGTCCTTTCTGGATCATAAAGCAAATTTATTACTGACCACAAAAGATCTTACACAGACTGGAGTACAAAAGGTTTTCCTGATTAACTAGGAGGCACCAGAAACATTTGGCATAGGTTGACACCTGAATTTTAAAGAGTATTTTACAGTACATGTTTTGAAGCCATCTTGCACTGCACGTGTCTGTTTCACCCCTAAAAGTGAGAAGTAACTGATTCCCCTTACAATATTGCAGCCTGTCATCAAACAAGATAGGAATAAGCAAAATGATCACCAAGTAAAAGAATCCATGAGTATAATATTCATCCCTGGGTATTGTTATTCATGACATTATAATAAGGTATGGGGAATCAATATGACCTGGGACAGTCCCAAGATAGACTGAATTGAATATAGGTAATCTGGAACCCGGCTTAAATATTACTCGCTGGAAAGGGTGTGTGGGTCGCTAATTGCCCTCCATGTCACCGACAAAGTGAAGTGAATGGGACAAAGAGTGCCAATGTTTCCTAGCTAGTATATAATATACTCATTTGCATATCATCAATTAAATCCCAGGGATCAGATATTTACAATTCAAATGGCACGTGAATAGTACATATTCTTCACAACAGTTACAGTATAAGAGGAGACCCAATGACATGTCTCTTGAGGACTATTAAGGGTGTAAGTGTAGCTGGGGAAGGTAGGTAATAAGAAACTGAAATTCCTCTAGACTAACAGAAAGTACAAAAGCAATTTTTTGGAAAATGTTGAGGAAATGCTGAACAGTTTGCCTCCAAATTTTCACGAGGTGAAAGGGGGTGGAGAGTAGGGGTTACCCATGTTTCCATCAGAAATGGCATCCTGCCAAGTTGCCCCTCTTTCTTACTGACCTCTGCTTTGTAACATTTTCCATGAGAATTTACCCTTTTCGTGGCAAATGATGAAGTCTTCATAACTAGGATATCAAATAATCCCTCATTTTGAAGACTGCACATTGATTGCTTGATGGAAATTTAGTTCAATTATTCACTATTATAGAATGTTTCCAGTCAATTCACTTAACATGACTCAACACTGCTCAATACAAAATATAATTAAAGAACGTTGTTACACTAGTCACAGACTCAGAAGCACTGGGCCCTTCATCTACCACAACAGGCCCTTTGCACGATGACATCATTTTACTACTACGACCAGAATCCTTCAGGGTTTTGCTTCCTTGTGCAAATTAGGGCTTTCGTTATTCAAACCTCACTGGGATTACAAAATTTCAACAAAAAGGATTGTGATGACGCCATCGTGCAAATGGCCTATTGCCTTTACTTGTAGTTAAATTTCAAGAGTCTTTGTCACGGAGTTGCATATTAAACTGTCAAGAATTCTCCCAGCCCCTCGAGTGTTTATATCAGCTTTGCAAATAGAGGAAAAAAGTTTTCTACTGCTTTTATATATATTAAGCTTAACTTTCCCGAGAAAAAAACGCAAAACGCTTTGTTATATGGCACTGATTAAAAGAGAAATTCTTACCAGTCGCGAAGTCTTGTACGCCGCTTTGCACGCTTAATCAGTCCTGATCGTTTTATAAAAAAGATGCTTTCCAAAAAAACCGTTTTTTTTGTTTTTTTTTTCACTTAAAATGTCAGCTTAAGCGAAAATAAAATTGACACAGCATTTTTGTACAGATTTTCCAAGTGTCAGCCGACGAGGGAATAGGTAAATAATGTCAACTTGCATTGTCTTGCGTGTGTAGAGCGCGAAAAGCAAAACGTGTTGACGTCACAGCCATGTTTATCCGGGGTTTCCATACCTTACTCTCCTGGCTAGTCTGAGAGCGCTTACTATCGATATATATTTACTTATTTTATAAAGCGATTTACTGAACAATTTGCCAAATCCATTTGGGTTAGCTGCGAAAGATGTTTATTCTCAAGAAGCCCACATTTTACAGTCATTAGTTCGTCAAACTTTTTCTGACATTTAAGGTTGGGCGCAGTCGCAGGCGACCGGAAGTCCGCGATTTGCGCGCGGAGAGTCAGTATAAGCCGGATACCAACCGGATGTAATTATGTGACCTGGGTCACATAAAATATTCATGTTGGGTAAACGAATGCAAGTTTACGTGATTTGCGCGGCTTTTATAATTAAGGCTTTTTACTGTTCTGAATGTTTTCACTTCGATCGTGTAGAATATGGAGGACGGTAAACAGGAACATAGCATTTCAGAGGAGGGTGATATGGCACAAAGCAAGCCAAAACAGCGAGGAGTCGGCTGTAATCCTTTTAAAAGAAGAGATGAAAAATATTCCAGTGAAAAATACGAGGTACCTTTGGTAGGTTTCGAACCCGAAGCCGCGAAGCAAAGACCCTCGTTTGTTTATGAAGATCCAGCTCTAGAGAGTAGTGAGGTCGTAACCCCTATATCACCTCATGCTTTAAAGTTGTTTGAAGCTATCCGAGAAGATGAAATGGAACTGGTTGAAGCGGAGCTTTCTACTCTAACAGATAAGCGCGAAATCGATAAATTAGGCGGACATGGGTTTGCCCTAATCCATGTCGCTGCTCGGTATAATTTCAGCAGAATAGTGACGACACTACTAGATCATGGAGCGAATATCAACGTGGGGACGGGTGACTATCGATGGACGCCTCTTCATCTAGCAGCCAGGTGTGTTGAAACATTTAAACGTTATATTCTACATTACATCTATTCTAACGTTTCAGAATCGACCCTTGAAATTTACATATTGCTTACAAGAATCACTGAAATTATCGCTAGCTTGCGTAATCGAATGTGTGCAACACGCGTGAAGAATTTGTTTATTGCATTTGTTATTTTTAGGGAAAGTTCATTTAATATTGACAAGGGGGGATGAAGATATTGAAACTCGAAGCTTGAAATTTTAGCAGCCCCCCTCGCTAGCGGTTCAATTTTTTAGGAGCCCCCTCCTTGGTAGTCGAAAAAATTTCAGAGCCCCCCCACCTCCTCCTTCAATTCCTTCGCTCCCCTGAAAAAAGATTGCTAGACTGTATTAAATATATTTACCGTTATTGTCTTCAATGGTTTATACTATGACAAACTTGAGATACAGTTGTGTTACAATTTTCTAAAGCATTTTTGGGATGAACAAGAGTGTAATAATTACTGAGACTACATTTGTTATATCTGTGAACCACGTGATATAGCTGAGTTGCACAGGTCATGAAATTGTTGAGTTGAAAACCATCCAATCTGTATGATGAATGTGTTGGTTTGTTGGTTTTGGACCCCCCCCCTCCTAGCGCAACAATTTTTTCAGAGCCCCCCCTTCGGGTGTCTAAAAATTTTCGGAGCCCCCCCTCAATATCTTCATCCCCCCCCTTGTCATATTAAATGAACTTTCCCTTAGGAAACTAACTTTTATTGCTTTCTTTTGAAGCTGAAGGAGAAAACAATCCAATATTCCCCTCTCTCTCCTCTCATTTGAAATTTACGTATTGTATGTTGTAAATTGACAAATCAGATATTAAAAGGAAAGTCATCACATACTGTACTGTAACAATTTTCGTATTGTTTGCAATACATTTTTTAACCTCAAATTAAATTAAAAGCATCTCGATATTGATGCCTTTCTTGGATGAATTACGTGACTTCTCTCTTAACAAATACACTATCAAGTGCTTTTATTGGATTAATTGATTTGCAAATATTTCTAAGTTTGACGGCAAGAAAGTCTCCGCGATTGAGTTTTGTCAGTTCTTTCACACACACAATATCGATGGTAATTTAAATCAAAATTTGAAGGAAGGAGGAAAGCTTTGTTACGACTGATGTAGAATGAATTCGAAGCGTTAAGTGATCAGGGCGTGACTGTGAGGCTGTGGTTTATAGTTTTAAGTAAAGTACCCAGTTTTCTGGAAAATTTCACCGTTGGTTGTAAAACAACCAATCTGCCCTGAGAAAAAGACGGCGAAGACGAATTTTAGCGTTCCCTAAAACAGTCAACCCCCCGGGGGGGGTGGGGCTCATGAGAATTCTTGTTGAGGGTGTGCTGCCCGGTTCTCCAAATCCTGACCCTACTTCAGACCTAGCCTGGCCTTTAAGAAATTATGTCATCACAGGTCTGGCTCCTGGTCATCATTACTTAGATTAGAATAGCAACAAAAAAATTCTTAAACCATTTGGAATTCGCATATTTCTCTTTACACTCTTAGTTTCCTCGAAAACCATACTCGATTCCAGACCAAAATGAGCCAAGTCTGTACCCGTTTTCAGACCAAACCCGTGCTAAAACCCTACCTTTTGGGGCGGCACATACCTATATGGCTTATATAGGGGAGTACCCCCCAGGGGGGGGGCAGCCCAAGCCGGTCCCTAAACAGTGATGGTAAACCGTTACAGCTTACAAAGAAGTTGTTAAAAAATTAATATAAATCATTATTATTATTATTATTATTATTATTATTATTATTATTATTATTATTATTATTATTATTATTATCTCTTTTATCACAGTCTTTTCTGCTGTTCTCTTTGTGCATCAGCCAGGTGCAAACCATGCACCTAGAGTGTCAGTCACTCAAGTCAATCATTCTGTTCATACACTGAGCACCTCTCTGAGGATTCGCGCAGATGCCAGCATGCAGATCTTTTGAATCTCTGTCATAGTAGCTCTCTCTGATACTTTCTTGATGTTTTCTACCATACCCTTCTTCACTGAACCAAGCACACCAACAACCACAGGGATCACTACGGTTTTCATATGCCACATTCTCTGTATTTCTAGTTCTAGGTCTTTGTACTTGCTTTTTTTTTCAGTTTCCTTCAGTGCGATGTTTCTATCTGATGGAACAGTCATATCAATCAGTTTGCAGGTGGAATTCACTGAATCTTTAAGGATGATGTCTGGTCTGTTCGCTAGTTCTATCAGTATTGACTGGCATGTCCCACATGATGGTGATGTTGTTATCTTTATTGTGCATCACGGTCTCAGGCTCGTGTTCGTACCATTTGTCTGTAATCTCTATATCGTGATCTATACAGATGCTCCAATGGAGATATGCTGCAGCATTATTGTGCCTGGAGATGTACTCTGTTTTGGCTAATACCTCACATCCAGATACAATATGGTCCACCATCTCTTCATGTTGCGAACACATTCTGCATTTGCTCTCCACTTGCTGGCCACATATTACTTTCTGGTTGTTTCTGGTGTTTATTGCCTGGTCTTGAGCTGCTACAAGTAGTCCCTCTGTTTCTCCTTTCAAATTATTTGACAACCATTTGTTGGGGATGACTGTGTCTACATGAGGCTTCCCTAGGATCTTTGGATACTGGCCATTCAATGCTTTGTTTTTCCACTTTTTTATTGTAATACAAGAACATGACTTCAATGTAATCCTCTCGTGTCCATTTCTGTCTGGTGTTTCTTCTATCTGTGTTGGTACCTGCTCGTTCTGGTGTGGAAGGACCCTGTTGGGAGAGACTCTGAGATGGGTTGGCCGCCACTGCAGGTTGAGAGGGTAGATCAGTAGACAACTTTTTGACCTCAGCCCCTGACCACTCACTGAGGGACGCGCTCCTTGATGACCCGCGCGACGAGCGATGCGGTATGAATTCCTTACATTTCTACTACTCATATTGGTGAAGATGCTATTTGACCCATAGCTGGAGAGAGGCTATCCCGCGCCAGATCTCAACTTGGTATTTCTAACCCTCTCGGGTTTATTATTATTATTATTATTATGAATGAATAGTTTTTTCTTTTTTTCAGGCGAATTAATTGTAAATAGGGTTTTAATAATTAGCATTGTTGTCAATAAAATTTTTTCATTATTTTACATTAGTATTATTATTATTATTATGATTATTATTATTATTATTATTATTATTATTATTATTATCATTATTATTATAGTATTAGGATGGGTAATCAAATGGTGACCAGTGGAATTAATGAATAATTTCACGCGTGATTTGTCCTAAAGGCTAGGGAAATTATTGCCCCCGAAGGGTCCCGGACCGTAAATCCCCCCGCGTAGAGAAGTATCGTTTTTTACATTGTATTGGTAATAGAGGAATTAAATTAACTGCAAAAACCGTGGGCGAAGATCCTGCTAGTTAAAAACATTGGATCGCCAGAAAGAGATCTAATCAGCCAAAATATTAAGAACCTAAAACGAGAAGTCCAAAGACTCCTGCGATGCTGATCAGAACGACTTGTTTTGTTTTTTCATAACAATATTTCGGCTCACCGTACCAGCGTTCTTCAGGCTTACAGATGTTACTGCACTTATGATAGGAATGTGTTAAAAGTTATACTTTTTAAGCTACAGGTGAAACACGCTCCATCATTTCACACATCACTTGTAACACTGAAAACGTGATCTACATGGCTCAATGTAACCGTTGTAATTTACAATGTATAGGTGAAACTAAGTAACGCATCAAAGACAGATTTAACGAACACAGACGTGCAGTCCACAAAACTAACATTAATTCTAAACCCACTACTGTTTCTCAACACTTTCTCTCTCACTCTAACCATTCTCATACTGACATGAAGTTAATCCCACTAGAGAAAATTCATTCTTCACGTGACTCAGTTCGTGAGGCTAGGGAGTCGCATTTGATAGATAAGGCCATGACTCTTGAACCTAATGGCCTAAACCACCGTGACGAATTACTATATAATATTGTGTTTCTTATCATAAGTTCAGTAACATCTGCAAACCTGAAGAAGGTTGGTATGGCCAGCCGAAATATTGTTATGAAAAAACAATACATGTTGTTCTGATCAGCTTTGCAGTAGTCTTTGGACTTCTCGTTTTTGGTTATTAGTAATATGTAAATCTTCTCGATTTGAAGAAACTATGCGCGCAAGGTGGTCCCGGTTTATTTTTCAGCAAGCGCGCGAAGTGGTCTTGGCTACTTCTGTTCTGCAAGCGCGCAAGGTGGTATCGGCAAATTCTGGAAACACGTCGTTGACTGGTCAGCATTAGATTCCATCCTCCAGAACCACCTTCCCCTTTTAGCTACACTTACATAAAATCTCCAAGTCTCTTAAAATTTCTACTCTTCTAATCTTTTGGGGGATCCAAATGTAAATTTGTTTAATTTTATGCTTCTCCTGGTCGATTATGGTTACGTTTTGTGTTTTACTGCGAACGAGCTCCAGCAAAACTCAAATGTTTTGTTTAAAGAATAATATATTCCAGGAATATTGACGGATTCATCACGTTCACGACCCCGTTTACATTTGACCTTTGTGGCCTTTTTTCTTTTGTCTGTCATTAGTGAACAATGGATAAAACAATATAAATACTAAGTCGACGAATCAGAGCTCGTCAAGAAATTCTTGGAGGCGTCGAAGGCCTTCGGCCTGACCATCAGCCTCAGTAAGACCGAGGTACTGTACCAGCCTGCTCCAAACACCACACCCGTGGAGCCAAACATCAGCATCGATGACACTCCGCTGGCAAATGTCGACAGCTTCAACTACCTGGCCTGGACAGCATCATCTTAAACGACGGATTCCTGGATAAAGAAGTCACGTCTAGGATCAGCAAAGTAAGCCAAGCGCTAGGGAGGCTGCGCGCAAAGGTTCTCAATCACCATTACATTTGCCTCTCTACGAAGCGGAAAGTCTACAGAGCTATAGTCTTGACCGCTCTGCTTTGTGAATGCGAGACTTGGACACTAAACCGAAGGCGTGTCAAACAGATGGAGAACTTTCACTTGCGGGCCCTCCGTTCCATACTTGGCATGCGTTGGCAAGACCGTATCACAAACCTAGAGCATTCTCTGCGGACATCACAGCAACGGAGCTCCAATGCCCCACCTGCTCCTGCAGACTCTGCGCTTCCAGACTGGGTTTGCAGAGCCACCAGAGAATCCATGGATGATCACACAACACGCAATCCACAACAGACAGTCTTCTTCGGACAAGATGGACAACCACCAAACAAGCACGTTTAAAAGACGAGTTCTTTCGAAATTTGCGCCACATTTTATGGTCCGCACTTCTTTCACTAGCAAAAGAAAATAAGTGTTGTGACCTCTCTAGAACTACAATGTAAACGCAACTAAATCACACGTGTCCAAGAACACGTATCGGGAATAATGGTGTACATATTTCTATATTTTGTTTGATTAGCTCTTTTAGGCACTTAATAGAGTGGTATTATTCAAGCTACTGATTTAACCAAGTCCTCTTGTTTGTCTTAGATTCAATGGTCTCTCCACTGTTGTCGATGTTCTTCTGCCACGAGGCGGTGATCCCTCGCTGAGAGGGAAAAGTGGGAACACCCCACTTCACTTAGCGGCGCGTGGAGGACATGAAGAGATCGTTAAAGTTCTTTTGGATCAACCGTCCGTTGAGGTTGACGCTAAAGATAATTCTGGAAAAACTGCTCTTCATTTTGCCTGCAGCGAAGGTCACAGAAAGGTTTGTCAAATCTTGTTGAACTTCGGAGCGGACATAAAAGCGATTTCAGCGGACAAGACAACTCCGCTTCACAGTGCCATTTTCAATGGACATTCAGAGGTTGCGATGATGATTTTGAAGCGAGGTTAGAGGTTATTGATTTAACAGTAATTGCAGTGATTCCTTCGGAGTGTAAAGAGTCCTTGTTTATTTATTTATTTATTTATTATTTATCGAACGATACCCTGTGGGTCATTAAATTTAGGTCTTCCTAACGAGTTAGTCATATAAATCTGGAAGCGTCTCACTGTAATGCAAGTCCTCTGTGAAATTCTGGTGATGACAGATAAATGCTGACTGCTAATTTGCTGGATAGCACACATTTCACTTAAACGTTCAAATATGCACTACTAAAAACTTTATGGAGACATTCCCTGATCGTATCAACCTGCTTATCTGGCGGTAAGTGAATAGGTTGGTGCTTTAACCGCCGCGCGTACACGGTAGCTAGCTGCGACGTTTTTCGTCTGCTGCGGGATCTTAGTTTGACTCGTCCCTCGCTGCTCGCTGCTTTATACCCCAAACAAAAACAGCAACAGCACTCATAGAAAGAAGTCGTAGCGCAGATAAATCCCGCCACCTACCTAGGCTAGTGTAAACATAGTGAGATTGAAGAGAGCACAGAGCCTGGGGACTAGACTCCTAAAAGTCGTCTTTGGTCGTAATAATGGGCTGATCGTATGGTGAAGGTGTACTGTGTAAGTGAATTCTCCTCTTAACTGTCATTGTTTTTGTACTTTACAGCTGCCGACAGAGATGTAGATACTAACGAGAAAGAACTTGTGGGAACTTGTGACTTACAGGACACCACAGTCTTGCACATGGCCGCATGGAATAATGACGTCAAGACTGCTGAGTTATGCCTTGAGAAAGGCGCTGATGTCGACTATCTTAAGTGTGGCTCGGTCACTGCCCTTCACATAGCGGCAATGAAAGGAAATCTTGAGGTGGCGGATTTGCTTATTTCAAGAGGTGCTGATGTGAACAAGAAAGACGGGAACTCCAAAACACCTCTCCACAGGTTAATTCAATTTGCATTGAATAAAGATTGTTCAGACTAAGCAATACTGAGTACTTTAAGTGTTGAATGAACGTTCCATAGAATTTTGCCCATAGTCTAGAAAAATAGCAAAAAAAAGGCTAAACTAGAAGAATTTTGGTGGTAACGTTGTAGGTGACCTAAATGTTTGTCAGGTAGTCGCACGTGAAACAAATCGAACAAACGCAAATTTTCGTTCTAGGTCTCAACAAAAATGATTATTTAATCAGTGAAGAACATTCTTGTTTCCAGATTCATGTCGGTTAATTCGCAAATCAATATTCCCGGCATGACAATACTAATGTTCTAGTTTTGCAGGACCTTAAAAGTATCTCCATGTTGTCTTCTTAATTACCAGTCTGGAACTGAAAAAGAAAAAAAAAACAGCGTTTCGTAAATTTTATGCTTCAATCACTTAACTAACCCTTTGCTTATCGTTTCCATGTAGGGCCGCTATGTTTAACCAGTTAAACCTTATTGAATTTCTTGTGGAAAAGGAGGCAAAAATTAATGCTCGTGACAGTGAAGGTCGTTCTCCTTTCTTGAATGCTGTTGCTGCTGGGCACGTGGACTGCGCCCGAGTTCTTCTCAAAATTGGAGCTGATTTGAGCGCAGCGGACTTGCATATGAAAACCTGTCTTCATATTGCAGTAGAGAACGAGCACTTAGAGATGCTATCAATGCTTTTGGAAAGTCGTGCGGGGGTAAGCTGTTTAAACAGAGGAGATTTGAAGGATAGAGTTCCTCTGCACTACGCGGCGAAGACAAGAGACATCAAGGTAACGTTGGAACGGAACTGTTAGAAAGCAATTCAACAGCACTTTTTTATCACCGCCAGAGAACTTGACATAACGGCACCTTTACATAGAAGTGACTATAATAAAGTGGAACCTCTATAAAAGGGCGTTCTATAAGCCACCACCATTTTCCTCTCTTTTTACCAGAGTCTAGGCGGAGAAAAGTTTCAGTAAATCACCGTAAACAGTACCTCTATAAAGCAGCCACCTGTTCTTTCTTCGAGGCTAACCGCTTAATAGAGATATCTTTAATAGAGGTCCGCCGTACTGTATTTAAGGCAGAACGTGAAATTCGTTCGAAAGAATACTTTTCCCGGCTAACTGGTTAATGAATCGCAAGTCATAGCTATTTTCCAAATGTACACCTTCCCAACATCAGGGAAGGTAGTCTGGTAGTCTGACTCTCTCATGTTTGCAAATGGTGGTGGCGGACGGGAATGCCATTTATGTGATAGGGAGCCTACATCAGTCAGTTTTTTTCTAGGACAGACATTCTTAGGCATAGACCATCTTTACAGCTGTACACTTCAGGGAGGTGTCCATTGAGAAAGAGTTGACTGTATTTTAAAACAGTCGAACTCACTCTATATTAGGCGTTTTGTGTTGAGTGATGTACTGACAAGTTTGTCCGTCGATACTCTAGGAACTTACCGATAGATGGCAGCTTGACCCTTTAAGCTCCAGTATCTCTGCACTTTTCTTTATACATTCTTGCGGTACTGCTCGAGAAAATTTCTTCAAACATCAAGACATTTCATCTCGGGACCTGTAGTGTTGTTGTTGGGAGAAATTGGTAGCTGTTCACTATTGGAGCTTAAAGAATTAATGACAGGCCGCTTAATAGAGATTCGGCTGTAAATGCATTAAAAACAATAAATGACACTGACTCTGGCATACGGATTCATGTTTGTAGATTTTAGAGCTCATCTTATCCAAGCAGAAGCGCTTGGGCTTCAATGATGAGAGTAACAAGACACCGCTTCACCTTGCAGCAGAAAAGGCCTCATCCAAACACGTCGAAGCTCTGGCAAAGCGCATGTCTGAAGTAAATGCGCGAGACGATCTTGGCCGAACGCCATTGCACAGCGCTGCAAGGAAAGGGCAGAGGCAAGAGATATATTCTAGAATATTCTCATTTTTCTTCACAGTTATCGCTGTTTTTCCATTATGGGTGAAAGTGATCTTTGCTACTTGTTTGTATGCAGAGTGGACCGTAGATCAAAGATGTCCTCACAGCAAGCCATAGTGTCGTAAAACTTGGAAACTCGAACCTCAAAAATTTTGTGCGACTATTAAGTCGTCCTTTTGTTTTGAAAGAATGATTAAAATCGATCACGATTACTCGAATAGATAAATTTTATGTTTTGATTGCCTCCTGAAATACCACGTAAGATTGCTTTTATCCCATCAATCCTAAAGCGCTTGAAAAGATGGCGGGTATCGTGAATAAGGTTTATTCCGTGAGACAATTACCATTTCCATCTTTCCTTTATTCTATTCACCATTGGCATATCCTCCATTATGCACTTTGCTTAACCCCCCCGGCCAAAAAAGCATAAACTTTGCTTTTCATTTATGGACTTCCTTTTTTTAAGCGGGGGGGCGGGGAGGAGAGAGCAAGGTGTGCTATGGGAGATTGCAAGTGGCGAATAAGGGAATCCAAGACGGTTTTACAAAGCTACCTGCATTTTGCATTTGTTTTCCTTTGTAATAGGAAATCCTGTCTGGTACTTCTTAGCATGGGAGCTGAGGTCGACAGCAGGGATAACAAGTTTCGAACACCTCTGATGTGGGCTTCTCAGGGAAACCACACAAAATGTGCCGATGTTCTTCTTGACTCCAAAGCTTGTGCTGACCTACAGGATGTCGGTGGTGATACTGCTTTGCATGTAGCGTGTGGTCAGGGTCATCCAGCTATTGTGACTTTACTGTTGGACCATGGTGCATCCTCAACATTGAGAAATAAGCAAGGTCTTGCTTGTTTGGAAGTTGCCGCGAAAGCAGGATCGTGTGATGCCGCCATGGCGATTGCCAAACACGAAAGGTTAGCAGAGTAATTTTCACTCAGTAATAATTAGCTTAAACCAACACGATAACAATAACGTTACTACAAATTGCAAATATATTATCCCACCGTTAATTTTGTAATACCTGCTTGAAACCCCACCTCTCCCCACACCCCAAACAAACAAAGAAATGGGTTTGAAGCCCACGAAGACTCGTTATAACTTAACAGATGGTAATCCAAAGGAGTTTTCGAAAGGACAATAAAGTAATTGGAAATACACGACACAGACAAGGATCGCTATTTTCATTTTCAATTCCTGAAATAAAATTGGTTGGTTTTTCGTCTCTCGATGAAAAGAAGCGACCTACGTTCTTTGCGTCAGTATACAGATAGAAAATCATGTTTGCCAAGTCTGGACCGTTGGAGAGTCCACGTTATGTAACACTCCTAATTAAACAATTTATAATGTTTTTTATGAATACTTCATAATATATTGTGTGTGGGGAGATGTCGAATGTCAAGTCATTTTATTTGTTTTTACCTGCAACTTTTTAAGGTGGAAGGAACTTGAGCAATATCAAACATCAAACGGTAAAACCGCAATCTCACTCCTGGTTGAAAACTTCCCTGGAGCAGCTGAAGTTGTTCTTAATCAGTGCGTACGTTGCTCGGACCATCTCAACCCAGCCGACCCAGACTACGCTGTAACTTATGACTTCAAGCACCTAGATCCTGGTCCAGATGCTGACATGTCGAGTGGAAGGTTTTCTACAGTTCAGGTGATGATAAAGCACAAGCGTGAACGACTTCTTCTACATCCTCTTACGCTGAAATTTAATGAACGAAAGTGGCAGAGTTTAGGAAGATATGTCTTCTTGTTCGACCTTGTCACTTATCTCTTGCTTATGGCGCTCTTTACTGAATTTATTGTCCGTCAAAGGAGAGGCCAGACCTTCAAACCCCCGGAGCGTGTGCCACCAAAGCGCAATGGCACTCGAGGAGTTCTCATCAAGCAAAAACCCTCAGATATTTACAATAGAGACGACGCCTTCACAGAGACCATTCCGTTTGTGATCTTGATTTTCTCCCTGCTGCACATATGCAAAGAACTGTTGCAAATCTACGTTCAGCGTTGGAACTACTTCAAGGACCTGTCTAATTACCTGGACTGGACCCTTTATATCACTACAGCATTGTTTATGGTCCCCTATGTCACAAATCCAGCCGACCTCGACGATTGGTTTGGCCGTATGCAGGATCCCCGAGTACTTTGGAATATTGGAGTTCTTGCAATCTTCGTGTGCTACACCAACATGATGCTGTTTCTCAGAAGATATCGCTTGTTTGGCACTTACATCTCAATGTATATTGAAGTGACGAAGACTGTATTCCAAGTTATGGTTGTGTTTATTTTTCTGGTTCTGGGATTTGCATTGGCTTTTTACGTCCTCTTTAAAGAACAGGTAAGTTAGTTCTCAGGTATTGTTGGGTAATCAGTTAATCTTGCGAGAAAAAACAAGAATTGTGTTATTAGTTGATTTAACCCTAAAGAAAAGATAAGAAAGAAACCATGAATTTTGGGATCGAGAAAACTGTCCCTTTTCCTTAATAGAGATTTCTCTTCAATAGAGCTTGATACAGAAGCAGATACAAAGATTACATGAACATTTTCCGGGACCAAATTTTGGTATTCTCTGAATGGAGGTGTCTCACAGGGGAGGTTCCACTGTATCAATCATATCCAGGAAGACTATTAGCAAGATGACGTCAATTCAGTTCAACTACGTACTAGTATCCTTTGCTTTGAAGGATCCGAACTCCCAAAGGTTCTCTTGTTAGAAAAATAAATAATAAGTAATTAAAAACAATAATAATTGTTATAATTACTGTTGATCGAAGAGCATTATGACAGTTACGAAAACGTTTCTCGTTGGAACTGGTGCGGGGCCAGTGTATGCCCTATTTAGCCCTCTCGAGGATATTTATAGCTTCAAATAACCAAAGGTGCTAGAAACACTACGGTCTTGAACACGCTTCACCTCCAAAACAAGAACCTTTTTTCTCCATTTTTGATTTCCTCTGTCAGTTGCTGCCTTAATGTAGGGAGAACCAGAAAATCGCGTTTTGTTGCCTGGCGAAAACGCATCGAAACCGGTGCCTTGACTTTTTAATCTTACCAATCATTTCAGGCAACCTGTGACGATGTTTGGCTCTCCCCTACTTCAAGGTAGTAACACAGTAAGCAGTAGAAGTCTTTTTTTTTCAACGAACGCTGCTCATTGCACTAAATTGCCAAGAGTCGACTAATGCTGTAGCTCCACTGTTAGTATGCACGTATATGTAAACTGCATGAAACCCAATTCGAGCGAGCGCTCGAAACGTTAGCTTGTGAATCAAGTCTAAACTGTGGCCGATTTGGTTTATCTGCTCAGTTGGTAAAACCGCATTTTATCTCACCATTATAATTCAGATTGGATTCCATACAGTGCATCATTCCCTGCTCCGCGTGCTCGTGATGATGATTGGTGAACTGGACTTTGGATCAACCTTCATAAGCACCATTCGCCAGAGGAGTGAAGCGAACAACAATCCGTTGAATCCATTCCCTCCTTTTGGATTTTTCTTCCTTTTTTTGTGCTTGTTTTTCCTTACTATCGCTCTGATGAACCTTTTGGTAAGAAACTAGTTTGATATGTATTTTTAACAGCTGAAAGAATAGGCTGAGAAAACAGCCAACGTTTCTCGACGCCACCACTGGTTTCCCCGCGAAATGACGTCTGAGAAACGAGTACGGAAATTCCATACTGATGACCTGTCACTACCCTGATCTGGGTAGTGCTTCTAATTGGTTGAAGCAGATTTCCCTCGTTGCACGACCAATCAGAAGCACTGACTAGATCTGGGAAGTAAAACGTCATTAGTATGGAATTTCTGCGCTCTTTCCTCAGACATCATTTCGCAGGGAAACCAGCCGTGGCGTCAGGAAATTTCGCAGGCTGTTTTCTGAGGCTGTTGAACAGCCGCCTGTCGTAGTTTTCTGCGCATATGTGGGATTTTGCGTTTTAAGTCAACAGAAAAATTTTCAAACTTGACTTTGGCAAGAAAAAATACTTTTCCAGCTGGTGTCGATTTCCGTAGAACTGTGTAAGATATGTGAAATTTGTCGGAGAAATCACAGGTCATTTGTAAAGGTTCCGCACAGGACTCTCTGTGTCTTCTCAGTCTAAATCTAAATGTGGTTTAGTCGGCAACATCCACGAGGGACATCACGCCCAACTGCCAAACACTTGGGATTGCAGAATAAATTTATTAATGAAGGTATGATCCTCACAGTGGTAATAGACCTTTTCACCGATACGGCGGCCAAATTGAATTAATTCGATTTAAGGAGTATTATAGGATGCCCAGGGGGCATGAGCACATTTCGTTTGTATTTTCGAGCGCTTTTCGGGACATTTTTTCTTAAAGTTTTCTTAGAATAAGATTGTAATGGGAAAAAAGATCCTTGTGCCGTGTTTGGATGTAATAATGATCGCCTTTTTCTGGTTTAGTATTAGAAATATGGTGTTTCACTGTATATTCCTCGGGAAAAGGCGATCATTATTACATCAAAACACGGCACAAGGATCTTTTTTCCACTTACAATTTTATTCTAAGAAAACTTTAAGTAAAAATGTTCTGAAAAGCGCTCGAAAATACAAACGAAATGTGCTCATACCCCCTGGGCATCCTATAATACTCTTTAAATCGAATTAATTCAATATGGCCGCCGTATCGGTAAAAAGGTCTGTTGTAATTTAAGCAATTGTAAATAAACCCGAAAAAAAATGTCGGGACTTCAACGGGATTCCAACCCACGGCCTCTGCGTTAGCGCTGCAATGCTCTACCATTTGAGCTATGAAGGCCTTCCACAAGGAGCAGGTCAATTTGTTGAGTTCATCTTTACCGTGAAAGGAGTGAAATATGAAAAAGATGTAAGCAGCTGACACCGAAATACCAATTTTAAAAGAGGATATGATCGTCGCAGTGGTAATTGCAATTACCACTTGTTGGGCATTACAAGTTGGTTATTTCCTTGAAACAGCTCGCTCAAGACGGTGTTAGTTAAAGCCGTAAAAGTGCATTTTAATGAGAGCCAAAAGAAGCTTTGCGACTACTTCGTACTCTTGTACCGCTATTTCAAAAAAAACATTTTAATAAAGAAAAAACGAAATAGCCGCATTTACTGGAACGTTATAGCCACGGCGCTCAGTTACCCTTAAAGGTTCTCCGATGTAGCTCGTTTTCGAAGATGGTGACGTGGGGTTTGCCGAGCAAAATTCGCTGCGTTCAACAGTTCTTAATCACATGTAATGGGCGGTTGGTATCAGTGGTCCAAGAATTAAAAAATGTTGGGCGCATGACGTTTTTTTTTTTTCAAATTTGGCTAGTGCTACTATTTCATAACAAGTTAAGCCAATCAGAAACGGAGAAATCATTATTTTTTGTGACCGAGTCAGACGATATACGAAGTTTGCTTTTACAAATCTTTATTTTATAGTACCGTACAATTTTCCTGTAGGTTGGTCTGGCAGTGGGAGACACCGAGACAATGAAGAAATATGCCACGATCAAGAGACTTGGGATGCAACTAGAATACCAGTTTGAAATAGAGGAGGCGTATCCCAAATACATCATCCGAAAGGTTTACGAAAGGGTTTATGTAGAGAAGCCCAACAAGCTGCCCAGAGTCAATAGGTATACCTCATTTTGACCAAATCGTAGTAAAGCCTGGTTTTCACCAGCGCATAAGCATAAGCACAAGCACATGCGTAAGCAAGTGAAAACTGGATCGACATAAGCATAAGCACAAGATAAACGTTCAAGTTCGTTATTCTTGTGCTTGTACTTATGTTTATCTGGTAGCTTTGACTAGTGAAAACTGGGTCGACATAAGCACAAGAATAAGCACAAGGCCGTGGGCCAATCATAGGTCACTTTGACCCAGACCTCATGCGAACATATCAAAAGCAATATGGCGGACGCTTCGTCCGCCATCTCGTTTATCATTGGGTTGAGGAGAGCTGGTATCGAGAATTGAGTCAAATATGCTATTCTGCGCGTGCGCATGTCCTTGTGAAAACCAGGCTTGAAAAATCGTGTGTGTGTATGCTCACATAGAGAATTCGTTCGTGGAACACTCATTTAGCTGTCACTACAAGTTTCCAGTCAGTTGTCCTTTTTATTACGTGTATTCTAAATATCGGTTATCACGAAGTAGCTTTAGATATTTTCATGCATTTTGCCTATAGATTAAGTGTGACCACGAAATGGCTTTGGTTGCCAGGAGTCGCTGGGATACAAAGGCTTTGCCCCGCCTAATATTTGTATTAGCCATTACTGCCCTGTTGATCAGTTTTCTTGCTGAGGATAGGGTTACCGGAAATTGGAATTCCCATATTGGTGCTAACATTTAATTGAAAGGAAAATACATTGTAACTTATTTTACTCCTCAGAATAATAGATTGGCTCCATGCAAGGTTTGCTGAAGCAGCTCCAGAACCGGTCGAAGAGGGTCAAACATCTGAATTTGCTGAACTAAAAGAAGAGATGTTAAAAAACAAGAAGAGGATCAAATCTATGATGGCCATGTTGGAGGCCCAAAACAATCTACTCAAGAACCTTGCAGCTGTCGTCGACCCCAAATTTACGGTTCGGGAAGATGTTGACGGTGTGAGGGGTGCAGCGCGGGCATCGCTTGAAGGCGTCATAGAAAGCGAAATGCCAAAGTAACATTTAAGCGTCTACTTTACAAGAGGGTAAAAGCTCATGGATGCTGCCTTTGAAAGTGTGTTGTGTTAAATTCTTTAGTTGACAAAAAAAGCACGTGCAAGTCTATAGCTTACGTTTCATTCAGCATTCATAGCAGTGCTTTTGCAAGGATTAAATGTCTAATGCATTTTTTGTAAAGGTAACCAGACAATAATGAAGCGAAGCTAAATATAAATGGTTTTCTCCGCACCTACACCAGTGCTTTTGGCAGCGTCGTAATTAACCACTCACATGATTTTGTTAAGATACCAACAAACAGGAATACACACGTTTTAGTGACAAGATTTCCTGATTTTTCTTGGCCACCTGGCGCCATGGAATTTTGGAGAGACCCAGTAGTTTGATTTTGTGCAGTTGTCACAGACACGAGCACGTAACATAACCTTATCGAAACTAGAGTGGAAATATACGGAGAAATGTTCTGTTGTTATTGTAACACAATTCAGCCCTCTAACCGTGGGCTCTTGGACTCTCCAGATTTAGATTCAGTGGCTCCCTTGTTGACGCCCTTGGAGATGAGGGCGTTGACCTTTATGGTTAAACAAAGCCTTTCCGTAGGACCTTCGCATAGCTCTTATTAGTTTGTACTACTTTGCACAATAAAATCGCTTGAGTTTTACAAAGTTTATCGAAATGTGCGTTGAAAAGGCTACGAAAAACGCACAACGCATATTTAACTCAATGGATCATTTGCGTTGCACAGTATTTTTAAATTAAAATCGGGCCTTCTTGATTTTATTTTTTGATTCGGAACTGTTGGCGCACATAGCTTTTGATCCTGGACTTGACCAGGTTTATCCATGCTAGTACATACATGGCTTGGTAATCAATTAAGCTTCGTTAACTGTCAAGGCGTCTGCCTGAAGAGGCAACAGTAAATAAACATGGAAGTGAAAAAAACAGTGTTCTTTAATTATGTGGTTGATTGTTTATGTACAAAACTAGATTAAATCGCTCCAATTGTTCTACAAAAATACAAACTCTCAATGCATTACCATGCAAAGTTAGCATCTTATACAACGCAAAGCATATTGTACAGATACATAATATTGCTCTTCTTAGAAGCTGTGAAGCAGTACCTCTGCGTTACTTTCCAAAGACTAACACCACTCATTGTCTTACGCTTCTTAAAAGCTGTGAAGCAGTACTCCTGCATCACTTTGTACCAGCCAATTGCACTTTTGCAAAGGAAATTAGGACTAAGATGTTGAGTGTTACTTTGCACTGGTTTTTTACATGTTAGTATATCTTTAATAACAATAATAATAATAATATTTAAGATATATATTGTGCATTTTCTATAAAATAATCAAATGCGCATTACAAACATTACAATAAATACAAAAGTAAGAACCTATTTACAGTCACTTTGGAATTAAAGACGAAAACTTCACTATTTACAAGTGGTTATAAGAAAAGTAATTTGCAGAAAAACTATATAAAAATCTAAATATAAACTAATTGTACTAACAAAATGCCTTGCTGAATAAAAATGTCTTAAGTTTCTGTTTAAAATCACTTTTGGTGCAAGCAGATCTAATGCTTACGGGAAGACTGTCCCAAAGCGGGCAAAAAGGGAATAAAATCTGTCAACTCTCCCTTAAGCAACTTAACCCAAAGTACAGGGGATCTCTTCCATGAACATGCAGGTCTGTCAATCTACTACTTCAAAGACCATTTATGAATTTATAGCATACAATTTACAACACATGCAGTGCCAAGTTTGCACAAAAATTAGTCTCTTGTATAATCTAAGTAGAGTAGTAGCTTTGTCTATCAATTACAATTAGATTAATTGTGTGAACTAACGGTCTTTTAGTGGGTCATTTAGTTGTCACACATCTCCAAAATCAATAACTAGAGTCTGTTTAATATAGTTTTGCTTCAAGTGTAATGAAAGCTGCAAACCTAAATGGTTAAAAAAACTGTTACAAAATATAAATGCTAGGCTGTTAGAATACAGGCAATGAATTGAATGAGTTATGCAAGTTTTAATGTTTTCTTATAATACTTTTGCATGTATGTATATATCAACATATAGTATATGTTGATAAAAGGAATTATCAATAAAGGGCATCACTGTTAGTATCAGTGTGACCTGAGCAGGTCAATAAACCTCACTTTCTAAATGCTACCAACTGCTGGGCCTGCAGAGGCAGCTATAGCTGGCCTGATAAGACTTGATCCTATAAGTGCTAAGACAACAGGAAACCTCCTCCAGGAATTGCTCCCTCTGATATTGATGAACCATCAAAATGTTTTCATTTCATTTTATATCAGCCACTTAGAAAAATATATAACAGTTGAAAACGCCATTTTGCATAATGCTTTTTTTTATGAATAGCTTGTCTGTAAGAATGACTTGTTATACCCATGAAAAGAGCTGCATGTTGTGCTATTCATCACCTTGAACCATGGAAATTTGTATACTAGCTCTATTCATTTGCCTATGAACACAGCAGTGCTTAATTTATTTCCTGTTTTGTGGCATTCAGACGTCGACTTGTTTGTCCTAGCTTTGCTTGTTAATGAATTCCTTAATGACCAAAAAAATCAGACTGTTTACATGTATTTTGCCCGTGTGCAGTTGTGACTTAAGATTGGGCCCAGTTGTGTTCAAAAACCATTTTCTTGGATAATTTTTCATCAACTTGTAGACAAAAAGAATTACAACTGAAATGCTTTTTAAGAAATCTGAATTCAAATCTCGCACTTAACTCTGGGTTATCTTAACCCAGCTTTGAACAACTCGGCCCTGTATCCCCACTCCCACCCGCAAGTTACTTGACCCAGTGACAAGAAAACTGACACGATTGTATGCTAATTTCCATTGTTTGATAATTCTTACAAAGAGACTGGAATAATAGTTATCATGCCCCAGGAAGACCAGCATTAGGCCGAGCCTGACAACTAATGTTATATGATACTTTTTTAAAAATAGACTGTTAACAGTTCAGGTCTGTAAAACCTTACGTACTTAAAGTTTATAAAGTTAACTCCTTAAACATGATTCTAATACAGATTCTCATGTAGGTATTTTAGGACCTTTCCGAAGCATTGAACAATCATCATAACCCGAACCAAAGTTAAATTGTCTGCGAGACTAGCTTGTTGAATCACTATTCAGAGCTAACCGAAAACAAGTCAGCCAACAAACTAGGGTCTTTTTAGATAATTAACTAGCTAGCCTTTTGAATGTGTTCAGCTGACAATGAAAATGCATGAATTTGGAGCCCTTATTTGTTTTTGTGTTCTTCACCGTCATTATCTACCTGGTGTTTAAAGACTGTCCTCGCACCTTCTCCCCCTATAAAGAAGCTGTACGATTAGAATAGTGAAGAGAGGGCAAAGACATGTTAATGTTAATTTTTCTTTTCAAGTGACAAAATATAGGTAGTTTTTGCTCCAGAAATAATAAACTGTGCAAACTGGATTTCATACATTAAATTAGCCTTTTAATTCCCCGGGGATATCTAAGCAAACTAACAACCAATAAAATAGGACACACCATTTGTTTGGCATAAAGAGAGATTTATTTCAAGTAAAGCGAAAAACCGATAAAACACCCGAAGAAATAAAGCTCTCTGCCCACCATCGGGGTGGGAGGGATGGGTAAAGGAAATGTACAAACGGATCAAGAACACATTCGAGCAAAAACTTGCAAGATAACAATTCGAGATAAGTGTACAAAACGCGTGCAGCGCAGGTTAAACTACATGTAACAATAAACCACGTGCTGAACATGCAGCGAGATCAATAAAGCTATTACGCAATTAATAATGCTGATGAGTGATAAATGACAAAACCCACGAACTGATCTTCGATGTGGGGAATTAATAATTTTGAAGCGTCCTCCAAAATAAACAAATTCCCCGGGGATATCTAAGCAAACTAACAACCAATAAAATAGGACACACCATTTGTTTGGCATAAAGAGAGATTTATTTCAAGTACAGCGAAAAACCGATAAAACACCCGAAGAAATAAAGCTCTCTGCCCACCAAAACAAGCGCAAACAAAATGGTGTGTCCGACGGAAAAGTACATAACACAACGAATTAAGAAAACAGAAGCGAAGAACTAACGCGTTGAGCTACTCGTAACTTAGCCGGCAAGGAGAACTCTAGATAACTTTCATAGGCGTCGGAGGACCAGTCCCCGAAAACTTGAATGAGTTCTCCAGGAACTTCACACTGAAAAGCCCAATTCGCCCCTCCCCTGCGAAAAGAATGTCCACGATATGTGTGCGCGTGGGGAATGGCTGCCGAAAATAAACGCTCACGAAAGACCTGGACGAACTGACGCTTAATAACCGGGAAAAGAGAGCCGTCCGGAGATGAGAGAACAAATGGGGGTGACATGGGCGATGCCGGAGTGAGAGCACACATTCTGTGAAACATCTTAACGGGACACAAGGGCGAATTGGGCATAGCAACTAAAGGCAAAAGCAAATGACGTATACCAGTCTGATTAGTTTTAGACCACTTGAAAGCGACAGTGAGACCATGGGGGGCTGAAACGATATCCCCTCTACACAAATGCTTACGACAATCAAAAGATCGCGTAGAAAGAGGAACGATGTTAGAAATACGTGCCATAAGGAAAAAGGCAAACAAAAAGGCACACGAACAGGTGATATACTCTGGGGAAGAATCGACACTACGAGACAACTGAATCAACGAAAACAGAATGGAGGGCGTGACAGGAGGCGCGCGCGTGGGGCAATGTAACGCCATCCTGTCAATACCACGAAGGGTAATTCTAATGGAAAAGGTGCGAAGCGAGGGGAAATCGTGACCCAAAGCGACGTGTAAAAACTTGACCCCACTAAGATAATTACGCACCGAGGCCGGCGTTAAGGATCTACTTAAAAATTGAGAAAACAAACAAACGGTATCAACCGTGGCTGGTAGAAGCGAAAAACCGATAAAACACCCGAAGAAATAAAGCTCTCTGCCCACCATCGGGGTGGGAGGGATGGGTAAAGGAAATGTACAAACGGATCAAGAACACGTTCGAGCAAAAACTTGCAAGATGATAATTCGAGATAAGTGTACAATACGCGTGCAGCGCAGGTTAAACTACATGTAACAATAAACCACGTGCTGAACATGCAGCGAGATCAATAAAGCTATTACGCAATGCTGATGAGTGATAAATGACAAAACCCACGAACTGACCTTCGATGTGGGGAATTAATAATTTTGAAGCGTCCTCCAAAATAAACACATGTAAAAAGTGTCACATGAAAACAACGCATTTGTAAGAATGTCCCTGTCATGCTACCCATTCATTGCTATCAGTTAAGAAAACCATGGGCAAATGCTTGTTGTGCACCTACATATAGCTGCAACCCTTTTAATTTGCTGTGCCCAATGTATGTGTGACATGTTGCATAACATGTTATTACATCACTGATTCCCCCGTATGTGCAATTGTAGCTAAGCTGTAAGAAAAACCATGTGCTTGTGAATGAAGTTAAAATTCATAGTCCTGCCTGGTTTCTGCTTCTGTTTCCGTTTTCTACCGAATTTACGAGGATAGCATACATTGATACAGTATGTGGTGTTTAAACTCAAAAGCTGTGCTTCTCTGACTACCATATGCACTCATCAGTTAACCCAAGGCCATTTATTTGTATTTTCTTTGTGTAATATTATATATCAGCTGATTTTTTGTAAATTTAAGGAAATCTTTAAGTGTACAAAAGAGAGAAGTGAAGCAGTGAAGCTAGGACGCATAGTATATGTAACAATTGTCAAAATTAAATTCAGGTTAAAATTTTTTAACTTAGGTTGATTTTACTCCTCCTAGGACCTAATTCATGAATAATTAGGGCGACTAGAAGATGAAGTAAATTGAGAATTAACCCAGGTTAAAAACTTTTATGCAATTTATGATAACATGTTGTGTCCTTTCTGGATCATAAAGCAAATTTATCACTGACCACAAAAGATCTTACACAGACTGGGGTACAAAAGGTTTTCCTGATTAACTAGGAGGCACCAGAAACATTTGGCATAGGTTGACATCTGAATTTTAAAGAGTATTTCACAGTACAAGTTTTGAAGCCAGCTTGTATTGCACATGCATGTTTTAACCCCTAAAAGTGAGAAGTAACTGATTCCCCTTACAATATTGTAGCCTGTCATCAAACAAGATGGGAATAAGCAAAATGATCACCAAGTAAAAGAATCCATGAGAATAATATTCATTCCTGGGTATTGTTATTCATGGCATTATAATAGGGTATGGCGAATCAATGTGACCTGGGACAGTCCCAGGATAGACTGAATTGAATATAGCTAATTGGAATCCAGCTTAAATATGACTCGCTGGGAAGGGCGGGCGGGTTGCTAATTGCCCTTCATGTCACTGACAAAGTGAAGTGAATGGGACAAAGAGTGCCAATGTTTCCTAAAATGTATATACCCATTTGCATGCTTATCATCAATTAATTCCCAGGGATGATATTCACAATTCCAATGGCACGTGAATAGTACATATTCTTCACAACAGTTCCAGCATAAGAGGAGATGCAATGACATGTCTCTTGAGGACTAATAGTGTATGTGTAGGCTGGGAAGGTGGGTAATAAGAAACTGAAATTCCTCTAGACTAACAGAAAGTACAAAAGAGGTGAAAGGGGGTGGAGAGTAGGGGTTACCCATATTTCCATCAGAAATGGCATCCTGCCGATTTGCCCCTCTTTCTTACTGACCTCTGCTTTGTAACATTTTCCATCAGAATTTACCCTTTTCATGGCAAATGATGCAGTCTTCATAACTGAGGATATCAAATAATCTCTCATTTTGAAGACTGCACATTGATCGCTTGATGGAAATTTAGTTCAATTCACTATTATGGAATGTTTCCAGTCAATTCACTTAACATGACGAAACACTGCTCTATACAAAATATAATTAAGGCACGTTGTCACACTAGTCAAAGACTAGAAGCACTGCGGCCTTCATCTACCACAACAGGCCATTTGCACAATGACATCATTTTACTACTATGACCAGAATCCTTCAGGGTTTTGCTTCCTTGGGCAAATTAGGGCTTTTGTTATTCAAACCTCACTGGGATTACAAAATTTAAATATGAAAGGAAGAACGAAAGGATTCTGATGATGCCATCGTGCAAATGGCCTATTGCCTTTACTTGTAGTTAAAGGGGCTATGTCACCCCACACGCATGCGCGAGCCAATGAAAACAAACTTGAAAAAGTTGGCCTGTCTTTTTCAAGTTCTGTAGGAGATTTTGGCTTTTACTTCGGGTAGAAGAGCACAGAACGCGTCATCAGAATGGAATGGGCAAAAGAAAAATATTATCGTTAATTTATGACAAATGTATGCCACCGGGTAGTCATAATAGAGACAAACTTATGCATTGACATGAACGCACTACAATGTCTTGTCACGGTAGAATCGAGTACTTTTAGTTGGTAACTTTGGAAGTGTGGAAATGTGGAAATGTGTCTCCATTGTCTCTAAGTGTCTTGGTTGTCTTTATCTAGTAACTCTGGAAGTGTGGAAGTGTGGAAATGTGGAAATGTGGAAATATGTCTTCCTTGTCGTTGTCTAATAACTCTGGAAGTGTGGAAATGTGGAAATATGCCTTCTTTGTCTTAATTTATCTAATAACTCTGGAAGTGTGGAAATGTGGAATTGTGGAAATATGTCTTGCTTGTCTTTAATTGTCTAATAACTCTGGAAGTGTGGAAATGTGGAAATATGTCTTCATTGTCTTAATTTATCTAATAACTATGGAAGTGTGGAAATGTGGAAATGTGGAAATATGTCTTCCTCGTCTTCATCTAGTAACTCTGGAAGTGTGGAAATGTGGAATTGTGGAAATATGTCTTCATTGTCTTTCTCTAATAACTCTGGAAGTGTGGAAATGTGGAAATATGTCTTCAATGTCTTTGTCTAATAACTCTGGAAGTCTGGAAATGTGGAAATGTGGAAATATGTCTTCATTATCTTTGCCTAATAACTCTGGAAGTCTGGAAGTGTGGAAATGTGGAAAGATGTCTTCAATGTCTTTATCTGATAATTCTGGAAGTGTGGAAATGTGGAAATGTTCTTCCACTGTCTTTATCTGTTAACACCGGAAGTGTGGAAATGTGGAGAAATGTGTCTTCATTGTCTTTATCCAATAACTCTGTTTCATAATGTTGACAGGCCATACACGACTCCCTTTGGCCATTAGTTGTTGTATATCTTTGATCTTTAAGCTTCATAGTTTGAGTTGTTCATAATGTTGACAGGCTATTCACGTCTATCTTTGGCTCAGTTGCTGTTGCTTTGACCTTACCTTCATAGTTTAGCTCGACTTACGACTATATCTTGTAGTGACTTTCCTCTTTTGTAAGATATTATGGGAGGGTCTTTAAAGATTTTTCTAAGCAACGGTTGGTTTTCTATAAGATACCATTTGTGCATGATGATTTTTTTTAGATTCGGTACTGAGGGGCGATATTCTGTCACGAATGGTAGTATTTTCTTGTGCGTTTTTGTTTTGTTTTGCAAAGCCGACATTCTTTCGTGATGCTTGACTTCTGATAGGTCTTATCTATCACTTTAGTCATACGGAGTCTTTGCTTGAAATTAGTTACGTTCTCTTCGAACGTTTTCTCAGAAGAGTTTGTTCTGAGTAATCTTAAGGCCTCGCCTTTTATGAATCCTTTCTTAACCCCTGGGGGGTGACATGAAGAGAAGTACGTGTATTGGAAAGTTTCTGTCAGTTTGAAGTGTGTACGCACATCTAGGATTGATTCCTTCTTAAATCTTTCTCCTTTTTAAATACATGTATCCAGAAAGGCGGTTTCTGTTTCTGAAACTTCAGCAGTAAATTTTATGGTCGGATGGTGGTTATTTGCTAGTTCGATGAATGAGTATATTTCTTCTTTGTCTACATTCCACAATGAGAATATGTCATCGATAAATCTCTTCCATACTAATGGTTTGTGCGGACTTTTGTTAATAATTTTTGTCTCTATTGCAGACATAAAAATGTTAGCAAATGCAACTGCCATTTTTGTTCCCATAGCTGTACCTTGCACTTGGAGGTAGTTTTTTTCCAACAAATTGGAAAGAATTCTCCCTTAGGATTACTCTGAGCATATCTGCGAGGTATTGGCTGGGTATTGGAGGTTTGTTTTGATAGAATGTTTCGTATGCTTTGCATATAATGGTAATTCCTTCCTCCTGTGGGATGTTTGTGTATAGGCTAGTTACATCCATAGAGACTAAAATAGCACTTACTACGACCCTGGTTTTCTCTATGAAGTTGATAAAGTCTGTCGTATCTTTAAGATACGATTTTTGCGATTTAGCAATTGGTTGGAGGAGACTATCAACAAATGATGAGATTCTTTCCGTCGGGCCTTCGCAGCCCGATATGATCGGTCTTCCAACTGGTGTTGGTTTGTGAATCTTTGTGAGAGTGTAGTGGTATTCGAGGTGGAATTTGGCGTGAGGGATAGCCATCGTCTTGTCATCTCGTCTATATGTTTCTCTTTGTAAAGCTTATCTATCAATTTCTTGACCCTTTTAGAGGTTTCTACTACCATTGGTGTTTCTAAGGGTTTGTAGTTTTCTCTGTCATCTAATTGTATTTGACCTTCTTTTATTTTGTCTTCTTTGTTGAGAACAACAATAGAAGAGCCTTTATCTGCTCGTTTAATGTTGATGTCCGGGTTTTGTTTCAGTTGTTTGATGGCAAGTTGTTCCCTCTTGGGCAGATTGTTTCTAGGCGTGATTGTATTTATATTAGCAAGTTGTAATGTAACCTCTTCTAGGTATGTTTCTAGTGCGACTGATGGCTGAACTGGTGGCTCCCAGTCTGACTTTACATGAAAGGGGTGTTGCTCTTTATCTTTTCCATGAAAGATATATTGTAGACGCATTCGTCTAGCGAAAGCGTTGAAATCTTTTAATAGTTGTGACCTGTGTTTGTCACTGGTGTGGGGATAACAGAACATTTCTCTGATCGCGTGTCATTTTGTAATCTGAGAGGTTTTTGATATGTTTCTTTCTTGCTTCTGTTGTGTTCTTATCTAAATCACGCACTATTTTTCGCTTCCGTTCATTGCGTTTTTTTGTTGATAATGACCGCTTTTTCTTTCCTCTTTCCCTTTTTAGATAGTCTATATTCTCAGAAAACACTCTGGGATAAGATTCACTTTGTTTATTCTCTTTAGCATTTTGTAGGACATACTTCATTTTGTTGAGTTCATCTATTTTCTTCTGAATATTCTCTAGTTTCTGTTCGTGACTCAGTTCTAGAGTATTAGCTGGTACCTTATCTGACATGTCTTTTCTCTTTTCCTTGCGTGATTCCTGCTCTAGTTTTACAAGTTTAGATTTGCTTCTTTCGACTCTACGGTCGTGAAACTTAACGAGTGCGCCTAAAACTTTTTGTTCTGCGTCTTTTCTAATCCAGCTTATATATGTCTCTTTTGAATTCTTCGTCCGGGGCAATGTTTGCCCTTGCGTTATAACGCAAAGTTTTTGGACATGTATTGTTCCCAATATGTTTCTTCAGTTTGGCGATGGATTCTTTGGACTTTTGTATCTTGTCCTTAATGGTGTCTTCAAGCTCTTCTGTAGTAAGGCGCTGTTTTTTAAAAGGTATGTGTTCTTTCTGTTCACGAGAGTCATCATGATGACGTTTCTGTGGACCCGTTTTGCACGGTTTTTGGACTTGGCGCCATTTTCTCTGATCGTTGGTGTTTGGTTTATCACGTTTAGTCTTTTGCTCTCTCTGGGGTCGCCGTTTCTTCTCTCAGTATTGTTAGTCTTTCTGTTTCTTTGCAATGGCTGATCCCCATTTTCTTGAAGGTTTGTGTTTTTGCGCCTTTCTGTTGACATTTGTCCACACGGTATGTCTTCGTCATCCGAAGCTAATAGGCTATCTTCTGCAGGATTGTTGGCTATATCAGCGAGTATTGAAAGGCTTGTTGTAAGAAGTCCTTCTTTGCTTACTATTGTGTTATCTGCCATGATGATCACGCGAGAGTAAATTCTCAAGCAAGACTGGAGTCACATTTCCAGATTTCCAGTTTTCCACACTTCCAGAGTTATTGGATAAAGACAATAAAGACACATTTCTCCACATTTCCATACTTCCGGTGTTAACAGATAAAGACAGTGGAAGAACATTTCCACATTTCCACACTTCCAGAGTTATCAGATAAAGACATTGAAGACATATTTCCACATTTCCACATTTCCACACTTCCAGAGTTATTAGAGAAAGACAATGAAGACATATTTCCACATTTCTACATTTCCACACTTCCAGAGTTATTAGACAAAGACATTGAAGACATATTTCCACATTTCCACATTTCCACACTTCCAGAGTTTTTAGAGAAAGACAATGAAGACATATTTCCACATTTCCACATTTCCACACTTCCAGAGTTATTAGATAAATTAAGACAATGAAGACATATTTCCACATTTCCACATTTCCACACTTCCAGAGTTATTAGACAATTAAAGACAAGGAAGACATATTTCCACAATTCCACATTTCCACACTTCCAGAGTTATTAGATAAATTAAGACAAAGAAGGCATATTTCCACATTTCCACACTTCCAGAGTTATTAGACAAAGACAAGGAAGACATATTTCCACATTTCCACACTTCCACACTTCCAGAGTTACTAGATGAAGACAACCAGGACACTTAGAGACAATGGAGACACATTTCCACATTTCCACACTTCCAAAGTTACCAACTAAAAGTACTCGATTCTACCGTGACAAGACATTGTAGTGCGTTCATGTCAAGGCATAAGTTTGTCTCTATTATGACTACCCGGTGGCATACATTTGTCATAAATTAACGATAATGTTTCTCTTTTGCCCATTCCATTCTGATGACGCGTTCTGTGCTCTTCTACCCGAAGTAAAAGCCGAGATTTTGGAAGGCTGTTTTTACCTGTCTAAATCTCAGCCATCGTTCGATAGTTAGCGAAGTTTTGTATTGAGAATCGTTCTATGGTGATTACAGAATAATTTTTTGGCGTTATTTTGAAATTGTTTGCCTGTGGAATGTTTTTACGTGGATTTACTGTGTCCTCTTATCAGCGGCCGTTGTAATGGCAGAGTTAATGACGGCTACTCCACAATGAGTGATGGAATCTTTGATGGAATCTTCCCTATAGTTCACAGAACCTTTCTACTGAGTTATTTTAGAGGTTGCTGGCTCTTGGATTTTTCTTGTGCTCAAAGTATGTGGACATATAATGAAGCGGCTATCGAGTTGGCGGCGGCCGTTTTTGGTAAACGATTACAAGAGCATCAGGACATAGCTGGACATGAGTTTCGTGACCAAACTAAACTCCTGGCGAAGGAAACATCATAAAATTCGGCTAGATTCCTTCTTGTATTTATCTGGATTCACGGCAAAGATAAACACGACCGTTTGCTCGTCCAGATTGTTCTCAACGGACTTAGAGAGGACCGAACGGACTTAGTACGAGTTAGATCCTGTAAATGCCATGTTTTTGAACTGTTTGTGTTCGAGGGCTTACAGTACTTTGCGAAACGAAACGAAACGAAACGAAACGAAACGAAATGGTACTTTGCGAAACGGTACTTTGCGAAATGGTACTTTGCGAAACGGTACTTTGCGAAACGGTTACAACACAATGCTTCATCACACCTTATCTAGAGTACCTAGAATTCCACTGAAAGCTGAAGATTTGTAAAGATAAACCTGGAGCAAATTTCCTCGTTAAGTCTGTTTCCTAAGAGCAGCCTGTATTACCAGACGCCATCTTGGATTAAGGTGACTTGAATGTTGTGTATGAACCATTTTAGTGTCCTCTGTGTAACACATGTAAATTTCTCGGGCGCATCTTTCACACGCAAACATGTAAAAAGAGCGTTTCAGAGCGTTTTTCTTGTAAGTTTGTTTCTTAGTTACTATGAGTACCGTATATGAATTACAATTAAAGCAAATCAAACAAAAAAATTGATTTTGGTAATTTGCTAAATGATACTTTGCGAAATGTTTGTCTTCCTTTCGTCACGCGAGGCATTGCGTGAGAAATGTTTCCGCGCTTTGGGGTCATGCATGTGAGACCGGCGTCTGCCCATGTGCTAGCAAACATTATTTACAACAGTGTTCTTCAGCGCTTCTTATTTTGAAGCCCAGCATGGCTTTCAAGATACCTCTTCTCGATTCCTTATCACTCACGAAGGGTTACTTTCACGATGTTCCTAATTTTCGATTGGCCGATGTCACAGACAAGGACGAAATAGGGAAGGGAAGTTTTAGTTTTAGCCGTTTTCAAGGATGGAACGTTTCCTAAGAAAAATATCAATCAATGCCTGATAGTCTTCGTCTTTCCAAGAGTTCCAAGACGAAGAGACTCGGGGGCCATAGGGTTTTTTCATCATGTAAGCGGGTTCTATAGGTACGCTTTGAATACAGTCATGTCTTTGTGTACTAACCACCCTGGAGAAGTTGACAACTAGGGGCAGCTATTTTCTCATAGACGCGACGCGACGCGAGGTTACCGCTATGAGCCTATGAGCCTCGCTAGCCACGAGGTTACAAACTGTGCAACTAACATGCGTTTTTTGTTGTCACTAGTGACAACAAGATAAGTAATAATTTACCATGGTGTGTGAAAAACGTTTGATTGGCGTAAGGAGGCCCCATATCAGCACACGGTTCAGCACTACACGGAATGTTACACCCTGTGAACTAAAAGCGAACTAATGTTTAAGTAATGGTCCGTGTAAGAACTAGGCAAAAGAACAATAGGCCAGTGCAATAGCGGCAGTTATTTTTTAGGTGCTAATTTCTCTAATCAAATTAAATTTGAATGCTCTGATTGGTCAATAGGGCGAAAAGCGCGAAATTTGAGTTTTAGAAATGAATTAAGATAGCAAAAGAGTCATTCAAACAATTTTTTATTTTGTCTACTGCTCTGATATGTTGAAAACTATAACATATCTAAAATTTAGAGGATTTCTATGCGCCAAACCCGAGCAAAGTTAAACTGATATAAAATTACATGAAAATGGCACAGGAATACATCAATCGGCGACCTCCTGAAAGACATCTCCTTCGGTTCTCACAAAGGAAATGTCAAAATCGTGATCGGAAACAGGAGTAATTCAAGCTCACATGGCAAAGGCGCCAAAGCTGCGTGTTTTAATTTTGCCAGCATAAAGAACAACAATTTCATAAAATCATGTCGGAGGATTATCCTAATGGCCCGCATTTGAATAAAAAGGCGATTGTCCATACAGAAAAAAATTCATGGATGTTCGGAGAATTCGGTTTCAGAAGAAGCTCTCTTCACAGTCTTACATGGTAGATATATTTTTAGCCTAAATATCTCCGCAAAACCTAATTTCATTCTTAGAAAAAGTAAAGGCAACAGTTACAGTCAAACTTGCATTATCTTTCCTACCGGGTAACACTCAAAACTAGTGAGAGCTACATTTGTATTATATATGATAACTAAGCGGCTGCCGTCTTACAACTGTTGCGAAATTACAATCACAAATTTCAATTCGTTCGCTCGACGAAACAACCTAGAATGAAAACAAATCGAATCATAGAAGAGTAAAGATACACAGAATTCTGATGTTTCGAAAAGAACAAAATAACTACACAGTCACATCATGCGGTGATGCGAAAATTTATTGGGTTCAGCTTACCTCAAGCTCAAATCTGGCGGCTTCACATCGCTTTAAGAAATTTAATTTATTTCTGTATAAAGAACAAATCTATCGCTTCCACTCTTTGTGCCCAGCTATTCTCCACAATTACTCTGAATCATCACTGAATCAAAGCGATCTCCTCCTGACAACATACTTATAAACAAGTGCTTCGGTCCTACTTGTCCACATGGCCACTCGACGACATGTTGAGGACAACTGCAAACGCTGCTGCAGTAGGAATTTCACGATCCCTCCGATGATAAAATACATTGAATAAAAGCAATAAACAATCGATAAAGGGAAATATGTATATTTCAGCCATGAAATTGACGACATTCTTCGGGTAAAAGACAAATTTCCTCACATCTCGAATATCGCATCCAAGATGGTTCACAACAATGTCACGCGCGCGTTGCACGTTTTCCGCTCTAACTTTTGATTGGCGCACAGAACAATGCTTAAACTTGGCCGTGAGGTAAAAGACAGGAGAATGGGGAAAATAAACCTAAAAAAAGTTGTTTTTGTCACGTTTTTCTTTGTTTTTTCGTCGATTTTTGGATTTCAGCCAATCAGAACGCACCATTTAATTGAAATTAAAAATTAAAAGTTAACACCTTTTAATCGATTTTGCGTTCTGCCTGCCTAGTTCTTACGCGGACCATTACTTAAAAGGCTAAGAACTTGACAAGTCAGCAATTTAAAATGAAATTGTTCACATTTATTGGCCTAAATTTTGCACAAAGGTTTGTTACAGAAAACCAAATCCAAATTTCGAAAAACATACAGTTAAGTTTTGGATCTAACTTATCCAACATAACTGAAGCAAATTAAAACATGCAATCTTTGTGCCAATTTGTCTTTCAACAAACAAAAAATCGTCTATGGGACACAGAAAGAAGAATTGTTACGGTTTTACTAAATTTGTCATTGTTCCATTTGTTGTCGTTGTTACTGTTAATGTTTTTGTTTGATTTGCTTTGATTGTAATTCATATATCATACTCATAGTAATTAAAAAATAAATTTACAAGAAAAACGCTCTGAAACGCTCTTTTTACATGTCTGCGTGTGAAAGATGCGCCCGCAAAATTAACACGTGTTACAAAGACGACACTGAAATAGTTCATACACAACGTTCCAAGTCACCTAAATCCAAGATGGCGTCTGGTAATACATTGCTCTTTGGAAACAAATCTTAAGCTTTCAGTAGCATTCTAGGTACTAGAGATGAGGTGTGATGAAGCATTCTAGGCTGCTAATTTTCAGGATTTGGTCGCCAACGCGAAAAATTTAGGCGCATTGGCGCTTGTGTAACCGTTTCGCAAAGTACCGTTTCGCAAAGTACCATTTCGCAAAGTACCATTTCGCAAAGTACCGTTTCGCAAAGTACCATTTCCCAAAGTACCATTTCGCAAAGTACCGTTTCGCAAAGTACCATTTCGTTTCGTTTCGTTTCGTTTCGCAAAGTACCGTAAGCCGTGTTCGAGCATATTTTTGGAAAATAGCAGAGTTTACTTTCCCTTTTTATCAACGGACTGCTTATAGTGGAGTAGTATACCAATGATGCTTGGTTCTGTTTTTCTCGACGTCGCAGTGATTCGGCTCGATCGAACAATTTTGCGCGATAATGTATGTTTCCCTAAGATCAAAACAAAGACTTGATGTCTCTTGTTCTATCAGCATCTAAATTATAAAATCACTAGCGACAGACAAGTCTAATTGTTAATGATTTGAAACAGTCTCGGTCTTTATCTTCGGTCTAGCGTCTTTTGTAGCTCGTTTGTAAAATACAACTTCGATTTATTTTGTTCAATAAGACAATATGCTGTTGTTGAATTTTTGTTTGCGCACTATTTTATGAATGGCATGCGTTTTTACCCCAAAACTACAAGTAAAATTGTCGTCACAATTTTATTCTTGATCTAGCATAACCAGAGAAGAAACGTTCCGTAAATTCTATCGAAATTTCCCTTATCTAAACCCATTTCGCTTGTTAACCTCTCTAAATTCGGAGCCTTGGACGTGACAGAGAAAATGGAGAAAGTCACGCGTTAAAAACAATAGAATTTTGACAGTTGAAAGTAATTTGCATAACCTCAGAGCGCACATGGAGAAAGTCACGCGTTAAAAACAATAGAATTTTGACAGTTGAAAGTAATTTGCATAACCTCAGAGCGCACATGGAGAAAGTCACGCGTTAAAAACAATAGAATTTTGACAGTTGGAAGTAATTTGCATAACCTCAGAGCGCATGCTCTCCAGCTGACATAGCCCCTTTAAATTTCAAGAGTCTTTGTCTCGGGAGTTGCATATTTTAAAAACTGTCGAGAATTCTCCCACCCCCTCGAGTGGTTATGCTATGCAAATACAGGAAAAAAGTTTTCTACTGATTTTATATATATTAAGCTTAACTTTCCCGAGAAAAAAACGCAAAACGTTTTGTTATATGGCACTGATTAAAAGAGAAATTGTTACCAGTCGCCAAGTCTTGTACACCGCTTTGCACGCGTAATAGTCGTAATCAGTCCTGATCGTTTTGTAAAAAAGATGCTTTCCAAAAAAAACGTTTTTTTGTTGTTTTTTTTTTTCACTTAAAATGTCAGCTTAAGCGAAAATAAAATTGACACAGCATTTTTGTACAGATTTTCCAAGTGTCAGCCGACGAGGGAAAAGGTAAATAATAGGGACCTTTAGCATCACGTTTTTCATGGGAAACTGCAAACCGCAAACCGCAAAATTTCACGTGACCACGGCCTTGCGGTCACGTTTGCAGTTTGCAGTTCACGTTTGAACCGCAGGAAGGGCTTCCAGCGGTAAGTGATTTACGGCAAAGTTTTTTGCCACAAAAAATAGTACAGCCTCGCGTTTAAAGGTATAAACTAGCTTTTTATATCGGTTTGCGATGTGTTTGTTGGATTTTTGATCTCGAATCAATGAATTATTGGTGAGTTTTGGGCGATTAAAGTGATGCACTTCGACTTGATGAAAACAACATGGTGGCCCTAAACAATGAACGCGTACTTCATATCAATTTTATATTCCTTTCTGCGGTACTAACAAAGGAAAGTATTCTGTTTCAATCCAGAGTTAAATTTTTTTTCTATCTTGTTACTGAATTCATAACTTAACTCAGTCTCTGTTTAGTTCCTATTTTTTAACGTATCACTCCGCGAATTTCATTTTATTTTGCTTATTTCTTTGAGACTGGGGAGCCCAGGCTTCATAAAGCCTTCTGGTTTCTTCTGGGCTCCCTTGCAACCTTACAATTCCTATATGTATTCTTCTGTTGTATTATATTTTGGCTAAAAATGAACTGAACTGAACTGAACGCCTTGCTAAAGTTTGAAATCTCGGCAACGTGAAACTGCAAACACGTAACTGCGGTTTGTGGTTTGTGGTTTGCGGTTTACCTGATGCTAAAGGTCTCTAATGTCGACTTGTATACCTGCCAACTTTTGCCGAGATATGAGCGTGAGATTTTTATCCTGGGAGTGCTGGGATTTTTGAAGACGACACGATCATTTCCGAAGATTCCCGAAGAAGTCCGAAGTCTTCCGAAGTCTGCCGAAGTCTGCCGAAGTCTGCCAAAGGCGAGCTCGCTCCCAGTGCTTTTCACTTCAAAAATCAGAGATCGCGAGGAAGGTGTTGCCATTTATTCATTTTACACATGGTTTTCGTTCCTTACATGGGTCTGAGTTAACATATTTTTGGAAATTGTGTCAAGCAGGACGGCAACAACTCACATTTTTCAATCAGGCGTGAGAAATTGGCCCGCAGGCGTGAGCCGGCGTGAGATCGAAGTTTTCAACCCGCAGGCGTGAGACTCACGCCTAAGGCGTGAGAGTTTGCATTGTCTTGCGTGTTTAGAGCGCGAAAAGCAAAACATGTTGACGTCACAGCCATGTTTATCCGGGGATTCCATACCGTACCCTCCTGGCTAATCTGAGAGCGCTTACTATCGATATATATTTACTTATTTTGTAAAGCGATTTACTGAACAATTTGTCAAATCCATTTGGTTTAGCTGCGAAAGATGTTTATTCTCAAGAACCACACATTTTACAGGCATTAGTTCGTCAAACTTTTTCTGACATTGAATGTTGGGCGAAGTCGCAGTCGACCGGAAGTCCGCGATTTGCGCGCGGAGAGTCAGTATAAGCCGCATACCAACCGGATGTAATTGTTTGACCTGGGTGACATAAAATATTCACGTTGGGTCAACGAATGCAAGTGTACGTGATTTGCGCGTCTTTTATAATTAAGGCTTTTTACTGTTCTGAATGTTTGCACTTCGATCGTGTAGAATATGGAGGACGGTAAACAGGAACATAGCATTTCAGAGGAGGGTGATATGGCACAAAGCAAGCCAAAACAGCGAGGAGTCGGCTGTAATCCTTTTAAAAGAAGAGATGAAAAATATTCCAGTGAAAAATACGAGGTACCTTTGGTAGGTTTCGAACCCGAAGCCGCGAAGCACAGACCCTCGTTTGTTTATGAAGATCCAGCTCTAGAGAGTAGTGAGGTCGTAAGCCCTATATCACCTCATGCTTTAAAGTTGTTTGAAGCTATCCGAGAAGATGAAATAGAACTGGTTGAAGCGGAGTTTTCTACTCTAACAGATAAGCGCGAAATCGATAAATTAGGCGGACATGGGTTTGCCCTAATCCATGTCGCTGCTCGGTATAATTTCAGCAGAATAGTGACAACACTACTAGATCATGGAGCGAATATCAACGTGGGGACGGGTGACTATCGATGGACGCCTCTTCATCTAGCAGCCAGGTGTGTTGAAACATTTAAACGTTATATTCTACATTACATCTATTCTAACGTTTCAGAATCGACCCTTGAAATTTACATATTGCTTACAAGAATCACTGAAATTATCGCTAGCTTGCGTAATCGAATGTGTGCAACACGCGTGAAGAATTTGTTTATTGCATTTGTTATTTTTAGGAAACTAACTTTTATTGCTTTCTTTTGAAGCTGAAGGAGAAAACAATCCAATATTCGCCTCTCTCTCCTCTCATTTGAATTTTACGTATTGTATGTTGTAAATTGACAAATCAGATATTAAAAGGAAAGTCATCACATACTGTACTGTAACAATTTTCGTATTGTTTGCAATACATTTTTTAGCCTCAAATTAAATTAAAAGCATCTCGATATTGATGCCTTTCTTAGATGAATTACGTGACTTCTCTCTTAACAAATACACTATCAAGTGCTTTTATTGGATTAATTGATTTGCAAATATTTCTAAGTTTGACGACAAGAAAGTCTCCGCGATTGAGTTTTGTCAGTTCTTTCACACACACAATATCGATGGTAATTTAAATCAAAATTTGAAGAAAGGAGGAAAGCTTTTTTTACGACTGATGTAGAATGAATTCGAAGCGTTAAGTGATCAGGGCGTGACTGTGAGGCTGTGGTTTATAGTTTTAAGTGAAGTACTCAGTTTTCTGGAAAATTTCACCGTTGGTTGTAAAACAACCAATCTGCCCTGAGAAAAAGACGGCGAAGACGAATTTTAGCGTTCCCTAAAACAGTCAACCCCCCGGGGGGGGGGGCTCATGAGAATTCTTGTTGGGGGTGCGCCGCCAGGTTCTCCAAATCCTGACCCTACTTCAGACTGAAAAATGTCATTTTTTACATCCGTTTTCAGACCTCGCCTCTAAAATCCACACTCATTCTCAGACCTAGCCTGGTCTGGCACAAAACTAACATTAAATCTAAACCCACTACTGTTTCTCAACACTTTCTCTCTCACTTTAGCCATTCTCATACTGACATGAAGTTAATCCCACTAGGGAAAATTCATTCTTCACGTGACACAGTTCGTGAGGTTAGGGAGTCGCATTTGATAGATATGGCCATGACTCTTGAACCTAATGGCCTAAACCACCGTGACGAATTACTATATAATATTGTGTTTCTTATCATAAGTTCAGTAACATCTACAAACCTGAAGAAGGCTGGTATGGCCAGCCGAAATATTGCTATGAAAAAACAATACATCTTGTTCTGATCAGCTTTGCAGTAGTCTTTGGACTTCTCGTTTTTGGTTATTAGTAATATGTAAATCTTCTCGATTTGAAGAAACTAGGCGCGCAAGGTGGTCCCGGTTTATTTTTCAGCAAGCGCGCGAAGTGGTCTTGGCTACTTCTGTTCTGCAAGCGCGCAAGGTGATATCGGCAAATTTTGGAAACACGTCGTTGACTGGTCAGCATTAGATTCCATCCTCCAGAATCACCTTCCCCTTTTAGCTACACTTACATAAAATCTCCAAATCTCTTAAAATTTCTACTCTTCTAATCTTTTGGGGGATCCAAATGTAAATTTGTTTAATTTTATGTTTCTCCTGGTCGATTATGGTTACGTTTTGTGTTTTACTGCGAACGAGCTCCAGCAAAACTCAAATGTTTTGTTTAAAGAATAATATATTCCAGGAATATTGACGGATTCATCACGTTCACGACCCCGTTTACATTTGACCTTTGTGGCCTTTTTTCTTTTGTCTCTCATTTGTGAACAATGGATAAAACAATATAAATACTAAGTCGACGAATCAGAGCTCCTCAACAAATTCTTGGAGGCGTCGAAGGCCTTCGGCCTGACCATCAGCCTCAGTAAGACCGAGGTACTGTACCAGCCTGCTCCAAACACCACACCCGTGGAGCCAAACATCAGCATCGATGACACTCCGCTGGCAAATGTCGACAGCTTCAACTACCTGGCCTGGACAGCATCATCTGAAACGACGGATTCCTGGATAAAGAATTCACGTCCAGGATCAGCAAAGTAAGCCAAGCGCTAGGGAGGCTGCGCGCAAAGGTTCTCAATCACCATTACATTTGCCTCTCTACGAAGCGGAAAGTCTACAGAGCTATAGTCTTGACCGCTCTGCTTTGTGAATGCGAGACTTGGACACTGTACCGAAGGCGTGTCAAACAGATGGAGAACTTTCACTTGCGTGCCCTCCGTTCCATACTTGGCATGCGTTGGCAAGACCGTAACACAAACCTAGAGCATTCTCTGCGGACATCACAGCAACGGAGCTCCAATGCCCCACCTGCTCCTGCAGACTCTGCGCTTCCAGACTGGGTTTGCAGAGCCACCAGAGAATCCATGGATGATCACACAACACGCAATCCACAACAGACAGTCTTCTTCGGACAAGATGGACAACCACCAAACAAGCACGTTTAAAAGAGGAGTTCTTTCCAAAGTTGCGCCACATTTTATGGTCCGCACTTCTTTCGTTAGCAAAAGAAAATAAGTATTGTGACCTCTCTAGAACTACAATGTAAACGCAACTAAATCACACGTGTCCAAGAACACGTATCGGGAATAATGGTGTACATTTTTCTATATTTTGTTTGATTAGCTCTTTTAGGCACTTAATAGAGTGGTATTATTCAAGCTACTGGTTTAACCAAGTCCTCTTGTTTGTCTTAGATTCAATGGTCTCTCCACTGTTGTCGATGTTCTTCTGCCACGAGGCGCTGATCCCTCCCTGAGAGGGAAAAATGGGAACACCCCACTTCATTTAGCGGCGCGTAGAGGACATGAAGAGATCGTTAAAGTTCTTTTGGATCAACCGTCCGTTGAGGTTGACGCTAAAGATAATTCTGGAAAAACTGCTCTTCATTTTGCCTGCAGCGAAGGTCACGGAAAGGTTTGTCAAATCTTGTTGAACCTCGGAGCGGACATAAAAGCGATTTCAGCGGACAAGACAACTCCGCTTCACAGTGCCATTTTCAATGGACATTCAGAGGTTGCGATGATGATTTTGAAGCGAGGTTAGAGGTTATTGATTTAACAGTAATTGCAGTGATTCCTTCGGAGTGTAAAGAGTCCTTATTTATTTATTTATTTATTTATTATTTATCGAACGATCCCCTGTGGGTCATTAAATTTAGGTCTTCCTAACGAGTTAGTCATATAAATCTGGAAGCGTCTCACTGTAATGCAAGTCCTCTGTGAAATTCTGGTGATGACAGATAAATGCTGACTGCTAATTTGCTGGATAGCACACATTTCACTTAAACGTTCAAATATGCACTACTAAAAACTTTATGGAGACATTCCCTGATCGTATCAACCTGCTTATCTGGCGGTAAGAGAATAGGTTGGTGCTTTAGCCGCCGCGCGTACACGGTAGCTAGCTGCGACGTTTTTCGTCTGCTGCGGGATCTCAGTTTGACTCGTCCCTCGCTGCTCGCTGCTTTATACCCCAAACAAAAACAGCAACAGCACTCATAGAAAGAAGCCGTAGCGCAGATAAATCCCGCCACCTAACTAGGCTAGTGTAAACATAGTGAGATTGTAGAGAGCACAGCGCCTGGGGACTAGACTCCTAAAGGTCGTCTTCGGTCGTAATAATGGGCTGATCTTATGGTGAAGGTGCACTATGTAAGTGAATTTTCCTCTTAACTGTCATTGTTTTTGTACTTTACAGCTGCCGACAGAGATGTAGATACTAACGAGAAAGAACTTGTGGGAACTTGTGACTTACAGGACACCACAGTCTTGCACATGGCCGCATGGAATAATGACGTCAAGACTGCTGAGTTATGCCTTGAGAAAGGCGCTGATGTCGACTATCTTAAGTGTGGCTCGGTCACTGCCCTTCACATAGCGGCAACGAAAGGAAATCTTGAGGTGGCGGACTTGCTTATTTCAAGAGGTGCTGATGTGAACAAGAAAGACGGGAACTCCAAAACACCTCTCCACAGGTTAATTCAATTTGCATTGAATAAAGATTGTTCAGACTAAGCAATACTGAGTACTTTAAGTGTTGAATGAGCGTTCCATAGAATTTTGCCCATAGTCTAGAAAAATAGCGAAAAAAAGGCTAAACTAGAAGAATTTTGGTGGTAACGTTGTGGGTGACCTAAATGTTTGTCAGGTAGTCGCACGTGAAACAAATCGAACAAACGCAAATTTTCGTTCTAGGTCTCAACAAAAATGATTATTTAATCAGTGAAGAACATTCTTGTTTCCAGATTCATGTCGGTTAATTCGCAAATCAATGTTCCCGGCATGACAATACTAATGTTCTAGTTTTGCAGGACCTTAAAAGTATCTCCATGTTGTCTTCTTCACTACCAGTCTGGAACTGAAAAAGAAAAAAAAACAGCGTTTCGTAAATTTTATGCTTCAATCACTTAACTAACCCTTTGCTTATCGTTCCCATGTAGGGCCGCTATGTTTAACCAGTTAAACCTTATTGAATTTTTTGTGGAAAAGGAGGCAAAAATTAATGCTCGTGACAGTGAAGGTCGTTCTCCTTTCTTGAATGCTGTTGCTGCTGGGCACGTGGACTGCGCCCGAGTTCTTCTCAAAATTGGAGCTGATTTGAGCGCAGCGGACTTGCATATGAAAACCTGTCTTCATATTGCAGTAGAGAACGAGCACTTAGAGATGCTATCAATGCTTTTGGAAAGTCGTGCGGGGGTAAGCTGTTTAAACAGAGGAGATTTGAAGGATAGAGTTCCTCTGCACTACGCGGCGAAGACAAGAGACATCAAGGTAACGTTGGAACGGAACTGTTAGAAAGCAATTCAACAGCACTTTTTTTATCACCGCTGGAGAACTTGACATAATGGCACCTTTACATAGAAGTGACTATAATAGAGTCGAACCTCTATAAAGGGGCGTTCTATAAGCGACCACCATTTTCCTCTCTTTTTACCAGAGTCTAGGCGGAGAAAAGCCTCAGTAAATCACCGTAAACAGTACCTCTATAAAGCAGCCACCTGTTCTTTCTTCGAGGCTAACCGCTTAATAGAGATATCTTTAATAGAGATTCGCCGTACTGTATTTAAGGCAGAACGTGAAATTCGTTCGAAAGAATACTTTTCCCGGCTAACTGGTTAATGAATCGCAAGTCATAGCTATTTTCCAGATGTACACCTTACCGACATTAGGGAAGGTAGTCTGGTAGTCTGACTCTCTCATGTTTGCAAATGGTGGTGGCGGACGGGAATGCCATTTATGTGATAGGGAGCCTACATCAGTCAGTTTTTTTCTAGGACAGACATTCTTAGGCATAGACCATCTTTACAGCCGTACACTTCAGGGAGGTGTCCATTGAGAAAGAGTTGACTGTATTTTAAAACAGTCGAACTCACTCTATATTAGGCGTTTTGTGTTGAGTGATGTACTGACAAGTTTGTCCGTCGATACTCTAGGAACTTACCGATAGATGGAAGCTTGACCCTTTAAGCTCCAGTATCTCTGCACTTTTCTTTATACATTTTTGCGGTACTGCTCGAGAAAATTTCTTCAAACATCAAGACATTTCATCTCCGGACCTGTAGTGTTGTTGTTGGGAGAAATTGGTAGCTGTTCACCATTGGAGCTTAAAGAATTAATGACAGGCCGCTTAATAGAGATTCGGCTGTAAATGCATTAAAAACAATAAATGACACTGACTCTGGCATACGGATTCATGTTTGTAGATTTTAGAGCTCGCCTTATCCAAGCAGAAGCGCTTGGGCTTCAATGATGAGAGTAACAAGACACCGCTTCACCTTGCAGCAGAAAAGGCCTCATCCAAACACGTCGAAGCTCTGGCAAAGCGCATGTCTGAAGTAAATGCGCGAGACGATCTTGGCCGAACGCCATTGCACAGCGCTGCAAGGAAAGGGCAGAGGCAAGAGATATATTCTAGAATATTCTCTTTTTTCTTCACAGTTATCGCTGTTTTTCCATTATGGGTGAAAGTGATCTTTGCCACTTATTTGTATGCAAGTGGACCGTAGATCAAAGATGTCCTCACAGCAAGCCATAGTGTCGTAAAACTTGGAAACTCGAACCTCAAAAATTTTGTGCGACTATTAAGTCGTCCTTTTGTTTTGAAAGAATGATTAAAATCGATCACGATTACTCGAATAGGTAAATTTTATGTTTTGATTGCCTCCTGAAATACCACGTAAGATTGCTTTTATCCCATCAATCCTAAAGCGCTTGAAAAGATGGCGGGTATCGTGAATAAGGTTTATTCCGTGAGACAATTACCATTTCCATCTTTCTTTAATTCTATTCACCATTCGCATATCCTCCATTATGCACTTTGCTTAACCCCCCCGGCCAAAAAAGCATAAACTTTGCTTTTCATTGATGGACTTCCTTTTTTTAAGGGGGGAGGGAGGAGAGAGCAAGGTGTGCTATGGGAGATTGCAAGTGGCGAATAAGGGAATCCAAGACGGTTTTACAAAGCTACCTGCATTTTGCATTTGTTTTCCTTTGTAATAGGAAATCCTGTCTGGTACTTCTTAGCATGGGAGCTGAGGTCGACAGCAGGGATAACAAGTTTCGAACACCTCTGATGTGGGCTTCTCGGGGAAACCACACAAAATGTGCCGATGTTCTTCTTGACTCCAAAGCTTCTGCTGACCTACAGGATGTCGGTGGTGATACTGCTTTGCATGTAGCTTGTGGTCAGGGTCATCCAGCTATTGTGACTTTACTGTTGGACCATGGTGCATCCTCAACATTGAGAAATAAACAAGGTCTTGCTTGTTTGGAAGTTGCTGCGAAAGCAGGATCGTGTGATGCCGCCATGGCGATTGCCAAACACGAAAGGTTAGCAGAGTAATTTTCACTCAGTAGTAATTAGCTTAAACCAACACGATAACAATAACGTTACTACAAATTGCAAATACATTATCCCACCGTTAATTTTGTAATACCTGCTTGAAACCCCACCTCTCCCCACACCCCAAACAAACAAAGAAATGGGTTTGAAGCCCACGAAAGATTCTTTCCACAAAAGTGGTGGAAAGGAGACTCGTTATAACTTAACAGCTGGTAATCCAAAGGAGTTTTCGAAAGGACAATAGAATAATTGGAAATACACGACACAAACAAGGATCGCTATTTTCATTTTCAATTCCTGAAATAAAAGCGTCGCGTTTGTTATTGGTTGGTTTTTCGTCTCTCGATGAAAAGAAGCGACCTACATTCTTTACGTCAGTATACAGATGGAAAATCATGTTTGCCAAGTCTGGACCGTTGGAGAGTCCACGTTATGTAACACTCCTAATTAAACAATTTATAATGTTTTTTATGAATACTTCATAATATATAATACATCGTAATATATACATTGTGGGGGGAGGGAGGAAATGTCGAATGTCAAGTCATTTTATTTGTTTTTACCTGCAATTTTAAAGGTGGAAGGAATTTGAACAGTATCAAATGTCAAACGGTCAAACAGCAATCTCACTCCTGGTTGAAAACTTCCCTGAAGCAGCTGAAGTTGTTCTTAATCAGTGCGTACGTTGCTCGGACCATCTCAACCCAGCCGACCCAGACTACGCTGTAACTTATGACTTCAAGCACCTAGATCCTGGTCCAGATGCTGACATGTCGAGTGGAAGGTTTTCTACAGTTCAGGTGATGATAAAGCACAAGCGTGAACGACTTCTTCTACATCCTCTTACGCTGAAATTTAATGAACGAAAGTGGCAGAGTTTAGGAAGATATGTCTTCTTGTTCGACCTTGTCACTTATCTCTTGCTTATGGCGCTCTTTACTGAATTTATTGTTCGTCAAAGGACAGGCCAGACCTTCAGACCCCCGGAGCGTGTGCCACCAAAGCGCAATGGCACTCGAGGAGTTCTCATCAAGCAAAAACCCTCAGATATTTACCACAGAGACGACGCCTTCACAGAGACCATTCCGTTTGTGATCTTGATTTTCTCCCTGCTGCACATATGCAAAGAACTGTTGCAAATCTACGTTCAGCGTTGGAACTACTTCAAGGACCTGTCTAATTACCTGGACTGGACCCTTTATATCACTACAGCATTGTTTATGGTCCCCTATGTCACAAATCCAGCCGACCTCGACGATTGGTTTGGCGGTATGCAGGATCCCCTAGTACTTTGGAATATTGGAGTTCTTGCAATCTTCGTGTGCTACACCAACATGATGCTGTTTCTCAGAAGATATCGCTTGTTTGGCACTTACATCTCAATGTATATTGAAGTGACGAAGACTGTATTCCAAGTTATGGTTGTGTTTTTTTTTCTGGTTCTGGGATTTGCATTGGCTTTTTACGTCCTCTTTAAAGAACAGGTAAGTTAGTTCTCAGGTATTGTTGGCTAATCAGTTAATCTTGCGAGAAAAAACAAGAATTGTGTTATTAGTTGATTTAACTCTAAAGAAAAGATAAGAAAGAAACCATGAATTTTGGGATCGAGAAAAATGTCCCTTTTCCTTAATAGAGATTCCCCTTCAATAGAAGTTGATACAGAAGCAGATACAAAGATTACATGAACATTCTTCGGGGACCAAATTTTGTGTTCCCTGAATGGAGGTGTCTCACAGGGGAGGTTCCACTGTATCAATCATATCCAGGAAGACTATTAGCAAGATGACGTCAATTCAGTTCAACTACGTACTAGTATCGTTTGCTTTGAGGGATCCGAACTCCCAAAAGTTCTCTTGTTAGAAAAATAAATAATAAGTAATTAAAAACAGTAATAATTGTTATAATTACTGTTGATAGAAGAGCATTATTTCAGTTACGAAAACGTTTCTCGTTGGAACTGATGAGGGGCCAGTGCATGCCCTATTTAGCCCTCTCGTGGATATTTATAGCTTCAAATAACCAAAGGTGCTAGAAACACTACGATCTTGAACACGCTTCACCTCCAAAACAAGAACCTTTTTTCTCCATTTTTGATTTCCTTTGTCAGTTGCTGCCTTAATGTAGGGAGAACCCGAAAATCGCGTTTTGTTGCCTGGCGAAAACGCATCGAAACCGGTGCCTTGACTTTTTAATCTTACCAATCATTTCAGGCAACCTGTGACGATGTTTGGCTCCACCCTACTTCAAGGTACTGACACAGTAAGCAGTAGAAGTCTTTTTTTTCAACGAACGCTGTTCATTGCACTAAATTGCCAAGAGTCGACTAATGCTGTAGCTCCACTGTTAGTATGCACGTACATGTAAACTGCATGAAACCCAATTCGAGCGAGCGCTCGAAACGTTAGCTTGTGAATCAAGTCTAAACTGTGGCCGATTTTGTTTATCTGCTCAGTTGGTAAAACCGCATTTTATCTCACCATTATCATTCAGATTGGATTCCATACAGTGCATCATTCCCTGCTCCGCGTGCTCGTGATGATGATTGGTGAACTGGACTTTGGATCAACCTTCATAAGCACCATTCGCCAAAAGAGTGAAGCTAACAACAATCCGTTGAATCCATTCCCTTCTTTTGGATATTTCTTCCTTTTTTTGTGCTTGTTTTTGCTTACTATCGCTCTGATGAACCTTTTGGTAAGGAACTAGTTTGATATGTATTTTTAAGAGCTGAAAGAATAGGCTGAGAAAACAGCCAACGTTTCTCGACGCCACCACTGGTTTCCCCGCGAAATGACGTCTGAGAAACGAGTACGGAAATTCCATACTGATGACCTGTCACTACCCTGATCTGGGTAGTGCTTCTAATTGGTTGAAGCAGATTTCCCTCGTTGCACGACCAATCAGAAGCACTGACTAGATCTGGGAAGTGAAACGTCATCAGTATGGAATTTCTGCGCTCTTTGCTCAGACATCATTTCGCAGGGAAACCAGCCGTGGCGTCAGGAAATTTCGCAGGCTGTTTTCTGAGGCTGTTAAACAGCCGCCTGTTGTAGTTTTCTGCGCATATGTGGGATTTTGCGTTTTAAGTCAACAGAAAAATTTTCAAACTTGACTTTGGCAAGAAAAAATACTTTTCCAGCGGGTGTCGATTTCCGTAGAACTGTGTAAGCTATGTGAAATTTGTCGGAGAAATCACAGGTCATTTGTAAAGGTTCCGCACAGGAATCTCTGTGTCTTCTCAATCTAAATCTAAATGTGGTTTAGTCGGCAACATCCACGAGGGACATCACGCCCAACTGCGAAACACTTGGGATTGCAGAATAAATTTATTAATGAAGGTATGATCCTCACAGTGGTAATAGACCTTTTCACCGATACGGCGGCCATATTGAGTTAATTCGATTTACGGAGTATTATAGGATGCCCAGGGGGCATGAGCACATTTCGTTTGTATTTTCGAGCGCTTTTCGGGACATTTTTTCTTAAAGTTTTCTTAGAATAAGATTGTAATGGGTAAAAAAGATCCTTGTGCCGTGTTTGGATGTAATAATGATCGCCTTTTTCTGGTTTAGTATTAGAAATATGGTGTTTCACTGTATATTCCTCGGGAAAAGGCGATCATTATTACATCAAAACACGGCACAAGGATCTTTTTTCCACTTACAATTTTATTCTAAGAAAACTTTAAATAAAAATGTTCGGAAAAGCGCTCGAAAATACAAACGAAATGTGCTCATACCCCCTGGGCATCCTATAATACTCTTTAAATAGAATTATATAAGCAGCTGACACCGAAATACCAATTTTACAAGAGGATATGATCGTCGCAGTGGTAATTGCAATTACCACTTGTTGGGCATTACAAATTGGTTATTTCCTTGAAACAGCCCGCTCAAGACGGTGTTAGTTAAAGCCGTAAAAGTGCATTTTAATGAGAGCCGAAAGAAGCTTTGCTACTACTTCGTACTCTTGTACTGCTATTTCAAAAAAAACATTTTAATGAAGAAAAAACGAAATAGCCGCATTTACTGGAACGTTATAGCCACGGCGCTCAGTTACCATTAAAGGTTCTCCGATGTAGCTTGTTTTCGAAGATGGTGACGTGAGGTTTACCGAGCAAATTTCGCTGCGTTCAACAGTTCTTAATCACATGTAATGGGCGGTTGGCATCAGTGGTCCAAGAATTAAGAAATGTTGGGTGAATGACGTTTTTTTTTTAAATTTGGCTAGTGCTACTATTTTATAACAAGTTTAGCCAAACCGAAACGGAGAAATCGTTATTTTTTGTGACCAAGTCAGACGATATCCGAAGTTTGCTTTTACAAATCTTTATTTTATTGTGGTAAATTGTACCGTACAATTTTCCTGTAGGTTGGTCTGGCAGTGGGAGACACCGAGACAATGAAGAAATACGCCACGGTCAAGAGACTTGGGATGCAACTAGAATACCAGTTTCAAATAGAGAAGGCGTATCCCAAATACATCATCCGAAAGGTTTACGAAAGGGTTTATGTAGAGAAGCCCAACAAGCTGCCCAGAGTCAATAGGTATACCTCATTTTGACCAAATCGCAGTAAAGCCTGGTTTTCACTAGCGCATAAGCATAAGCACAAGCACATACGTAAGCAAGTGAAAAATGGGTCGACATAAGCATAAGCACAAGAAAAACGTACAAGTTCGTTCTTCTTGTGCTTGTGCTTATATTTATCTGGTAGCTTTGACTAGTGAAAACTGGGTCGACATAAGCACAAGCATAAGCACAAGGCCGTGGACCAATCATAGGTCACTCTGTCCGCCATCTTGTTTATCATTGGGTTGAGGAACGCTGGTATCGAGAATTGAGTCAAATATGCTATTCTGCGCGTGCCCATGTCCTTGTGAAAACCAGGCTTGAAAAAGCGTATGTGTGTATGCTCACATAGCGAGTTACATATTTCCAGTCAGTTGTCCTTTGTATTACGTGTATTGTAAATATCGGTTATCACGAAGTAGCTTTGGATATTTTCATGCATTTTGCCTATAGATTATGCGTGACTACGAAATGGCTTTGGTTGCCAGGAGTTGCTGGGATACAAAGGCTGTGTCCCGCCTAATATTTGTATTAGCTATTACTTCCCTGTTGATCAGTTTTCTTGCTGAGGATAGGGTTACCGGAAATTGGAATTCCCATATTGGTGCTAACATTTAATTGAAAGGAAAACACATTGTCACTTGTTTTGCTCCTCAGATTAATAGATTGGCTGCATGCAAGGTTTGCTGAAGCAGCTCCAGAACCGTTCGAAGAGGGTCAAACATCTGAATTTGCTGGACTAAAAAAAGAGATGTTAAAAAACAAGAAGAGGATCAAATCTATGATGGCCATGTTGGAGGCCCAAAACAAACTACTCAAGAACCTTGCAGCTGTCGTCGACCCCAAATTTAAGGTTCGGGAAGATGTTGACGGTGTGAGGGGTGCAGCGCGGGCATCGCTTGAAGGGGGCATAGAAAGCGAAATGCCAAAGTAACATTTAAGCGTCTACTTTACAAGATGGATGCTGCTTTTGAAATTGTGTTTTGTTAAGTTCTTTAATTGATAAAAAAAAGTTCGTGCATGTCTACAGCTTATGTTTCATTCAGCATTTATAGCGGTGCTTTTGCAACGATTAAACGTCTAATGCATTTTTTGTAAAGGTAACCAGACAATGTGGCGAAGCTAAATATAAGTGGTTTTCTCCGCACCTACACCATTGCTTCATGGCATCGTCGTAATTAACCACTCACATGTTTTTGTTAAGATACCAACAAACGGGAATACACATGTTTTCGTGACAAAATTTCCTGATTTTTCTTGGCTGCCTGGCGCCATGGAATTTTGTAGAGACCCAGCAGTTTAATTTTGTGCAGTTGTCACAGACACAAGCACGTAACATAACCTTATCGAAACTAGAGTGGAAATATACGGAGAAATGTTCTGTTGTTATTGTAACACAATTCAGACCTCCAACCGTGGGCTCTTGGACTCTCCAGATTATAGATTCAGGGGCTCCCTTGTTGACGCCCTTGGAGATAAGGGAGTTGACCCCTATGGTTCGACAGTTTAAACACAGCCTTTCTGTAGGACCTTCGCATAGCTCTGATTAGTTTGTACTACTTTACAAAATAAAATCGCTTGAGTTTTACAAAGTGTCTCGAAATGTGCGTTGAAAGGGTACGGAAATCTCACAACGCATATTTAACTCAATGGATCATTTGCGTTGCACAGTATTTTTAAAATAAAATCGGGCCTTCTTCTTGATTTTATTTTTTGATTCGCAACTGTTGGCGCACATAGCTTTTGATCCTGGACTTGTGCGTTACTTTGCAAAGACTAAGCTGTTAATGTTACTTTGCACTGTTTTATTAAATTCATGGGTAAATCTTTCGAGGTGTACATTAAAGCGTGCTTAGATTGTCTGAAAAAGCTGGAGGAAGAAGCGTTTGTAAAAAACGTTGCCTATTGTTTTTAAGTCTTCATTTTAATTAAACAAATTAATAAATCTGGCCGAATTAACTTACTGTTACTTGAAAACAACTACTAGACGTAATATGGTAGGCAACAAGGTCGTTTGCCGCTTGGTATTTCCTTATGTCCAGGGCTGCTTACTGTGACGCAAAAATTACCCTGGTAGAAATCATGTGCATAAACATAAAACTATAAAATTTTTGTCGGGAGAACGACCCGCCACAAAGTATGTTCAAATCAGCTAAACAGACCAACAAGAGTACAAAAATTGCATCACTCCGAATCACAGCTCAGATTTTCTGAAACTTCCGACGGAATGGCGCAAAACATTTGATTTTTCAACTGGAATTTCCAGTTTCCCGATGTAAATGGTAAGTACCCAGGTGTTCTTTTCTTCCTTGACCATAAAGGCATCCATCCTCCACGCAACGCGCTTGGTGGTATTGTACCCTTAATCTATGATGCGTGATGCCCTACGCTCTCTGTTTTCTGCGGTTCAGTGACACCAGGGATGAGGTGACGACCCTCTGCTCGTCTCCTTCTTCGTGTTCGGGTGAATAACACCCCTTACTAATGTGGGACATTGCGAACATGGCAAAATTTCAAGTAATTTATAACGAATCTCCTGGGTTCTTGACTAATTTAATTTCCCAAGGTTTAAACTGTTCTCTTGTTCAGACTGTTTTTTTTTTTCTTTTCAATCAGAGCTTAGGTCGCTTTCGTTTTGGGAATTGTTCCACTGTCTTTTGACTCCTGTACATCGAGGAAGTCTGGTGATATAGTTAACAGGTCTTCTAAATATAAACTGGGCGATCTATCATCATTAAACTTCATCGCGGCTTTTAGTTCAATCTTCAGAACTAATCTTCTTAATAACATGTTCTGCGTCTCGACGACATTTACCAAAGTTTTGCTGCGGTTTTTGTTTTTAGTTTTATCGAGTTTTTTTTCTAACCTCACTGTACTCAGATCCATTAGAATCCTCCTCGTCAGCTGGAAGATTGAAGTCCAGCTTTGTAGACCCTCTCGTTGCAATACAAGTTGCAATACAAAAATCTGCGAGAAAAGAAAACGAAAAGACAAGAAAAAGGAAGGACAAAGAATGAAGAGCAATTGCTTTCAGGGTAACTACAGATGAGTTTCTTATACTTACAATAGCATGCTACGAATGTTTCTGTATTAAAACCATGATGCCAACATTATAACCTCGGTTGATGTCTGAGTATCAAAAGGTACTAAAGGCCTTTCCAGGACACGATGGCGCGTCATTTTGCTGCTGCTGCTGCTACTACTACTCAGTAAAAACCGCCCACTCAATTTCGCGAGAAAACTAATTTTGCCTGAAACTCTCTGAGTTCCTTTTTACCGGCTAAATGTTGCTGAATTGCCATGTGACCGGTTAATATACTTTCCAAACACGAAAGGTTAGGAGAGAAATTGTCACTCAGTATTAACTAGTTTAAACCATTACCAGATACAAACAAACAGGAATACACACGTTTTAGTGTCAAAATTTCCTGATTTTTCTAGACCGTTTAGCGCTATGGAGTTTTGTAGAAGCTAACAGTTTAATTTTGTACAGTTGTAATAGACACGAGCACGTAACATAACCATATTGAAACTAACTAGTCATAGTCTGTTTTAAGAGTGGAATACGAAGAAATGTTGCAGTTATCGCTCCAGGAACCCGTTTCTCAAAGTCCCGATAATCAACGGGCCCGTAAAGCTGTTGTTGTTTACATGCAAGGTAGAAGTTTCGATAGTTTTGCATCTAACATGATAAAACTATCAGTTAATGAAACAAAATGGAGTAGTTTGCTAGCCAGGGCCCACGCTCTTATTCCTTATATTTCGATTTGAAAATTTGATTTCGGGCCCGAAACGGTACCTGGGCTTTCGAGAAACGGGCCCCTGGCCATGGAACTTAACTCGTGTGGCAAAACAATTTAACTCTGGGCTCCAGAATTAGATTCATGGACTTCGCTTCTTGACGACCTTGGGCATCATGAGATGACTCTTATGGTGCGACTGTATACAAAAAATCCTTTACACAGGAGTCGGGACCTTCACATAACTCTCATACGTTTGCATTACTTAACTAAAATAAAATTGGATTTTTTTGTAGAGTAAAAGGGTCGAGGCATAGCTTTTGATCTTGGACTTGACCAGGACTAGCAATGCCTGCACATAAATCATACTCATACATGAACATGGCTTGGTAAGCAATTAAACTGATAATAATAAATAATAATAAATGTCATTGTCTAGGTTGTTCCAGTCTTTTTTTCCAGATCGAGGGGGGTATAGTAAGTCGACAACACGTGCTTTAACTTGTGGGGTTCCTCAAGCGTCGGTCTTGGGCCCACCGCTTTGTGTAATATAATAATAATAATAATAATAATAATAATCTTTATTTCTTAAGATAAAATTACATATCCTAAGTTATAATATAAACTCAAAAAACTATTTACATATCATATCTAAAAATTATTCTGTTACTAAAAACGTTCTTAAACCTGTCAGTGTAGATTCTAGGGACAGAGACTGACGTATTTCTAAGATTGTACCTCGTATTCTTTTCCTTAGGTAAAAACTGGAAGAACGGACATTCGGGGTCATTCGATCTGTTTTTGTAGAGTTTCTTGTCCGCCTTCTCTAGCAAGTCCCTGATATTTACATTCTTGGACATAAACTTTCTTTTCATACACCAGTCTAAAAAATTCTGTATTACAGAAAGGTCGGAATCTGAGGCACCATAAACCGGCAGAGCGTAAGAAAAATTTGGTAAAACTATTGCGTTAAAAAGGTGATCTACTTCCTCCTGGGACATTCCTTCCTTACGTAAAGATCCTAATACGAATAATGACTTGTTCGCCTTAATTACCTTCGCGCGCACGTGACCGTACTGTATTTACAATTTTGTTGGAAAGTAACACCTAATATGGTAACTCTGCGCACTGCGGTATATTACTAACTGGCGCGATGTCCTGACTGAAACCTTTCTTACGGAAAATAATCTCCTTGCATTTTGTTGGATTGCATGTCATGCGATTGCGGCTAGACCAGCTAAGAAACTGATCCACCAAGTCAGTGCGACACTGGCCGTTTCCCCCAAAAGGGACGATAATTGTAGAATCACAAGCATATTTAAACAAGGCTGGGCGACCTTCTAGATTGATTTTTTAGTCATTAATAAACACGTTAAAAAGATATGGCCCACTGACACTACCTTGTGTCGTACCCCTATTAACCTCACGCCGCTGTCCCTCAAAACCGTTATAAACTACTCGCTGCTGGCGTTTCTCGAGAAAGCTTAAATACCAGTTCACAATAAGGGGATTCAATGGCAACTGCCTAAGCTTAGATGACAGGAGTTCATGATTGACACAGTCAAATCCTATACACCACGCCTATTGCTGACATCATTAACTTTCATAATCTACACTACCACTTCTATGCTGACGACACACAATTATACGTCACCTTTAAGACCGACTATGATGTTGATGCTGGCCTGTCCAGGTCAAGAGTTGAACACTGTGTTGTAGATATCGACAGATGGATGACTAATAATAAGCTAAAGCTCAACGAGAATGAAACAGAGCCGCTGGTTATAAGCTCCAACTTTCGATCACGGACAATGGTCACTTCTATTCAATTAAGAGTTGAAGTATTAAAAAGCAGCCCTTTGTAAGAAATTTGGGAGTGATACTTGACCCAGGATATAACAATGGATAAACATATTAGTATGATATGTAAAACCTCCCAACACCATCTTCGAAACATAGGGAACATTAGAGAATTCTTAGATCAAGGTTCTGCTGAAACCTTAGTTTACTACTTTAATACCTCTAAGATTGACTATTGTAATGCTCTTTTGTTTGGACTACCTAAATATCAGATGAATAGGCTGCATTTAGTATTGAACACTGCTGCGCGTGTGGTCACTCTTGCTCGCAAATACGACCATATAACTTCTGTAATGAAGTCGCTGCATTGGTTACCGGTATCTCATCGTATTACTTTTAAGATTTCTCTATTAATTTATAAAGCAACTCAACGGCTTGGCGCCTATTTATCTATCCGACCTATGGGCCCCGCGCTGTTATAAGCGCTCACTTAGATCTTGTTCTCGGGAGCTTATAAGTGTTCCGAGATCTAGAACTGTGACTCACAGAGATAGGGCATTTTCCGTCATTTTTGTCACCCCACAGTGTGTCTCCATGGTCAAACAGTGGGATAATTAAGCAATTGTATAGTGTTAGCCTAGCATGTAAAGGTAAAAATGTCGTATTCTCTTTATCTTTCCAATCCTTTCATTGATCTTTGTACCGACAGTATCAATGTGCACAGACCAAGCCAAGTTTGGTTTATAACTTCTCCCACGTACTTAAACGAGTCAAACCTTTCAATAGCAGTGAAAGTTACTTTTAGAGAAACGTCATTAACCAGTTTAAGCTTCGGTGAGTTACCAAGAATTCCGAAATTGCATTTAGAATCATTTAGTGTCAACAGATTACTCGAAAACCAATTGGAAACTGTAGCCAAATCAGAATTTAACTTGCTTTCAAGGTCAAACAGATCAGTCGATAAGTAATAAATCACAGTGTCATCAGCGTAAAGAACAATTTCACCGGCAAGCTGACATGAAGGTAAATCATTCACATAGATAAGAAAAAGAAGCGGTCCTAATATGCTTCCTTGTGGGACCCCAACAGTTAATGGTGCAGCGACAGAGAGTGTATCTCCGACAGACGTCCTTTGTTTTCTGTTCGTGAGGTATGTCTGGAACCAATTAACAGTGTCTTCTGAGAGTCCGACCGATTTAAGCTTATAAAGTAAAAGGTTGTGGTCAGCTGTGTCGAACGCTTTCGAGAGATACAAGAAAACAGCCCCTGTAAGACGACCAGCCGGATGGATCCGGTCAAAAGTTCGAGGGACGTTATCAATAAAGTGTGTCAAGGCTGTATTTAGATAGCTTGGGTCGAAAACCAAAGTGCTTGGAGGAAATGATCTTGTTGTCATTTTGAAAATGGTAGAGTTGGTTATGTACCGCCTTCTTCAGAAACTTGCTCAGCGGAGGTAACACTGTTATTGGCCTGTAATTGTTTGGGTCACAGTGATCGCCTTTTTTTAATACGAAGGCGGATATCTTTCCAAACTTCCATATTAAGGAACGGAAAGTACAAGTGACCAATGATCGATTAAACAATTTTGTGAGAATTTTACTAATTACACTAGCCGAGTCTTTCAGAAGACGGGCACTGATATTGTCTAAGCCAATTTCTCTATTGGTTCTAAGTTATTTCAGGTCACCGGGTACAAGCTCTTCGATAACTGTCAAGGCTTCTGCTTGCAGAGGTAACATATACATGGAGATGAAAAAAACAATGTTCTATATTTATGTGATTGCATTGCATGTACAAAACTAGATTACATCGCTCCAATTGTACTACAAAAATACTACCTCTCAATACATTACCATGATAATTTAATATCTTAAAAGCAAAGCTTAGCTTATTGTACAAATTCATTGTCTTACTCTTCTTAAAAGCTGAGAAGCAGTACTACTGCCTAACTTTATACTAGCCAATTGCACTTTTGCAAAGGAAATTAGGACTAAGCTGTTGAGTGTTACTTTGCACTGGTTTTTGACTTGTTGGTATATCTTTAATAATAATAATAATAATAATATTTAATATTTATATTGCGCATTTTCTATAAAAATAATTAAATGAGCATTACAAACATTACAATAAATACAAAAGTAAGAACCTATTTACAGTCACTTTGGAATCAAAGACGAAAACTTCACTATTTACAATTGGTTATAAGAAAAGTAATTTGCAGAAAAACTATATAAAAATCTAAATATAAACTAATTGTACTAACAAAATGCCTTGCTGAATAAAAATGTCTTAAGTTTCTGTTTAAAATCACTTTTGGTGCAAGCAGATCTAATGCTTACGGGAAGACTGTTCCAAAGCGGGTTCAAATTGTCTAAAAAAGCTGACGGAAGAATTGTAAAAACCTTTGCTATTGTTTACTTATGGGCCTCATTTTGCAACTTTGCTGCCATTAACTTTCAAAAAAAGTCTTAAATTCATTTCAAAAATTTTAATATACAAGCTGAATACACTAACTCTAATTCGTATGCCGCTTTTTCCTTCCTTATCATTTAGCCTGTATCGAAAACCTTCTCGACCCTACAAGCGTCTACCCTCACCCTTGCATAACTTGCTTGGTATCTTGTCAAGAAGGTATTGTGCCCGCGTTTTGTAACCTTTCTGTGGTGCGTCATACTCTGCGCTTCAGAGATGCCTAGCAACGATGCGACGACCCTCTGCTAGTCTCCTTCTTCTTCGTGTTCGGGTGAATGATGCCTGCTTCTGATATGGGAAATCCTGACATTGTCAACATGGCAAAATTTCATGTAATTTATTACGAATTGCCTGGGGTCTGCACCAATTTAATTCCCTTGTTTAAACTCTTCTCTTGTCCATACTCCCTCCCTTTTTTCTTTTCAATTGTTTAGCTTTCTGTCGTTTCGGGAATTGTTCCTCTGTCTTTTGACTCCTTTCCATCGAGGAAGTCTGGTGATATAGTTGCCAGGTCTTCTACACTGGGCGGTATATTACGATATTGAATGTCATCAAAGTTCATCGCGGCTTCAGGTTCAATCTTCAGAACTAATCTTCTCAGTAAAATGTTCTGCGTCTCGACGACATTCACCAAAGTTTTGATGCGTTTTTTAGTTTTATCGAGCTGCTTTCTAACTTCACTGTACTCAGATCCATTAGAATCCTCCTCGTCGGTCGGAAGACCAAAGTCCAGCTTTGTAGACCTTCTGATTCCAATACGAGCCAAAAATCTGCGAGAAAAACAAAGCGAAAAGGAAAAAAGAAAGACAAGGAATAATAAAGAAAAATTACACTCACAACAGCATGCTACGCATTTATCTGTAACCTTGCTGGAAACATTATAACCTACAATCCTGGACAAAGTCTTGGGACAATTTTTATTTGCATTTGTTTCAAGGGCTTTTTTCAATTCAAACATGCCCAACCCCTCTCCCCATCCAACAACCTTACACGCTTGTATCCAGAAGTTTCTCGGCGAGTTTCAACATTGTATAGGCTGGGAGAGAGAGGACCGCCAGCAATTTTGGAAAAAGACGCTCTGTCTTATGAGGGCACCTAGAAATTACAGAAACTATGAAAACTGAATTACTGTCCTAACGTCGTTTGTCCAGGATTGTAGGTTGATGTCCATAAGAGTAATAAACGACTTTACGCGATGGCGTTACATTAATTCCCTGCTTCTACCAGGAACCATTTAGTTTTGGAAATCCCAGCTAGGTTGAAATGAAAATACCCTAATTTGCACAGGAAAAAAAGCCCTGAAGAATTCTGGTAGTAGAGGTATATTTACATAATCGTGTAAATGGCCTATTGCACAGCACTTTACCTTGTCCATCTGCTTTGTCGATTGGGCATAGAAACTAGCGTGGGATGATAAACTCTTCTTGTGATAAATCTTGGGTAGCTTTCCTCTATCTCAGCTACAAATTCCACTTGCATAGCTAAACGCTTTAGAGTTGCGTTATTTTGTATGGTATCAATATCCCCCACCGCCAAACCAACCTAAGCCGGAAAAATAACTCTTGTTTTAATATGCAACTCTAAGTAGTTAAGGAAGGTGCGCCCGCATTGAATTAAAAACTAACCGTTCTTTGTAAAGATTATGGGGAAAAGGAAATTGTACATAAAATCTACTGAGGATTAATGGTATCCAACACAAACCGTGCTTAAAATTTGGCTTAATCTTGGGTTAAACTTAACCATCATTTGAGGAACCGGGCCCAGGGGAAAGAAACTAAAAAATAACTGGCCGTCAACACCCAACACATCGTCATTATCGGGTGAGCGAAACTGATCAGTCCAGAATCAACTGGTAAGTGATCATTTAAAGGAACTCATTGTCACAAGGATATTGTTGATATTTCCTAGCGATATTACTTAGTGCCTTTAAACATACACAAAGTGCTCCTGCACTGAAAATTAAAAAGATCGGTTTTACCCATAAAGTGCTAATTCAGCCCTGCATGGCAAAGTCTCATTCAGCCCTTTCTGGAGCCGTTTGTCAGCCAAAACAGCCCCATCAAAAGGCTATTTCAGCCCACGCTGAGGCTCATTTCAGCCCTTGCGTCCAAATCAACCCAAGGTAATTGGACTGTATTGGCCCTGATTAAGGGAGCCAAATTAGACTCAAAAATAGTACGGTATCTTATTTTACTTACCGAAACCCCCCATTTTAGGACGGATTCCATCAGGAAATTGAGTAATTTCAGTTTTCAGTGGACAAAATCCTTGCACCAGAATAATTTTAACAATAGCGCATCCTTTTTTGCGTTTTTCAAAAGCTATAGATATAATTAGTTATCTGTAATAACACCAAAGACTATTTCTCATAGGAGCCCGAGAAAATAAATGTCAAATTTCAGAAAAATTGTGAAAACACAGGTAAAATTTTGAAAATGTCATGTGTAAGATGTCATTTGGTGAAATTTAACATTTATTTTCTCGGGCTCACATAAGAAATTTTCTTTGGTGTTATTACAGGTAATACATCTACACCCCTTGAAAAATGTAAAAAAGAATGCAATATTGCTTAAATTAGGTACAAGGTTTTTGTCCACTAAAAATTAAAATTACTCAATTTTCTAATGGATTTCGTCTTAAGAGCTACAACAGATGTTTCTGATTTATAGTGTGTAGAGTTATGACGAAGATATCTATTTAAAAAATTTCATTAAGGAGCACGAACCGTAATAACTTTGGTGGTTTGTGCAGACATAGCATTGACACCTGATCACGTTGGCTCAACTTTTTCAAGTTTCAATCCATCCGTTTAAACAGACGACAAGAAACAGTTTCAGTGGCTTAAATATAGTCATGAATGAATAACAAAACTGGACCATCATCTTAGAAATTCAACTGACGCTAAAAAGTTTTAGCTTTTGAAAGCCGCGTAGCTCCTTCAATAAGGTAGGTTCGCCTAAGACATACTTGGATATACCTACCAGCAAATTCATTAGTATAATTGCCATGAGTAGCATGAAGATACTCAGGGACACAAAGGCAGCTTGTGGAAACGGATTGAGTGGCCTTCGAGTTGAAGTACTGTTCTTGCCAATCGTGTCAATGAAAGTGTCATCAAATTCAAATTCGCCAACCATCATCACCACGACCTTGATGAAAGCTCTACCAGGCTCATTAAAAGCATCCTGTTAAAGATAATCGAATGATTTAGGATTTACAGGAATGTTTTATCACATGTACATGATTAATGCACATTTAACGATTAAATGAGGCTGAGCTTGATATGAAGATTTATACAGATCAAGAGGGGGTGTTATCCACCGGCGAGGCCAAAGGCCCAGGTGGATAACGGCCTCCGATATATGCATGGTCTTTTTTAATATCATCAGAAAAATAACAAAGTACTGAGAAAGAACATAATTACTTGTGTCTTAAATAAAAAAAATACTTGAAAAGAAACAACAAAAACAAACCAAAAAAATAACTGCGTACAGTTTTTTTACACTATACACTTCGTCTGGCATGATTCACCATGGTACATTATTCGGCTATGCCTCACCTGCTCTTTAAATAGAATAAAGAAGACAATGCTGAAGCCAATAATAAAGATGACGAACACCAACAAAACCTTGAGCACCGTTTTGGTCACCTCTACGAACATGGTAACATAAACACCAAACAGACGAAATCGGCGGAGGAAGAGCACCAAGTTTGCATAACAGAAGAATATCGATACCAGGCCCACTATCCAAAGGAGATAGGGGTCTGTCATTTCCTGAAATAAATCATTTATGACGTGATCCGGCATAACGTACGGCATCATGAATGCACACGAAGTGCCATACAACACCCACTCCAACAAGTTGCTGATTTCAGTGAAGTACCTCAGACGTTGGATCACTATTTGTAGTATCTCCTTCAGCAGATGGATAATAGCGAAGATAAATACGACATAGGAAAATCCCGTGCTGAAGTTTGATTGAGTATTGTAAAATTCGGAGACTGGGATACATCGTAATTCTTCCCACTCTCGCCAGGTTTCATTTTCGTCATAATAACCGTACGTTTCTACGAAACATTCCTGTCCCTTAACTTCAAAAGTTTTAGTAAAGTTGGCCTTTTGCCTCTCAGTTATTACAAAAGCTGAGTAAAGTCCCACAAAGATCAAATACGTCAAAAAGTTAAAGTAGTAAATGAAGCGTCCAAACGTGGACCATTTTTGGTTCAATAAAACTTGGGTAAGTGGATGCATAAGAAGCTTCATCCTTTGGTATTTCACCATGGTACTGGGACCGAAGAAACGCCTTCCTTGAACAAAAGCTGGATCATCTGGGCCCGGGTCTAACAGATGGAAGTCATACGTAACTGAGAACTTTGGGTCATTCAGGCTTTTCATCTCCGAGCGCTTTATACAGCGATCCATTAGTAGCTCTGCACTTTCCGGAAAGTGTTGTATGAGTAGCTTCATAGGTGTGTGCCCATTGATGTCTTTGTACTCCATCACTTCAGGCCATCTGCAGAGTAAGAAAATGTTACTTTTGTCTCGAAAAGGTTATAGTTATTTATCCTATTGGAATACAATAATCAATGTTCTTTTGTCTCACGTATAGCAGTCGAATCGTCGCGAATTTTATCCCAAGTGGCCTCATTGCGATACAAGCGATAGTACCTTTTTGTCAGTCAGTCAAGAAGTTTATTTTTCATGTAGCATTCAAGAAGCATGCCATGCATCATGCAAAAATGCTACAAAGTAATCAGTGTCTTCAAGAAAGCAGAGTCAAACATATGGCGGATTAAATCTTTGGCCATGACATTCGAATGTACCCAGTTTCTTCCAACTTAATTTTGCGCCCGAAACGTTTCTAATGTTTATAAAAATAGGATGAGATTTTGCACAATTCCAATTATGACCATCATTCCTAAATGTTCTGGCGAGGGTAAAGTGTTACCTCGAATGCTTGACCAGAGCCATGGCCACTTCTCCGTTGCCTGCCCGGACTGCAACCTCCAAACAGGTCAGACCATGGTTGTTACAGATGGTCAAACTTGCTCCATTGTCTAACAGCAAGTTAACGATGTTTACATGACCTTGTCCACAAGCAATGTGCAAGGCACTGTCTCCCTCCATGTTAACATCATCCAGCGATGTCTGCTTTTCCAGCAATTCTTGACAGCACTTTACCCAGCCCAGTTTGGCTGTCCACATAAGCGGAGTCCACTTATCATTGTCTGTGCTACTGATGTTTGCTCCTAGCTTCAGAAGAGTGTAGCAAACTTTTCTGCAAGTTCAAAAGGAAAAGTGACAATACTCCAATACTCTAACGTGTCTACCAACAATTTTAACTGATGAAGGGTGGAACGTAACTTAGTTACCTGATAAAAACACTGGTAAATTACATCCCGTTCTTGACAGCAAGCAGAAGCGCTAAAATATTGTGTACAAAGTTGTGTAGACGATTACAAAAACAAATTGAAACAGATTTAATTAGAATGGCTAACCTGTGTCCATTAATGGCAGCATTATGAAGAGGAGTTCTGCCTTTATCATCTCGTTCATTTAAACCAGAGGCAACTCGTCGCGCCAAAGCTTCCACATGCGCAAACATTCCATGCTGTGCAGCAAGATGTAGTGGAGTTTGTTGCATTTCATCGTGGAATGTGAATCTTGCCTGCCTTTCCAAGAGTGAATCCATTATCTAGTTAGGTGAAAACACAAACATATCATTCACTGCTAATGATTCAAGAAATAAAGATTGTTTTTTTTTTCTGGAAATGATCGCATTTTTCTCGGGCGAAACCAAGAAATGTAACTCAAAATGTCTGATATCAAACTTTTGCTAACACCATTTGGCTGAAGATATGCCTCGGCTTCCCTTTTTCACCGATACGGTCTAGTCTGGAGGAAAAAGATTGATATTTCCACCTAATGACACAATTAAGCTACATTCCATGCAATCGGTCTTCAAAAATTGTAGCGATCAATGCAATTGTTTGCACATCTATCACTGAGCTGAAATAAATGAACTGGTAGATTTTATTCGTTAATGAATTATGTAAACAACAGTAATTTCTCTCTCAGACAACATTGGAATCAATACGGAGTGTCCATCATGCAGATTATCTGGTATGGGTCATAGGTGGTCAAGGAAAAGACCGGACTGGAAAAGGATGGGGTCCAAATTTAGGTTCCCGATTAAGAAGGGGATCGGTCAAAATAGAGGTGTGACACATGAGAGTATACATGGAACCCTTAAGCACGGTACCTACCCTAACATCTTTTACCATAGCAGCGTAATGTAGTGGGACCATTTCCTTTACATCTGGACTATACAGGTTGAACAGAATGGATTTTTCCTCCAACAGCATGTGCAGCGTCTCGAGATGTTCATTCTCAACAGCCATATGAATACAGTTCTTCATAAAAATATCGCTGGTTTTAAAGTCTGCCCCTCTCTGCAGAAGAAGCTGAGCGCATTCTGTCTGGCCAGCAGCTACAGCGTCTAGAAAGGGAGTGCTGTTTTGTGCATCGCGAGTGTCGATTGGTACGTGATGATCAAGCAGAAAAGATATGATGTCAACACGATTGAATACGGCTGCCCTGTGAGAACAATTTGTAGAAGTCGTTACTTGTCGGCTGGATTTCACACAGTATCAATTGACTAATTACCTCGCGCGGATTATCGCAGATTTTAGTGTTTTATTGCGCGCGACCAGGGGAGCCGACAATCCTTATCTCCAGGTTGCTATTTCATTCGTGTGAAAGGCACTTATATATAGTCATCATTCGTCTGGACTTCCACTAAGAATGAATGGAATGCATAGAACGCAATCCGATCAAACGTTTTGTTGGAACTTCTATCTTTCGTGATCTGATCTCGCGCATTTTGACCATCTATCACGTGAAACTTAACTTGTGCAAAGAAAAGCGTTGTAACCTGTAAATGCAGCCGTCCCTAGCGTATTTTCAGGCTAACAGCGTTTAGTCCAGTGAAATTGTGGTTTAGTATCAAACTAATTGCAACAGAATTTTTTTCAACGCCATTTAATTGTTGAATGGCTGTTTAACAGCATACTAAAAATCCGCCAAAATCGGTTCGGTGAAACATGAGAAAAATTGGCAATAAAGATTTTCAACTCTCACCACAGGAAGCCCAATTTCAGGAAGATCACAAATTCAGAAAAACATCTGATAATTGTGTTTTATTTTTTCAGGGATTTTTGATACAACATCGCTAGTGTATTTTGGGTAGTTTTGATTTAAAAAACGCAGACTTAATGTGTGAGAAACACCATCGTAAGTGTTTCGTCTTGACGGATCTGCACAGGCTACCCAGCCACTTGTCTGTCTTCATATTCTGTTTTCTTTTCGTTTTTTTTTACTATGACGGTATTTAAAAGGGAAATTATTAGTCAGTCTATGTTAACATGGTTAAAAACAATAATTCTTTTGCGCAATATCAGAAATGCAGTAAGTATTTCACTTAGCAGTTTTACAGGCTGGTAATTTTTTATATGTGCAGCATGGATTCAAATTTAGTAGCTGACTGATGGTGAGCAGTTTGATTTGATATTTTGCTCACCTTCGGTCAACTACTAAATTTGCATCCATGCCGCAGGATAACGTGCGACCAAATGTTTGCAACGGACGATAGTTTAGTATCAGTACAAACTGTTTCACACCTATTCCGTTTTCTGTACGTAATCGAGTTTTGTGAAGTAGGTATGTTCAAACCTTGGACACAATATTTGTGATCGAAAACAGGGATTCTTTTGTTTTTCTAGCGACATGCGCAACTTCCTTTGGGATTTTGACTCCGTGCTTTACAATGTGAGTGAATAAATATTCTGCTAAGGACTCCGTCTATTTTTTTTTTACTAGATCTTAACGCTCTGCGCTTTTCATTACCCCTGGCCAAATTTGTTGTAAGGAAAACCAAGCGCAGTGTGATTGTTCCAGTTTTATCTTCTCGTTGTAGCAGTCTCAGATTTAGTTTAGTCTATCTGTATGTTTAGTTTGCATTTTCTGCGGCAGCCCTTCATTTCTTGGTAAGATGAATAAGTAGAGTAATCGCTCTGTTGTCTCGAGGCGTTTATATTCCCTCCTTGCATTTCTCTTGTGAGAACAACCCTGAACCTTGACCAGTTTTTTTTCGTCCATTGGCAAATGAAGTCTGAAGACCTCTTTTTCTATAACGATCGTGGGATCCTATACGTCTGAAAATAATTGTAGCGGTCAATGAAGGAGCGAAAGTACTGGACATATGCACGACATTAATAGGCTTGAATGACTTGGCTTCTGATGGCTCTCCTCTTTTTGCGGAGCCTATATTTCTCTTCGGATGAGCGTTGTGTATCACTTCAACTTACTACATGTTAACCTTTTCACTGAGTTGCGTAAATTATTCTCTGCGTGGGGAATTTCCATTACTCCATAGACTCTTACAATATATTTTTACGTACGCATTGGTTTGGCTACCCAGAGTTAATTTTTCTCTTGAAAACCTGCCTCACTATTTTACTATTTCGTTTTCTTGAAACAAACGTTTGCTAGCCTGCGCGCAGACGAAATTAAACTCTGGTTAACTCCGTCTGCGAAACAGCGCCGAAATCCTTGTTCTGGACTTCCAGCTGTGTACCCAGATTTGAGTACGCACCACGATTGGCCAGTTAAAAAAGACTTTTGTTTTGTTTGTCGCAAGACTGGTAATAGCCAATCAGGTTGAAGGGAAATTCGAAACGCACTTCCGGTAATTCGTTGAGTCGGCTGGAGGTCCAGAACAAGGATCTATGCGCTGCTTCGCAGACGGTACTAATCAGAGTTTAGTTATCGTCTGCAGGCAGGCTAACGTTTGCTGGAACCAAAGTTCTTATGCGATGAATGTTCAGTTAACCTTTATAATTTTTTTGGGAAGGTAACAACACTTTTCCTTAAATGAAAACCCATTCCCCACCTATCAATTCATAGGCATTGGAGCTTATCCGCTAAGAAACTCTGCAATGTTGTGCATCGTAAAGAATTAGTAAACTATCCTCCCCTCCTCTCCGATTCACTTTTAACAAGAGGAAAACAAAAAACTTCAAAAAAGTGAAACTTATATTTGAGGATGTCAGTACGTTAACGAAGATTAATGTATAGGTAGCCGTAAAAGCCAAAGCATTACCTTGCTGGATATTTGAAAACGTACCGAACGAAAATTGCAGTCTTTTGACAAGAAAAAGACCAAAAGCAAAATGAGCCTGAAAATCCCCCTAGAAAAGAACAAGGAAAGAAAAAAATAGAAAGAGATAGTTTTTCACTAAGAGAAAACACTTTGATGGGAGAGCTCTGTTTTGGCTGTAACCTTCTGAAAAATCGAACTAGATATATATTTTTCTTACTCGTGCGGCTAACAGAAATCTGATTAAAAAAAGGAAATGAAAATTAATAAAAGCCAATGATTAAGTAACGGCCTTCATTTTTCAGACTTAAAGCTTTAAGACTAAATTTGCTGTAGTTTTACAGCCAACAGTTCACTCTCTTATTCTGTAAGCCTTCTGTTATTTGGGGATTCCTTGACTGGAGCATGGGTGTCCTGTGCAAAAGCCAACCGTGATTAACATTTATCCTTTTTGAAAAAATAAACACTTCGTCTTATCACCGAAAACTAGATGGCAGTTATTCTTTCTTCTCTCACTTTTCCATAAAAGTAACAAACACATTTTGTGCTTTTTTTGTTTTAACGTATAATTTCAAATAACGTGGGTTGCCTGTGTTTAAAGTTCTAAATGTTTAACGCTTAATTTTGACATGTTTCACCGATCGGATTTTGGCGGATTTTAAGTATGTTGCTAGACAGGCCACCCTTACTTAAATAACGTTGAAAACAATTCTGTTACAATTAGTTTGATGTTGAGCCTCGAAAATGCGTAGATTGACTGGATTAGTTAGAGCAAGAACGGTTTGACATTTCATCATCCTCGCCCGCACTCTCTCACCTTTGGTTATTACTAGGTTGTCACAGTGATACTCACTTAAAATTACAATGTTGTAACATCTTCACCGTCGTGTACACGACATCTCCTAAAAGTTGTCTCATCTAAAACGTGCTTGTGTGGACAGGGCTTACCTTGCTTAGTGGAGTAAGAAACGCCCACGATTACAACAGAATGCGAATTTCAAAGCTCAATAACACCAAAACTGTTACCTGTGAAGAACGGTTTTGGAGTCTGCATTCTTGGCAGTCACATTTGCTCCATTTTTGACTAAGAACTCCACCATCTTTAGATTTCCTTTCACTGTTGCTTCGTAGAGCGGGGTTTCATTGTTTGTCCTAAGCGCATTGATATCAGCACCGTTCTGAAGGCACACCTCGGCTGTTTGAAGATCGTTTGTTCCAGCAGCAAGGTGCAGAACAGTGTTGTTATGTGTATCTCGGTCCTCTACGAGTCCCTTTATGCTCTCGCTACCCTCGGCGGCTAAGAGAACAGGACAAATAATTAAAATGAAACATGTTCATCGTAGTTTCATGTCTGATAGGGTTCTTTTATCGTTTGTCTCACGAAAGCCACTTTGTCATTGATCGCGCGATGCCTGACGTAAACGGCAGCAGCAAATGTGCTAAAGAACATCACGCAGAGAGCGGTAGAAACATCGCGATCAATAAAGTTACTTTCGTGAGGCAAACGACAGACGATAACCAATCACTATCTTTTAAAAATATATATCACAGCGTCTAGTGCGAATTTATGTGGTTTGTATAACCAAGAAAATTCATATGTGTGTAGTCGTTCGACCTTCAGCATTTTTTTATACAGTCCCTGATTGTGTAGACATCCCAAATCTCAAAATCTTAGTTTTATGTGCGAATCAGCATTGGCTGACAGCTATTTTTCTTGTTTTATTTCCCTCTCTGGTATTATTTAAGTTGCATCCCATATTTTTTCCGCATTAAACAGGTCACGTGACTGGGAGCTGCAAAGGGTCTATTTAATAAACGATTTCCGCTATGCAACGCTGGAAGAAAATGGGCAACATCCTGAAAAGTTCTCACCAATGTGCTCTCAAATTTTGGCATCATACCCCAGATGTTAAGAACTAACTTCGTGCACGTAGATTTTTTAGGCTTGCCTAGAATACCTACCCGTCCGCAAAATCAACGCGGCGACTTCGGCGTTGCCGTGATACACAGCGGTATGAAGTGGGGTCATGAGTTCGGTGGACTTCGCTCTTATATCTGCTCCTCTCCCAAGAAGCATCTTTGAAATTGCTATGTTTCCACTGACACAGGCCAGATGAAGTGCAGTCATGTGGGCGAAGTCTTTCTCGTTGATATCAACCTTAGCATGATCGAGAAGCAGTTCCGCTACTTTGTGATTCCCTCGACGAGCCGCAAAATGAAGTGCTGTGCTCCTATTGGTTGATGCTATCGCAGGGTTGGCACCTCTTTGGATTAGTAACTTCACAGTTGCGACGCAGTTAAATCTAAAAGGACCAAATTGGGCAAGATAAAGAAAAAGGTCGTTGTCAAAAACTAAGTGGTACTGTCAGCGTGTTCAACTCCCCACGACCTGAAAAGCTAGCCAGCCGACATCTCGCGACGCCACCACTGGTTTCCTCGCGAAATGACGTCCGAGGAACGAGCAAAGAATTTCCATACTAATGACACGCCGCTAACCATATCTGTCCATACCTGGGTAGTACTTCTAATTGGTTGAATTTTTGCTTCATCCAATCAGAAGCATTTCCCAAATCTGAGTAGTGACAACATTTACTTTTTTGGCGTTATGCTAATTTTTCTAAATTAATGCGGACCATACATGTCTCCACGACTCTGAATACATTTCGGTGTGAATATTGTCAATGTTTTAGATTCAAAAGATGCAATAAAAAAGCAGTGAATCGAATGCCGTAACGCGGATTTTTAGCCGGTTGGAGTTCATCAATCTTAATGAAAGTTTCAGAAGTTGTTACATACGTGAAGATTAAGTGATGAGGTTTAAAAAGAATTCTGTCGAGGGGTTCTAGGGATATACAGAAAAGAGAATAGAATAAAGTTGAACTTTGACAGGTGGTGAGAAAACAATTCAGTTTTCAAAATCACAAGGAAGAAAATACACCAAAATCTCCGAACAGCAAAATATGATATTAAGCAACATTCTGACGCTACTTATAAAGATTAATTTGAGTTATTTAGAACTTTTTATTACAAAAATTATCACGCCTATTGAAAATATAAGGTTTGAAATAAATCTACGCTTTATTTGAATTCGAATATTTAGAATTTTTTACTTTTCACGGAGGTTATTTGCTATAAACCAGACGTTAATTTTCTGGTGTCGGATTGTCAGTAGCAGGTCTAGATCGCACAAAATTCGGATTTTACCGATTTCAATTTTTTTGTCTATTGTTGCCTGAGTGATATCTACTGACTTAAAGCTAAGTTTTGACAAACTTCAATCCAAAGTCAGTCAGCCTGGTTGAAAATTTCATGGCGCCGATAGGACAAGGATAAAATCACTTGACGATTAAAATCTGATATCTGTATGGTGTTCGAAAAAGCTGTGTCGAAACACTTTTAAAAGAATAATAGAAGAGTATTTTCAGCTTGAAATCGTCAAAACAATACGAATATTCAGCCTGGGCCGGAAAAACAACATTCCGAAATGGTCCGTTCCATTTAATTTCTAATTGAAACAGTCAGCTCCGGAATTTTGGACTGAATGGGAAGTGTCTGTTAACTAAATTGCAGTAATTAACAAAAGGTTTTGTTTTTAAGCCCGGGGCTAAACAATTTGAGACAAAACATAAACCGACTGAACCCACTGGCAGAGAATTCGCGCCGAATTACAAGCAATTGCAAAATGTTCACCATAACACACTCCGCCCCTTAAGGCGCATAAGGCCATCAGTAAAATGCTGAGGGAATCTAAAATACCATCACTCTGTCGCTCTACCGCTGCTCATATAACGGTCGCACACATCAAAGTGAACTGTGTCTCATGTTTACACGCTCATTGTTTACTGATCTCTGCTGTATTCGTTAGGCATGACCGTAATAACTTTTCGACCCTACCTATAAATGTTCAGGGGCATAAATAAGGCAATTTTTCTTGAAAAATAGCCACAATCAGGTTTCATCCACTATATCAATTACAGAAAAAGAAATGTCGCTGAACAAAATTTCAGCATTTTTTTTTATAGTAACTGCCTAACACATGGCGGGCTCGACCACAGAGAATAATTTCAGGCGATTAATGCAACCTAAGACAGTCAATATAATCCAACTTGGACCTTGTACATACATCTATAGTCTGGATTTTGATCCTCGTAAAAACTAAGCTCTCCAGACTAACCTTGCAGCGATATGAAGTGGAGTTAGACCCTCTTCCCTTGTTCTGACGTCGATTCGTGCACCGTGGTCTATCAGAGCTCCAGCAACACCAGTCCGGTTATATCTCGCCGCCTGATGAAGCAGAGCTAGCCCAGAATGGTCTAACCTGTCGATATCCTTTACGTTGTCTTTTTCCAGAAGTCGTTCATTCACTAAATCCACTACTCCATCACGTACAGCTTCGAACAAACGCGTGGCGCGGCGAATGACAGGCCTTCCAAGCTCACTCATTTCATAAGTTAATCTTTCTCTACTCACTGAATTTTTCACTTGACCTTCGTCGAGGTTTGCGTTCCTATCCATTTCGGGATCCATCGGAGATAAGGAATAATTTCCCCGATGTCTTGCCCCTGTCCTCAGCTCTGACATGAGTGATTCTTGTTCAGCTGTCCTTGTACGTTTCGTAGCCAGGGTGGCTAGTACGATTTGTTAAAACTAAAGCGATAGCGAATGACTCAAAGCGGCTTACCTCATTGACATTCCGCCTTCATTTACACCGTGCATTGTTTTCGTGATTTGCATTAAAAAAAAAAGCTTTTGAATAAGGGTCCCGCAGCGCAAAAACTTTCTCAAGCCTATACGGTGGACTTGTCTCGGGGTCACAGATTAGGTCTCAGTAACTGGGAAATTGAAATACTTTTCAGGCAACGTCGTGCAATCAGGATAAAGTACGTATGCCTAAAATACAACTGTTGGGGGTTTAAAATGCCTTCAAAACTTAAATTGGGGAATCAAAATACAAAAGAGGACTTATTGATAAAAAGAAACAATGCAAGCAAAACTAAAAAAAAAGGCCCAAATGGAAATCGTTTTATAAATGATCACGAGAATATCATTTGATCTCAATCTTATTTTCATGTCAGACTGACCGACTCCGGCTTAGTTTTGAGCCAAAAACGAGAATCTTTTAATGCACGAGCATGGATAAACTTCTTTGCTGGAAAGCAGGCATAAAACTCTTTTCAAAATAACACGTAATAGCCAAGGTCTTTGTCGTCATTTGCCGAATAACAGCGAGGTTTAATCACGTGGGAAATCTTTCCTTTAACGTGTTTACTTTATTTTGGCCTGTTTTTAAACGTAGTTGTTGTTGGTTTAACGCAAATTAATAAGCTCGGCATTTAATTAGACGATGAATTTAATTGTCAAGTACGCACGAACGCGTAACAACTAATGATTGAAATTAGACGTGAATTCTTCAATTACAATACTTGGAGGTCAAAATCACTTCTCTTAGGCCTTAATTCAAATAGTCAATTCAGAGAGTTCATAGTCACCATTACGGGAAATCTTTTGTCGCTCGTTTTGAATTCTATTTGATTTGTTTGATGTTGTTATCAAGTTATTGTTCAAGTGCTGCTGTTGCTGTAGCGATCACGAGCATGGGAAATACAAATAAACATACAACTTTCAATGCAAATCAATGATTCAATGGTTATAACGGGAACGTGATTGAAAAAAATCGTATGCCCTTTTATGGGGTAATAGTAGCAGTTTATTTCAAAATCTCTCTAATTTTAAAAACCTCCGGTGCACGATCAAATGCATTGTTTTACTTATAAATAAATATTTCGCCCCCGTTAAATGGCATTTCGGTAGCTATACCGATTTGTAATTTTTTTGTGGTCTTTAATCGAAACCAATCTAAACACTCAAACTAAAAAAAAGCCTTAGGGAATTTTTTTTAAAACTTTGTATTGAAAATTGAACACTTTTGGGGCAGCTGTTTTGCACACCCCTTGAATTTTATCTTAAAAGGAAGGGGGGTGGGGGGCGATAACTTCTTACATTGAAGACCTAACTGTTCCGAAAACTAAAACTCGTCTAGATCTAGATAGCAAATTTTCCAACTTTTTGGAAAATAAGACATCAGTATCACGATTCAATCTTTGAATTGTTCAACAATCAATCCACAAAAACTGTAGAACAGTCGTAGCAGTTACGCGGATCAGAAACACTGTGCTCAACAAATTAAATGCCACAGAATCCAACAGGATTCCAGTTTAGCTTGGCCACTTTCATTTTACTTTCGTCATTACTGGGGACGTGCCGGTCAGCCATTGCCCATCCCTGATAACGTACAGTCCCAGAAGTCTTTACGAAAGTTAACTCGGCCCAGCTTTCACATCAAGTGGCGAATACAATAAAGATGAGTTTGGTTGGCATTGATTTGTGATTTTTTTTCGAATACATATAGCAAAGAAATTATTTGACAACATGTCACACTGTGAAATGTGACAGCGCTTATAGAGTTCAATAATGTATTATTTGCGGTTTCAATAACTTAAATATTTTGCTTCGTAGAATGATGAGCCGAGGATAATTCTATCTGAAGCCTCACGAAATAGGAAGCAAAGTTTTTGGGAGCAATTTAGATTTCTGGGAAACTGCCCACCCCCACCTACCCCTCCGCTAAGCTTACATTTTGCCCTAGATAAGAAGTAAGTGTTAATGTTAGCTTAAGGGAGGGGTAGGTGGGCAGTTTCCTGGAAACCTAAATTGATCCAGTTTTTCTGCTACTATATTACTATTTAAGTGAGGAAAATTGTTGTTGCGCTGCTGTTACGCAAGGTCTAGTATAAACGTTTTCCGATCTAAGGAAAAAGTTGTTTCTTGATTTTCTAATCGTTCATATTTCTTACGTCTTGAACGCAAGACCTTGAAATGAGCCATCATGGCTAAATGCAATAAGCGGGTTTATTTTGTCGTGAATGCCGAAGGGCCGTTCTTCACGATATCACAGTTTTAAAGTAAAATAGGTTTTATTTGACAGCTTCGATCCTCACAGTACAACGGCTCGCTCACACACACTCAAAATCGTGACTTTCTTGAATCTATAAGCTTTACATTTTAATGCGATCTGTTATCAAGTTCTCTGTCGCTCTGACAGACGAGTGAAACTATTAATAACAAAATCAAAGGAATAATAAAATCACGCCATCTCACAATCACGCTACACTCTTGCTTCATAACACTCTCCCCCTGTTCATCGCGAATAGTGATGAACAATTCGATTTTTCTAATCATAGTTGCAATGTCTCTGATAGAAATGTTCAAAGATCAGTAGTCATCATCAGTAAGTTCGGCAGCGTCCTTTATCCTGGCACGTGCTGCCACAGCAGCGTCTCTTGACGGCCTGAAGACAGGTGCTTCAGCGCTGAGGGTGGCTCTCGGCATAGCTGTTGTCCTGTCACAGGACAGCTCCATTGGATAAAGGTGTTGGACAGGTCTCTCCAGATAAGATCTTCCCGCTCGCAGTTTAGCCCCTCTGACAACTCCGTCTCGTCCAGTAATCAGCTCTTCGACTATTCCTAGCTTCCACAATCCACGGTTCTTTTCTTCGCCTTTAATGATGACAACATCTCCCTTAGCTAGGGCCACCTTACTTCCTTTGTGCTTTAAATTGTGCTGCTCACGCAAGCCTCGTAGGTATTCTGAAGACCACCTCCCCCATAGTACGTCTTTACATTTCTTCAGGTACCGTGCACGCTTTCTCAGGTCTTGGTTCTCCAACTGATGGCTCTGTATTTCAGGCAATAGATTCGGGCGGCCAAACTGCAACAGGTTGGGGGTCAATATGGGTAATTGAATGTCCTCTTCAACGTAGCTCAGCGGGCGGTTATTCATGGTAACTTCAACGTCCAGAAGAACATCCTGTAGCTCTCTCCAGGTAAGCATACCGTTTCCCACTGTCTTGTTAAAGGCTCTTTTGACAAGACCAACCATCCTCTCAAATTGACCTCCCTACCAGGGTGCTCTGGACAGGTTGAACTGCCACTTGACGTCGACTTTGGTTAGGAAGTTATGCAGGCGCTCATCTTTCATCACGTTTCTCAGCCACTTCGCTGCTGCCACGAACGATTTACCGTTATCAGAATAGATTTTCTCTGGACGGCCCTTTCTGGCGATCAGGCGCTTAAGGGTGCTGATGAACTCGTTAGTCTCCAAGGTTTTGGTAAGCTCTAGGTAAAGTGCTCGTGTCAGGCTACAGGCGTACAGCACAATATAGGCTTTCCCTGGCTTCTCTGTTTTTGCTTGTGCGGTACTTGATGGGACCGGCGTAGTCAACACCAACTACTTGAAATGGTGAATTTCCTTCAGTGCGGTCACGAGGTAAATTTCCTTGTGGTGGATTGCCGAACGCAGCGATCTGAAACCGTTTGCATCCGTAACATTGCTTGATTACTCGTTTAATAAGCTTGCGCAACCTTGGTATCCAATGGGACTCTCGCACTTTGGCCATGGTTAGTCCTACTCCCCCATGAAGAGTAATCTCATGAGAGTGTTGTACGAACTTCAGGGTGTAGAGAGCACTATCAGGGAGATAGGCGGGATAGTTTCCCTGGATTCTTCCACGGCACTCGAGAACCTCCTTTCGGTTTGGCTGCAGGTTAAGTCTTAACTGGTCTTCCTGGAATTGATCAGATCCCTTCCACTGTTTTTGAGTCTTCTTCTCCCAGAACAACCTCTGCTGGTTAATTTCCTCGCTAGTCAATGGACCTTTGATTCTCTGATTTCTTGGGGATTTGCTGTTGCGCAGGAATCGTGCGACCCACGCCCCCACTCTCAATGTGCGCCAAAGGGATGATCTTAGTAACAGTTCGTCCATAACATCGTTGCTTTCTATTGCTAAGGCAAAAATCTGCTTGGAGGCTTTCGCTTCTGCGTTAGATTCTGGGCTTGCAACCGTTATGATGTCCGGCGGCCAGCTGTCTTGTTCCTTCAACCATGTTGGACCATTCCACCACAACGAGTTATCTTCCTTTACTAGTCCTCCTCTACTTGCTAAGTCTGAAGGGTTTTCTTGGCTCGGTACGTGCCTCCATGTGATTTCAGTTTTCTCTCTGATGTTGCGGACGCGGTTGCTGACAAACTGCTTATATTCTCCGGAGCCCCTTATCCAGTGTAGGGCGACACTACTGTCTAGCCATGCGTACAAGGACTTAACTGGAAACCCGATCAGCGCATCTCGTACATTAGTTAGCAAGTTAGCCGCCATATGACCAGTCACTAACTCAAGTCTGGGAATAGTGAGACCTTCTTTGGCGAGGCGTGCCTTCGCTGCGACGAGTCCCTGCGTCACCACTGAATGTTGCTGGACCACTGCATGAACAGCTGCTGCTAATCCCTGTCCACTTGCATCGCCAAAGGCATGAAGAGTGATTTCACGGATTTCTTCTCCAGCTACAGCTAAGGACCTGGGCACTTCAACTTGATCAGGCAGGTTATTTTCCCACTTGCTCCACTTCTTTGCGATTTGTAATGGAATCTCTGCGTCCCACGCGGTCTTTTCCTTGCATATATCGCGATAAACAATCTTTCCTTGTAGGGTTACAGGCGCAGCAAGACCGATGGGGTCGTAGATCTTCGCAATTTTGCAAAGCACACCTCTTTTGGTAGGGTCAGCAATCTCTGTAGGGAAGGTTACAGCTATTTTGTCATCTTCTTTATTCCATCGCAATCCCAGAAGGCCACACGCGCCTGGTTTCTCTCCTAGCTGTTCTTTAGCGTAAGTAAGCCCAACTTCACTGTCAGTTGCTTCGGTTAATTCTAGCTCTCTAGCGTTTGAGTTCCATTTGTGTAAAGTGAAGGTGGCCTTTACAAATATTTCTGTTGCAGTCTTCTTGACTTGTTGAGCCTTTTCAACTGTAGGACCGCCTGTCACTAGGTCATCCACGTACAATCCCCTCTCAATCTCTGGTACTGTCTCAGGATAATCCGGCTTACAAATTTCGAGGTGATGCTGAATGACGCCCCCAAGAAGAAAGGGTGATGGGCCCAGACCAAACAAGGCACGCGTAAAACGCAGCGTACGTACTTTCTCGGGATTCTCTCTGTCAATCCAATGAAATCTCAAGGCGTCTCTGTCTTCTTCACGGATGCGCACTTGAAGGAACGCCTTTCTAATGTCTCCTACTATTGCTACTGCATGAAATCTTCCGCGGACCAGCATTTTCCAAATCTGGTTTTGTAAGGGCGGTCCGGTCTCTAGACACTCGTTAAGGGAAGGAGCTGTATCCTTGGCTCTAGCAGAGGCATCGTAAACAATACGCATCTTCGTGGTTGCTGCATTCTCTCTAATTACAGCCTTATGGGGAATGTAAAATTCTTTTCCTTTAGCGGGCATTTCTGCTTCCTCTACAACCCCCTCTTCAAGCTGCTCACGGATTATGGCATCATACTCTTCTAACTTGCCGTTTCGTTTAAGTCGATGTAAAAGGGTTGCAAGGCGTTTGAGGCTACCCAACTTATTGTCTGGCAAGGGGGGATGGTTTCCTTTCCATGGGAGAGCTGTTTCGTACCACCCCTCTGGACTGCGTTTTAGTTGTTCAAGGAACTCCTGGTGCACGACTCTCTGGTCACCAATGGGCGTGTCTTCCAACCCAAGGACATCCAAGCGGCACAATTCTTCATAGTCGGCGGCTGATGTCTGTGTGAGGAACATGTTTTCAATATCCACCTCAGCACCAGAAGACATTATTGTCCAGCCGAACCTGGTTTGTTCAGCAATGGGCTCTCCAATTTCTCCTACACGTTGATAACCAGCCATCTTGATTTTTGTGTACTCATTAGCGCCAAGTATAACATGGATGGGGAGAACTTTCTTAGTGTCAGTTTCTTCCATTTGCACTCCCTTGAGATGTGAATAACGTTTCAGCATTTCTGGATAGTTAGGGTTCTCTAGCGATAGAAGTTCTCGTTGTTCAATCTTCGTACCGCAGACTGGCAGCGTAAACCTTCCTTGAGTGTCACTGATGTTAACATCATAAGTCTCAATGCGCTTGGTAACCAGGCCCATGATCGTCTTGATACCGCGCGTAAGGGTCCGAGCTGGTTTAGCTTTCAAAAGATCCACCAACAAAGCTGAAATGTAGGTTCCAGTAGCGCCAGTATCGAGCAATGCGCGGCATTTGACTCCGTTGACTTTAACAACGACGACTGGATGGCAAACTTTCTCCCCCACGCGTGCGGCTGTCATTGCTGTCCCCTCACTTGATAGTTGGCTATTTCGGTCGCAGATTGAGGTGTGGTGCCTCTGCTTGCAATTCGCGCAGTTTCCTCTGCTCCGACAATTGGTTGCTCTATGCGGCCCAGTACAATTGAAGCACAGCCTTTTCTCCTGCAGATATTTCCTACGATCTTCAACGCTAGTAATGGCGGTACAATCTTTAGCTTTGTGAGATACTCCACGGCAGTAAACGCAACCACGTGTCGCATTTTCGTTGCGTTCCTCCACATGAAAACTTCTTAGGGTATCGCGTGACTTCACATTTTCTCGGGGATGGATTTCCTTCCATTCACGAAGCGCGTTAAGCAATTGCGTGAAATTCCACGACTGTCATTCTGGGTGACCCTGTACTAATTCAGCTTTAATTCCGGGCAATTTATTCAAAATACCACGCACCAATGCCACGCATTCGGAGGTTTTTCCTAATGTTTCGAGCGACTGAACATTGTAGAGCAAAGCTTCATAGAAGTCGTGTACTTTGGCCGGTTGAGTTCCGGAAATGAATGGAAGCGCAAGAATGTTTTCAATATATGCGTTCACGATCTCGCTCATCTTCCCATAATTACTCTTCAAAATACTTTTTGCGCGCTCATATCCTTCTGTAGTGAAGGGAAGGCCATCTATTCCTTTACGAACGCGTGGCTCTACTAGCTCCTTGAGATAGGCAAATTTCCTTGGTTTCCCGTTTTTCGTTTTCAGAACGAGTGATTATTTCTTTGAGACGAGCCTCTAAGAATTTAATGTCATTGTCCACAAGGTCAATCTTACCTTCGGTTTCCTCTCCCCACTCTTTTACTTCGTCCACAGTTTCTCCCTTTTCCAGTTTTTCTTGCTCTATATCCCTCTTTAACTCCTCAACACCAGCTACTATAGTCTGCAACGCTTCTTTGTGTCGACGAATCTTTTCCAAGTTATCGCTAACAGCAACATCCTTAGTTTTTCCTCTGGTTAATTCAAGCAACTGTAGCTTTGCGCTAAGCTTGGCTTCCATCTTCTATATTCTATTTTTCTCAGCGTCCCGTCGGAGGTGCCACTTTGTCGTGAATGCCGAAGGGCCGTTCTTCACGATATCACAGTTTTAAAGTAAAATAGGTTTTATTTGACAGCTTCGATCCTCACAGTACAACGGCTCGCTCACACACATTCAAAATCGTGACTTTCTTGAATCTATAAGCTTTACATTTTAATGCGATCTGTCATCAAGTTCTCTGTCGCTCTGACAGACGAGTGAAACTATTAATAACAAAGTCAAAGGAATAATAAAATCACGCCATCTCACAATCACGCTACACTCTTGCTTCATAACAATTTGAACAAAAATCTCTGACTAAGAGACAATTTGCACAGAATCGTAAAAGGAACGATTAACTCCTTGTTCATGAATTGTGTATATTCTACCATGGTGTAACGTGTTACGGAGAGGCTTTAGGAAAAGATATGACCTTTTATTTTCCTACTGGAATATAGAGTTTGCTGACGTTCTACCTTACTGTTTTAAAAAAGTATATCAAGAAAGGAGGACACGTACTGTTGTTTTTTCATCTATGACATTATTATTACAACATAAGCACTTCCTTTCTTCTGAATAATGAACTTCACAAACAAAGCGGAAAGTTATTACCGTCTGAATAATCATTAAACTTTGACTGCCGCTGGCTAAATGTTGTAAAGTTGCCATGTAAGCAAAAGTGCGAAGGCTTTTGTTCCACTGCCCAACTTATGTTTTTTTTTAAATTTACTGCGAGTTGAGCACCTCCTAAAATGTGTGCATTGCATTTTAATCGGCTTTCTGTGTGTGCTCGCTGTCGTGTCTACATGAGTCAGTAGTCAATAAAACTGTTTTTAATTATTCATGTCATCTTCTGATTAATTTACTTATAAATTTGAGGACGTTCTTGTCAAAATCAGCGAGTTATCGTGAACCAAGAGAAAAAGTTCGCGCCACCAAAAACAGAAGATAGCCAGGTCGTCGCTATTGCTCGTCTCTTCCGGTGGTTTTTAAGGGTTGTCAATCGGGGGGTAGCCTGTGACGAGTTTGCTTGTATTGTAACTCTTCTGGTATACATTGTAAAAGTAGTCTTCGATTAAGATCTATCTTTGTCAACAAGACACCACGTCCAACGCGTGGAATCTTCTGAAACACTCTATCATGTCGATATACACAGTCAACTCTGCAAAAAGCAGAACTTTAGGATACAACGATTCGCCGTTGCTCGGCCGACAGAATCATGCCATTAGCACAAGTAAGATTAACCTAAATGACCCCGATAACATTGAACTTGAGCCGTTCAAGCTGGTATCCTTGTCGCCTCGTTCGCAACAAGCCCGTGATATTGTGCAAGATGGAACCGTGAGGGACTTAAAAGATTTTCTATCGGACAACAGCAATGTAAAATCGCTCAACAACTTAGACGAAGAAGGAGTATCTTTGCTTCACTTGTCGGTCCGACTGAATCGAGTCGAGGTCACGCGAACGTTGATCGATTACGGCGCAAATGTGAACATACGTTTGGGAAATGGAACGACTCCATTGCACGTCGCAGCCAGGTAAGCATCGTATTTCACCTGTATCTTAAAGCTGAGAACAAGTTGGAACTTTTTGTTGTTCTAAATTCCTACTCGTCATAAATCAAAACTTCGTCACACAACAGGAAACTATGAATATAACTACGGATAGTCAATACAAATATTCTAGTGACTTTTGTTAACATGGTACACGGAGACTAAATATTTTAGACGACACAAGTCACAATTAAGATGCGACGTCCAATAGGATAAGCAGTTAGAGTATATAATTAAGTGACAGAAAATTTAAGACATCGCTGAAAACTAATATTTTAATCGAGGAAATCATAGGCATGACGTAATATTTGAATAAAATTAGGTCGGCGTATTCTGAATACTACCGTATAACGGCGATCCTTTATTATATCTTTGCTAGCAATAAGTGTGAATTTTCCAAACTATATCATAACACTGAATTTTTTCTAGAACAAGTCTGATTATGTAGTATTCTACTTAAATTTATTTTTTAAATTGTAATCAATTACTGAACGAATAGAAATTAAATCACAATTTTAGTTTGATGATGGCCAAAAATGAAGACACAAAACTGTTAAGTAAATTGAATGGGCTGGTTAGCGCTAGTTTCAGGTCCCATTTAATAGTAACATAAAGTTAACCCATCAATAGTGTGTAAAGTTTCATCTCAAGAAAATCGATCAAAATGAATTGATTCATGCTGAGTAAAATCAATTAAGAACTCAGTACTAGGAAAATTGCGTTCCTGTTACCATAACAGGACAGGAGCCAAATATGAACTCATAGGGCTCATGGATGAGGAACAATTGCCACGACGGCCAAAAGCCAGGGAGCACGTCGCTTTAAATTGTCACACACGTCCCGAACTCGCCTAGTTTGCCGAAAGCATGCAAATTCTTCTGGAATTGAAACCTAAAGGAACGTATCTTTAATCAGAAATACTGAGAACAAAATCGTCGTCGTGTGTGTTCACGCCTCCCGTACAGTGTTTCATTAGGATATCGTGTTCGTGCAGTGACGCATAATAGAAATTATTATTTGTTTATTCCGGCTTGCAGAATCGTTGTTTTTCTAATTGATCGTCACCATATAACGTTCTTTGTACATATTGGACGAGAGCTCAGGGGGACTTTTCGGAGTCGTTCCTTTGTGTTCACGATGAAATTGAAGCAACGGGGAAATACAGTCAACTCGCGTCACCTGCTGCGGATATACTCGGGACGCCAGCTAATGTCCTTACAAGTACTTTCGAACAATGCGCAGCAGAAAGATCGCCAAGCAATAAGCCCAGTATAGCATGACCACAAAAAAGATGCAATATTTTGTATATATATTTTGTATTTGAGTGTAAACGTTGAGAGACACGGCCAGAGTCCGTCATAAGGAAAGAACTATAAAATTGCGATCTCGGGACCAAAAAAGTGTCCGCTAGTTCCGCCATAGCAAGGGTCTCCCCAAAACGGGAGAATGTTTCAGTCAAACGTCTGTAAGTTTTGCTGTGGATTTAGCTGTCCAATCGGCTCAACGAGTTGATCGATCGACTGTATAGTGGATTTGTGACTACCCCTAGGATAGCACGAACAGTAGAGCGCTATACCAAGATATGTGCCTTTTGTTTCTGAAGGGATAGCAGCTGCGGATTTGATGTAGAACGCTATGCCCACATTCCTCACAGGAGGAAGGTAACCTGGCCGAGTGCTTCCACCACATCCACCAAATTGAGACCCAGTTCACAGGCTATACCGTTCAGTGAAACGTTAACCCTGGCGCGGCATGTATTCAAAGACGCTGACAAGGCCTACCAGGCCTGTGCTTCGCTTCCTTAACATTTCTGTTAATCGTTGTGCCATAATATAGGTTCAATTGTGCTGTTGTTGCCGAAATTCTTGTCCACTCTGGCGCCAGTCCATCTCTTGTTGACGGAAATGGTAACAATGCCTTACACCAGGCTGCACGAAGGAGCAGCAAAAGTGTCATGGAGATTCTATTACGTGATTCAGATATTGACATTGATGCCAAGACTCAAGTTGGAATGACCCCTCTACACCTCGTGTGCATGAATGGGGATCTGGAAATGTGTCGTCTGTTGTTGCGCCATGGAGCAGAGATTACATCGAAAACAGCAGATTGTAGCACTCCGTTACACATTGCTATTTTCAACAACTGCAACACAGAAGTGGCAGAACTGCTTATTAAAGAAGGTACGCTGTAGTCTAATGAATTAAGAAATCATTCGACTTGCGACAATCTGAGCTAGCGGTAATGAAAGGAACGATTTAGCCCTCATGTCTTCACTACAGAATTTTATCCATGATTCCAAATAGCTTCCCTCTCCGATAGGCTACCTTGAATTACCATTATGTTAGAGTTATGTTAAAATGGGAAAATAGATCGAAACGGTAAAAAGAAAATAATAATAAACAACCACAACACAAGGATAATATTTAGCACTGCCTTTGAGTGAAGGATTGCCGCGGAAACCGACAGTTGTTCTTGAACTTCGCGCCAGACCAACCGTTTCTTCCCACGTAATCTCTCAGGCCTGGAGAGGTTTACTAATTTGTTTTTTTCTACAAATTATGCAAAAAAATTAGTCCGAGCATTTTGTTTTACCTTAATTGTAAATAAACACCACCACCTCACCTCAGCTACGTCAAATCGTCTCGCTACAACTCCAAACACAAAACTCTGCCAGGTTTTACATGCAATCATTAATAAATCCCTCTACGCATACGATATCTTCATGCCGCCCCTTGTCTTTTAATAACGTGTCAAAAAAATTATCTTCTTCCTGCCTCTGTTCTCTGTCCCAAATTGAGGCTGCCGTAGAGCAAACCTTGGTCCAGTCTCCCCCATGTGTCTTACGCAATGTCCTGGAAATTTGGGTCGGCATTGTCTGATCTTTTCAGACACACTTGGTAGGCCACCACAAAGCTTCAGTAACCTCTCAGCTGTAACGAGGTCTTACAGCTGCTTACAGGATTGGTTCAAAGAATGAGCAAAGTTTGCAGTGTAACCTATGCGGAAACAAGCTGCGACTTATGGGGTGGAGTGTAATTAAAGGTTTTATAGAGGTGCGAGGATATTGGAGGAAAGAGTTCGCCGTTGTTATGTGTTGGGGCCACGACACACTGAGAGCAACGCAGACGGTCTAAGACAATTGTGGACTCCAACTTTCTGACCCATATAATTCCAGCATTTAAGTCCTTCTCTTTGCCTTCCACGTCTTAATCCAGAAACACGGAAACATTCTAGGACTTAGCTAATATTTCGTTGCCTTTTTACCAGCCACGGCAAAACTTATGAACGTAAGGCAATATGTCAACGAAACTGATATGGACCAGGACCGCGCCTTGCACTTAGCCGTGGAGACTGGGAACGTGAGGGCAGTTGAGCTGTGCCTTAAACATGGTGCTCAGATTAACGCGCAGAGATCAACTCTGATGACACCGCTTCACATGGCAGCCATGAAGGGTGATTTGGAAACAGTTGAAATACTTTGCAAAATGGGAGCTGATTTGCACCTTAAAGATAACGAAAAGCAGACGCCATTACACAGGTATGCTTGGTATCATGAAACTGGTAGGATCCTAATAGATAGTGTAGGCACCACGGCGGAACTGTAAAAAATGTCCCAGGTGGAAATAATTAACAATTAATGAATGAGGGTGAGTAACTTATGAAGAATTATGGAGATCGAGGAGGGTGTTATCCGATAGCACCCTCCGAGATGTTTTTAGCTACTAGGGGCCTTAAGATCCAACGTTTAATAACCAAAACAAAAATTTTGCACGTGCATCATGCTTTTTTGTACGTTTCTTTGCCGTCACTGCACGACTACGGCGTGAAAATGCCTAATTTCACGCTTTACAGAGGAAGTACACAAGCGACGACGAAATTTCCTCTCTATTTCTGAACTTGAATATGGTTCTTAAGAATTCAATTTTAGGAGGGTTCACCTACATCTGACAAAGTTAGTGACTTGGAGTAGTCGCGATGAAGATTGATAGAACGCTTATTCACTTTTTGAGTGACGTTTTCGCTGCCGTCGCCGTCGTCGGATCTTAAGGTCCCTATTATTTCGCCTAGTTCTTACTCTTGAAACGAGTGAAGTGTCCGCCATTTTTGTTGTCACAACCAAAACAACTCAACCTCGTCCGCAGGTCTTCTCGGTTAGTGCATTAACCTGCAAAGAAGCTGCACTTTTGACGCCATCGGTTGATTAATCGCAAAATTCCTCCAAATTTGGTCATCAGTGTCTGGTTGTGGTGAATTATGCGTCTGCTTTTCCACTTATGTCCAGAAATGCATGCAATGGCGAAAATGGCGAAACTGGCGAAAAATCGCCAGCTGCTGGCGATTAGAATTGGATGCCACAAGTGGCCCCTTGGAGGCTGGCGATTTTGGCGAAAATGGCGATTTTGGCGAAATTGGCGATTTTGGCAAAATCGCCATGCATGCAATGGCGAAACTGGCAAAAAATCACCAGCCTCTGGCGATTTGAATTGGATGCCAAAAGTGGCCCCTTGGAGGCTGGCGATTTTGGCGAAATTGGCGATTTTGGCAAAATCGCCATGCATGCAATGGCGAAACTGGCGAAAAATCACCAGCCTCTGGCGATTTGAATTGGACGCCAAAAGTGGCCCCTTGGAGGCTGGCGATTTTGGCGAAAATGGCGATTTTGGCGAAATTGGCGATTTTGGCAACAATCGCCAGAGGGCTGGCGATATATGGCAAAATATTCAAATTGGATGCCAAAAGTGGCCCCTTCAAAGTGGATAACTAAAGAGATCCTTATCACTGTGAGGCAACAGTACTAAAAAAAAGTTCAAATTACTTGCCTAATAAGAGGCCCCAATAACTGTGAGGCAACATTTATCAAATACAACTGAATCAAATAAATGACAAAACAGCTTTACCTAACTGTCAAACAACATTATTTTATTAAATACAAGTGAATCAAATATATCTGAAAACAACAAATGGAAGTCGTTTCGGTTAAGCTAATATGTATTTGTGCCATGTACTTCACAGGTTAAGTAAACATTTCCTTACTTTCGATGTCGCTTGACTTACCAAAAGTGATGTGATGCGCTGAAATATCACACTAGCATCATTTGCTTTTGTATGGTTCATTCATTTCAAAGACTTACAAGTCCACTAATTACTCGAGGAGAGAACTACCAAGTCCTTGAAATCATAATAATTTCTTGCCATGGACACTCTAACTTTTGAGGTTCGATGTAGACCTTAACAATCCTCACTGGTTACAATTCTCTTCACATTGGTTCCATTAAATTGTGAGGCAGCCTTAAATCAAAAGCGATTGCGAAACGCATGGTTCCTGGCTAAAAGATGCCTTCACGATAACCATTGTGTGCCCTTCATTTGGTTCTCCACTATACACATTATCTTCTTCCGTCGTTTTAAACTCTTCACTTTCTTCTCGCACTTACTTGTTTTGCTCTTTAGAGAAACGGTCCCCTAAAAGTAACGAAAGCCGAAATGTCCAGCAGCTTGCATGCGCCATTTTGAAATGTGTGAATTCGCTTATTTTCACCTGATGTAAACCTGCACGAAATGTCACTTGTGCCCAATATTTCACTGCATTTATTGAACATAAACATTGGATCAAAGTAATAACTTGTTCGTCTCTTTCATAAAACATATCCCATTCAAACTAATTCTGTATCTTTTCATCAACCTAGAAATATAAAAAGAGAGTGTACATGTTTGTCTCGTTCTTAAAAAATGTGTCCCATTATTGCTTTATGAGGTGGGGCCAGAAATTTAGAAAATGTATTGTTTTTTTGCGCTGAGACCACCAAACCAATTCTCAGTACAATATGTGTTCCATTAAATTGCTAATGCTAATGCTCGTCGAAACACGTCACCCGGCCTTTTTACCTTCTATTTTAACAATTGCCTGACAGTCCCTGTGAACGACATTAATCGTTTTGCTTACATAGAGTGACCACCAAAGTCGGCTGGGAATGACACTAATCGTTTCCACTTACATAAAGTAGTTATCCAAAATCGACTATTACAACATGGCCGCCGCGTCTATATAACAACTACTAAACCTTACACGTTCATGTTCTGTGAAACTGCAATGAACCAGCTCGTTTATATATACTTGTACGATTGAACGCCATTATAACAAACAGGATGGATATACAAGGCAATACGGACCATCTAATTATCTGAATGCGTAGCCAAGAATCAACCTGGATTCCTCATAACATATAATGTTGAACTGTCGCTATTCAAACAATGCCTACAAGCCTGGAAAATTAAGGATACCTATCTTGGATTTTTTGGTAAGAAAGTTGCCATGAACATTACGAAGATTACCATTTACTGATAATCGAATACAACTCGTTGGCCATTCGATTTGAATTGAGCAAAGAAATTAGTTATAAGTGGTAATTCCCGACCAAACACTCTTGTCTGGCACGAATTTCAAATCACAAGAGGTTATCAATTAAAGGTAAAAGCATTAAAAACAGATTAATGACACTTAAGTTACAGTAGCGTTGTCATTATTAGTATACAATTATACTACTGGAAACATTTTTATATTAATATGTGGCAACTATTTCGCAATTAATAGCCATTTCAAAAGGGACCCTTTGCTATGTCATTTCAATTTGTCTTGACAAATTAGGTATTTCATCGAGTAATTGCCATTTCTGCCAAAACACGTTTTAAGAACGAGGCCAACGTGCACTCTAATTTTTTTTTTTATTTGTGGCTGATGAAAAGATACAAGATTAGTGCACGCCATTTTCCCCAAAATCGTCACTTTCCAAAGGGCCCCTTTGGCATCTCATTTGCATTTTTGTTTATAATTTGGCGATTTCGGCGATTAATCGCCATTTTCGCCAAATACGCCAATATCGCCACTTTCCAAAGGGCCCCTTTGCCATCGTGTTTGAATTTTTGTTTACAGTTTGGCGTGTTTGGCGATTAATCGCCATTTCTGGCATTTTCGCCGAAATCGCCACTTTCCAAAGGGCCCCTTTCCCATCTCATTTGAATTTTTGTTGACAGTTTGGCGATTTTGGCAATTAAGCACCATTTCTGCCATTTTCGTCAAATACGCCAATTTCGCTAATATTGCCACTTTGCAAAGGGCCCCTTTGCCATCTCATTTGAATTTTTGTTTATAGTTTTGTGATTTTGGCGATTAATTGCCATTTCTGCCATTTTCGCCAATTATGCCATTTTCGCCGAAATCGCCACTTTCCAAAGGGCCCCTTTGCTATCTCATTTGAATTTTTGTTTACAGTTTGGCAATTTTGGCGATTAATTGCCATTTCTGCCATTTTCGCCAAATACGCCATTTTCACCGAAATCGCCACTTTCCAAAGGGCCCCTTTGCCATCTCATTTGAATTTTTGTTTACAGTTTGGCGATTTTGGCGATTAATTGCCATTTCTGCCATTTTCGCCAATTATGCCATTTTCGCCGAAATCGCCACTTTCCAAAGGGCCCCTTTGCTATCTCATTTGAATTTTTGTTTACAGTTTGGCGATTTTGGCGATTAATTGCCATTTCTGCCATTTTCGCCAAATCGCCATTTTCACGAAAATCGCCACTTTCAAAGGGCCCCTTTGCCATCTCATTTGAATTTTTGTTTACAGTTTGGCGATTTTGGCGATTAATTGCCATTTCTGCCATTTTAGCCAAATCGCCATAATCGCCACTTTCAAAGGGCCCTTTGCCATCTCATTTGAATTTTTGTTTATAGTTTTGCGATTTTGGCGATTAATTGCCATTTCTGCCATTTTCGCCAAATACGCCATAATCGCCACTTTCCAAAGGGCCCCTTTGCCATCTCATTTGAATTTTTGTTTACAGTTTGGCGATTTTGGCGATTAATTGCCATTTCTGCCATTTTCGCCAATTATGCCATTTTCGCCGAAATCGCCACTTTCCAAAGGGCCCCTTTGCTATCTCATTTGAATTTTTGTTTACAGTTTGGCGATTTTGGCGATTAATTGCCATTTCTGCCATTTTCGCCAAATACGCCATTTTCACCGAAATCGCCACTTTCCAAAGGGCCCCTTTGCCATCTCATTTGAATTTTTGTTTACAGTTTGGCGATTTTGGCGATTAAGCGCCATTTCTGCCATTTTCGCCAAATCGCCATTTTCGCGAAATCGCCACTTTCCAAAGGGCCCCTTTGCCATCTCATTTGAATTTTTGTTTACAGTTTGGCGATTTTGGCGATTAATTGCCATTTCTGCCATTTTCGCCAAATCGCCATTTTCGCCATAATCGCCACTTTCCAAAGGGCCCCTTTGCCATCTCATTTGAATTTTTGTTTATTATATAGTTTGGCGATTTTGGCGATTAATTGCCATTTCTGCCATTTTCGCCAAATACGCCATTTTCGCCAAAATCGCCACTTGGCAAAGGGCCCCTTTGCCATCTCATTTGAATTTTTGTTTACAGTTTGGCGATTTTGGCAATTAAGCGCCATTTCTGCCATTTTCGCCAAATACGCCATTTTCGCTAAAATCGCCACTTGGCAAAGGGCCCCTTTGCCATCTCATTTGAATTTTTGTTTATAGTTTGGCGATTTTGGCGATTAATTGCCATTTCTGCCATTTTCGCCAATGCGTGCATTTCTGGACATATCTCTGCTTTTCAGAATCGGGGAAATATTTTGAATGAATAATAATACGGGTTTAATGGGGATCATCGCATTTCTAAATAATTTATGGAATTTGACATTAATGATACATACGCGACGTTTGGTGTGCAGGTTATTTAACAGATTTAAAAGAAAAATGCCCGTGAAATAAAATTTTCGTGGACTTAAAAGAGCTATGTCGCGCTATTTGCTATCTTTTTAAAAAGATGAAACGTTTTATCCCATAAATTGAATTCCAAAATAATAATCCAGCTTTGTTGCTTAAGACTATACTTAGGCACTGAAAATGTTTCCTACCGTCTGTTGCAAAGGATGGCAAGGATGGACATGAACGGAAAAGTTGGGCCAACGTTTTTTTAAGTTTTAATTCTATGCCTGCGAAAATCGCCAAAAGAATTTATGGTTAGTGCTCCCTGATGAAATTTGTTTGAAATCTTCTTTATAACTCTACAGGAGCATTTTATGAATGGGTTAAAAGTCATTAGGTAATGACTTCACCACAGAATTGACCTAAAAGCAGCAATATCTTCGTGACATTGCCTCTTTAAAACCTATCATTATAGTTAATGCATGCCGCTGTGGACAAGCTTGAGTTTATAAATCTGTAAAACTCAATGATTCAATGGTAAAAGCTTAGTACCTGTTTTCCGCTCCATTACAGAGCTGCCAATGGAAACCGTGTCAACGTCATCAAGTATCTTCTAAGCTTGGGTGCACAAATCGACATGAAAGCCGATAATAATCTAACGCCCTTCCTTCTAGCAGTAGCTGCTGGACGCGTCGAAAGTGCGCGGATTTTTCTCGAGTCGGGAGCAGATGTTCGTGCAAGTACGTCTGAGATGAAACACTGCCTGCACCTGGCTGTTGAAAATGGTCACTTGGAAATGGTTCAACTTCTTGTGGAGGATAGTAAGGCTGTTGAAAATCTAAGCCAGCTTGACGTTTGGGAGAGAGTACCACTCCACAACGCTGCTATTTCGCCTAACATTAAGGTACATGAGAAAGAAAATTTGCGGGAAAATGATATATTTTAATGCCTCCGGCGTAGGACACAGAATCCCCGGAGGGATCAACCCCGTTGCAAGCCTCCATGCATTTACTACGATCAGCAGTGCCAATTGCATCCTGTGTAGTGATCAGTGATGAAAGATGGTAAATGCTGGTTAAATTATGTTTTTCGTGAACATCCAACCAATTAATAGTACTTTGCACATACTTCAATTCGCTAGCTCCTAGGTGATTATCCTGCGCTATTCACGTCTATGCCAAGCAAAGTGGCTGTACTTTGTGGCCTTGCGCAAAAATTTTCTTCACTCGGTGTTGCTGAGAAGAAAAATTTTGACTAGCCTTTTCATTGCAGCAAAACAACACTGCTAATCTGAAGAGAGTAGGGGGGAGAACTTACCCGATATAACGCAAAGTCTTCCGCTTTACTAATGAAACGTCAATAAAACCTTTTTTTATAAAAACAGATTCTAGAGCTCCTTTTAACCAAGTACTCACGAGCGTCTTTTCGAGACCATAATCAGCAGACCCCACTCCACTTGGCAGCCCAGTGTGGCCTCGTCGCGCACGTGGAAGCCTTAGCTAAAGGAATGTCCGGTCTAAATGAGAGAGATGATCGCGGAATGACACCGATTCATCTGGCGGCAATGCATGGAAACAGGTAGGGTGGCTACGAGATCCTATTTTTCATCTTGAACTGAATGTGCCGTTGTCAGCTAAAGATCAGACTTATGGATCGTTTCCTGTAATGCATTTTGAGTCGTCAGGTTTCTTCATGTCTCTAGCAACCGGCAGCCAGGACATGTAAGAAATAAAAATGGTGAATCGATAATTAACTTTATGTTGAAATGTTGAGAAGTATATCGCCCTCCCCCCTCCCACCGGGAGGGGGGAGGGCGATTTAGGATTTGCGGTGACAAAAACATGTTTTTTCGGGGTGGGACAACTTTTGTTAAGTTCTTGTTTTCTTGCATTCGCACCAAAGCATTGTGGTGAGGAACAGCCGAAACTTTGTAGCTGCCATCACCGACACAGTTCTACTTTAAAAGTCACCCTAGCTCGCGAGATGAAAATACAAGTATACCTATCAATAGACAACTAACGATACAGCCCAAGGGGTGTGATTTTGTTGCAGTTACATTATCAAAATGATTGCATTTTCTTCACTTTGTATGTGCTAATGACAACGCACCAAGCAGTTCTTAACTTTTCATTAGATACGACCCATCTCTTCTTTACTGAATTTATACACAGGAAAGCTTGTCAAGTTCTTACCCGACTTGGTTCGGATGTCAACACGCGCGACAGTGATCGTTGGACGCCACTAATGTGGGCAGCGAGATCAGGCTGTGACAAGACATCGCAAGCACTTCTGGACAAACAAGCTATTCTTGATCACGTGAACAACCGCGGAGATACTGCCTTGCACATTGCCTCTTCGCACGGTAAAGTCAGGGTTGTGGAACTACTCCTTAATGTTGGTGCAAACGTTTGTCTTCGAAACAGCCAAGACCAGTCCTGTTTGGATGTCGCAGTGCTTTCCGGGGCAGGAGACGTAGCGCTAGCGATTGCTCAAAACAAAAGGTTGGTAGCCATTTTCTGGCTAGCTATTCCACTATTCGTGTTTGATTTACAATTTGTTAATGATTGCAATACCTTCAATACCACGAAACAGCTGTGTAAGGACCAAAATAATAGCGCGGCCAAAATATCTTTGGCTGAACTCGGTTCGATCACAAAAAAATATATATGTGTATAAATGGGATTTCCGCTTCATTTGCTTAACTTCGCACTTTCATTACAGATGGCCAGAAATCCTTGAAAACCGAGATCCAAGCCAAGACCCGCCAATGAAAGTTTTAATTGAACATTTTCCAGAGGCGGCATCACTTGTAATGGACCAATGCATCAATAGATCATCTCACATCAAAACTGATCCCAGCTATACCGAGCACTACGATTTTCATTTTTTGGATCCAGGTCCTGATTCCGAGGATTGCCTGGACGGAAAACGTTTTTTTGGTCCAACAACGATGGTTAAATATAACCGCGAAGATCTTCTCTTGCATCCATTGACTCAGAAATTGCTAGATGTGAAATGGGCTTCCTTTGGACGGTTTATTTACTACTTCAACCTCATTACATACCTAGTCTTCTTGATCACATATACGATTTTCGTAATTACAGAAAGAAATGCTCAAGACTTCAACCCTTTCAAGCAACAACAAAATGGAACTAGACGTGTTGACGTGGCCGACATCTTCGTCAAATCGACAGCGTTTAACGAAGGAGTGCTTTTTATTGCTGTGGTCTTCGCCTCAGCCCACGTCATCAAGGAAATTTTTCAACTCGTTATGCAGAGGAGACAGTACTTTAAGGACCCATCTAACTTAACCGAATGGGCTCTTTACGTGACAACCTTATGCTTCATGATGCCTTTTCTGCTGCCCCTCAACCAATTGGAAAGTGCGTTTGGTGGCCTGCAAAATCCGCGTAACTTGTGGATTACGGGGATTTTCTCTATCTTCTTGTGCTACATCAACGCGATCCTGTTCCTAAGACGGTTTCAACTGTTTGGAATTTATGTAAATATGTTCTTAGAAGTGACAAAGACCGTAGCAAGAGTTATGATTGTATTCTTTATTTTCATCTTCGCCTTCTCTATTGTATTCTTCATCCTCTTCAAGGAACAGGTAGGAATAGCAGCCAAAAGTGCTTTGCAATAATCGCTTTTATGAGACTACAAACCTATTACCTGCCTTGGCGGTTCCAGACCTTCAGATAAGAAGGGAGCGGTCATCCAAAAAAATTGTTTTCGGCCCTTCGGGCCTCAGTTTGATCTAAAAATAAGGAGGTCCCCCCGGCCCCTTCCCTGGATCCGCCACTGACCTGTCTAGAGTTAAAGAGCCTTCCACATAAACCGGCACCAAAGAATTAGAAAGTGGGTATAAGTGCATTAGTAAGCGAACGATTGTCTGGCTGCAGGCTAATGGACTGGCATGCTGACTGACGGAAGGACGGCCTAGCATACAAGCAAACGAACGCACGACTGACAAACAGGCTGGCTGACTAACCGACTGACAGACAGACTGCACGGCTGACTAACTAACAAGGAGAAAATGAACAAAACAAATCCCTTCAGCAATAAATCATCTGTGTTACTTTTAAAACTCTGCTTTATCTTGGTTATCCATCATTTACATTTCAGGATTCCTTCAGAAACATTGGTTTCTCGATCGTGAAGGTATCTGTTATGATGATTGGTGAGTTTGAGTATGACACCACTTTTGTGGAAAGCATCAACAGCTCAAGTGAGACAACAACAAACCCACTCAACCCATTTCCAGAAATATCAATGATTTTCATCTACATATTTCTCTTCCTGATGTCAATAATTCTCATGAATCTTCTGGTAAGATTGTTTAGATATTTGACATTTATTTTTTGATATATATATTTTTGCATATATATTTTTTATTATATCGACACCGATGAAATACCAGGATTTTTCCAGTGACGAAAATTTGGTATCCAGGAAAGATACAATTTTTATCCTTCACATGTGAAGGTATCACGGCTGTCATGGCAACTTCAGTCTCAGCCAACAGGAAAAGAGCATCATAGCATCTCGCCATCGGTGTCTATATAATAAACAGAACATTCGCTGCGCTCACTCGTGAGATATCGAGTTGAAAACTCGAAGATAAAATTCGTATCCACAAGCGGGCATGTAATATCCTTCATATCTCCTCTGACAGTACCCTGCGAGCACAGCCTCCTGGTGTCTTCTTCTTGATCGAGGAGGAGAAATGGAGGCTCTGCCTGAATCGAGTCAATCCTTTGAAGTAGCCGCAACCCGAACTTCTGCACTAGTCAATAGTCAATATCGAGTTGAACACTCGAAGATAAAATTCGTATCCACAAGCGGGCATGTAATATCCTTTATATCTCCTATGACAGCACCCTGCGAACACAGCCTCCGTTCGTCTTCTTCTTGATCGAGGAGGAGAAATGGAGGCTCTGTCTAAATCGAGTCAATCCTTTGAAGTAGGCGTAACCCGAACTTCTGCACTAGTCGAGTAACCGAAAGCAAGGCTTTGCTGGCAGGGTGGTCTGACAGGTTTCAGTTGTCAAGGGCGAATTTTATTTCTGAATTTCCCTGTCTGTTTGGAATGATACATAATGCGTTCTTACTGTCTTCGACCTAAAATTAGGAACCTTACGAAACTACGACAGCAACGGCAAGGAGAACGTCAAAAAAGCAATAGGTTTAATGAGCAAAACAACAACTCTGCACGTGCATCACGCCTTTTTGTACATTTCGTTACTGTCCCTGCACAACTACGGCGTGAAATGACCAAATTTTAAGTTTACCTGAGAACGGGAACGGCAAGGCGGTAAATTCTACAATCTCTGTCTGAACTCGGGGCGGTCCCCTCTCTTCAGCTCCAACCAGAATTCCCTTCTTTTAAGTAACAAGGCGAATTGGGATAACGGCGAAAAAGTTTAAATGGATGCCAAGTCTATTTTTCAGCGATGTTTTCATGGACGTCGCCGTTGTCGGATCGTAAGGTCCTTATTGGACTGCCTCGCAGAAGTAATCCAACCCCGGCTAGTGACGTCTCCGAAGCAGCGTCAAGAACCTTGTTCTGGGCCCCCAACGGACTCGAGCAGTTATCGAAAATGTGTTTTGAATTCTTCTTTCAAACTGATTGGCAAATCTACAATCCACCATTTGCGCATCTCCCATAATACACCTCGTTTGCCCCCCAAATTTTTACAACCTTTTGTTTCTTATTTCTCTTGGTTATTTCAGTCGTCCCAAGAGAGATTAAAAGCAATGCTTACGCAAAATTTTGGTTGGCTTACAAGGTGTATTGTGAGAGATGTACAAATGGCGAATGGCTATTTTGACAGGCCATTCGTAATGCGTACTCAACTCCTGGTGGACTTGTGGGGCCCAGAACAAAGATCTCTGCAAGTCTTGCAGATGGACTTGACCAGAGCCTGGGTTTAGTTTCGTCTGTGGAGCAGGATGATCGACAATGAACGACTTCTTAAGCTTACCAGAGTTCCTAAGCCTTAAGGGTCTGTGTTTTGGATGTGTATTGTTCCCATATACAAAAGGAAATTTAATGAAATCATTGTTACCAACGCTGGGGAGTAACCCTTCGTGACGCTGACAGTGCTGACTGAGACAATACAATGGTGTTCCCAGAGAAACTTAAGGGCTATCGCTAAATAAATTTCTATCCACGTTGTTGATTATAGGAACTGACGACAAAACCACTGGGTGCTCAATCGAACTTAATTTAATCAACAGGTTGGCTTGGCAGTGGGGGATATTGAGTCTGTTCAGAGGAATGCCACCCTTCAGCGCATGGCAATGCAAGTTTCATTTGTGGTGGAAGTTGAAGACAAGTACCCAAAGATCGTCACTCGCAGGATTTATAACCCTTCTCTGCAGTTAAAACCAAACGCACACAAAAACAAATTGAGGTAATTTCAGCGTGCGTCAAAATGAGGGGGGCGGGCATTTGAGACTTCGGGATCTAACTGAAATGCTTATCGAGTGTTATTTTCTTGTAGATAGTCCCAAAAAGTCCTCTGAGCGATATCTTTTGCGTATGTTTGAATTTCTTCCGTTAAGTTTTAGTCAGAAATTCTGCTATTTCGTCTTCGAATAGCCAGGCATGCTACTTTTTTTAGTTCACTAGGCTGCCACGCCTGGAAACTAGGTTGCTCCATGGGTTCTTTGCCTGGAAACGAGGCCGCTTGGGGAATGTGCCATCGAAGCGAAAGTATATTGCTTGTATCTTCCAACTTTGGTCAACGCCGGCTGGTTATCGGGGGCACCCAACGTCAATTCTCGGAAAATATCTGTTCAGAAGAAGATTTGAAATATAGAATTTTCGGAACATTTTTTGTAAAATTTCTTGCCTGCCTGTCTCTCCTGGCATTTTCAAACATCTAAAATATGGTATAATTGGCCACTTTTAACGGATTTTTACCCTAAAAAGGTCACCTAGAATTTTCGGGAGCCTTTTTTCTGGCTGAAGTTTTCGAAAAGGTAAGTTTTTACTCCAATTTTAGGATCACTAGACTTTCAGCTAGGAAATCCGAACAGATGAAAAATTTTTAGGAGATAAAAACATGCCTATATCTACCGTTTAAATACTAAAATACATTTAACAATGCTATGTTTAAGTGGTTTTGAACTATATTCTCGTTGGGTGCCCCTGAGTTATGAAGAATTAGCCGGGGTATTTGAGTCAATCAGAAACGGCGAAATATTTGGAATGAATAATAATGCGTCTTAACCATTAGAATGTCAAGATCAACTTCGCAAAATGATAGTCACCAAATACCAAGTCTACAAACTACAGAAAAGGGATTTCAACTGACTTGTTTGTTTAGCAGCAATTTCTTTCTTTTCACTTCAGGCGATTACATGAATGGTTAGCCGGGCAAGCTAGCTTTTTTGAGAAGTCACCTTCACTGACGGCGTATGAAGAAATGACGGAATCTAATATCAAAGAAATTCAGCAGCAAGTTTGCAAAACGAAGAAGCGAGTTAAGGCTTTGATGAGAACGATGGAAAACCAGAACAGACTGCTGGTGTTGATGGCAAAGAAAATGGATCTCAATGTGGAAGCAGACGATTTGGACGCTAAAAACGCCTTGTCTGAGACAGAATTGCTTGAACCCAGAAGTTTAGGAAATAACGAAAGCGATGATGACAAGAAAGACAGAAAGGCTGAAGTGGCTGGGCTTTAAGCAAACAAGACTTTTAACAACTTAAAACTTGTTTTAATAGCATTACAATATTGAGAGAAATTTATTGAAATTAGTTTCTACCAGCTCATTGTTCTCCATTTTAGAAATCGAGTGACTATTTTCTCGAGCAGGCCGAACAGTTTGGGCGGACAACTTGCATTCTGCACGGCGGCTGGATATGTTTCCGGAAAGTCAGAATTCAACGCCTCGGCCACCCTTGTAATATAAATAACCAACTGGTTTACTTCCAGCTAGTTGGGATTCTTAACACTGTCATGTTGAATGTGACTTATTCGGTTCATTACAAAGTAGATAAATAACTTAATTTGATCCAAGAATTATTATATAACAAATTTAAATGCAAGCCCTTCATAAGAATTAAATAATTAATACCAATTTAATGATGTTCATGTGCTGTATTCTGCAATGAACGGCCCCATAGTGTATTCACACTGATTCCTTCAAAAGGTTCGTTAATAATTTTGAAATTATATGCGCGATAGAACACGCCTTAAAATACAAAACGTAAGAATAATTATAATGAAAGATGTCATTCATAGTGGTTTGTGTATGATAAAAACATGGAGACATACATTGTTTGTTCTTGAGCATTATTTATATAAATTATTATAAATAATTAGGGAGAAAAGGAACACACGATTGAGTCCGGTGATTAGGATAATTATGGAGTTGTTTAGATTCCTTTACATAGAAACTTTGAATACCTCAACTTTCAAATCTCATTTCCTACTCAGTACAAAATATTATAATGAGCATTTATTCGAAGCATAAATTTTCACAATTTGTTAATTCAGTCTCATCATAAACAGCTGGTTAAAAACTACCTGTAATTCTTATACGTGTCATAAGCAGCTGGATTATTACACACATCGTTGGTCATGATCAGAATAGCCTCACACAACTTGTCGTAATCACTCAGCTCATTATACACGTGAGCCGAGATTCTGGTGTGCAGTTTCCCCTGAATTAACTTGACTGGGACCTCAATGCTGAATTCATAATGCAGTTTCGCCTGCACCATCTCTGCATGGGCCTTGACTGGCTCATCTTCGTATCCCCGAGTAACACAGTCCAGAAGGACCTCAGGGAGCCTAATTAACACCATTGGTCCAAACATGTCTGCGTGCGATAATAAGCCAGTACCCCATTTGTCGGCTAGCATCAGTGCAGCTTTGTTGGCTAGGGTATTGTTATATTGGCGTATTTGATCAGGTCCCATGGCCTCCCAAAAATCCAACACTAAGGGAGTAAGATTTAAGACACCAGCTTAGAAATCGCAGAAACTGTTTTCCAATTGCATACATTTAGCAGCTGAAATTAAGCGAGGGAATTTTTTTCTGAAAGTAAGATAAGTTTTTATTTCTGAAGATCCAACAAAATGTTTAAATGAATTGTTGACCTCAAAGGTTTCAAGTGTGAAAACAGGACTATGTATGAAGATTAAGAGGTACACTGTACACCGGCATGAAATGATCCCGAACCCCAAAATGATCCTCACCCTCAAAATGATCCCCAAATTGACCCAAAAATGATCTGCAATCCGGAAAGGTTCCCAAAAATCGACCCTGAAATGATGTCCAGCACCGAAGGGATCCCCCAACTTGACCCTGAAATGATCACCCAGCATGCGAACGGAAAATACTTACAAGCACAAAATAAACAAGAGGAAACTCAAGAAAGTGGTAATATTTGGAACAATTTAAACAGAATCAATGAATGGTTAACAAAACAAACTGATCTAAATTCTTATTAGTTTGTAGTGAAATCCTTACAGAATTTACAGTGATGTATTAATTCAATACAAGGCATAAATTTCATTCAGCTGACAAGAGCTCATAACTGACGTTCAGCCCCGTCAAACTTTTTAGTTTTCACAACAATCACATATGTTAGCATTTACATCCAGCATTTATGCAGCTGATCCTTGGTGTTAAGTCATAAATGCTGGTCACCGTTCAACTTGTAGTGATCAAGATTAAAATCTGTACATGATATACACATGGTTTAAAGGCAACACAGAGTGTGTATAATAATAATATAACATGGTTTGGAAGCAACAGACAATGTGCATAAACATTGCATGATTTAAAGGCAGCAGGGGATGTGTTTGATTATATTACATGGTTTTCAGGCAACAGGGGATGGTTGTTATATTGCAAGGTTTTCAGGCAACATGGAATGTGTATAACATAATATTTATTATTACCTGGTTTGAGGTAACAAAGAATGTGCATAATACATTGTATATTATATGATTTTAAGGCTACAGGCAATTGTGCAGAATAAATCACATGGTTTTAAGGCTACAGAGAATGTGCATATTGTTATGTATTACGGATTTAGGCAACAAAGAATATGCATAATATTTATCATCATGGTTTTTAGGTTTGGCAGCAGCTTGCATGAAATAAGGTATGTAAATCTGCATTGTAGAGAAATGGCCATAATTTCAAATAACAGAGTTAGCAAGTGGCCTGGTCACCACATTTACTACATGTAGGCCTCCAAAGTAAACTTCTGCTAAATAATATAAAATGAAAAATCTCACCTGTATTCAAAGCCAAGTAAGGACTATAATCCCTCAGACCTAGTTAGCATCAGAAAAAAAAATTATAATATTTAATAGGTTGATAATTATTAAGCTGCAGTGTCACCACTGTAAGCAAAAAAATATATACCTCAGGGAAAAACAAACTTATTATTAAGGTCAAGGAAAAGTCAGGGAGTTTTGCAAAAAAAAGCCGTTTCTATAAATTATTAAAGAAGCTGTGTCACAAAATATTCACCAAAATTAGCACACAGTTAGCTGCCACCAAATGAGTGAAACATTACAATAACTGCTCAAAAAGTTAGAAGAGGGTACAAATGACACAGCATTACAAAAGGAAGCAAGGACGGACAAACTTGAGGAAGATTGAAACAGTTTGCAATTACGTTTTTTTAAAACTTGTTAGCCTACCAGTTTTCCATATTCATTTTTCTTATTTGTAACGACTGATATACAGTAATGCTTGGAAGACAAATTTTTTTGGACAAAAAGCTGTAATTTTGTCATTCTCAGATGATTGAATAATATAACTAGTGCTGCTCAAGACCCACTATAAGCAATATTAACTCCAGACAGCCGTGTCACAGCCCCTTTACATAATACTGTACCACATTCACACATATGTAAGGATAAGTTAGGTTTTCCAGCCAATGTAATATGCAACTATCCCCCGAAGGGGAGGTGAATAGTGGTTGAAATACACCGAGACGTGAAGCATCGAGCAGACTGCATGGCAGGTGTATTTTGGGTGGGCAAAACCTTGTTCATGTTCGTATTGTTGTAGCCAACGTCTTTGATTTTACGACGGAGGAAGATTGGGGAGAGTAGAAATAGTAACCCTTAGGGTAGGTGCGAGGGCAAAAGAAGGAAACAGGGGTGCACTATAAACCGAGCATGACGGGGATAGTTATTTTAGTATTTACCAAATCAGTTGGATAAAAATCAATAGGCAAGTTTTTGTAAATAAAAGACATCACTTAGGTAGAGTTTGTTTACATTTCAATTAACAGTGTTTTGGGTATCATTCTATACAATGTTGTTGCAAATTCAGTGAGAAAATGTTTTTGTACAGACCAGTAATCAATGACAAGCCAAATTTTGTCTCTTTCTTGGTATTTGTTGGTGCAGCTGCTTCATTTACCGCTAAAATTTCACCTTTCAAAACTGTCATGAAACGAGAAGCCCTTTTTAACTCCTGTCCCAAAACAGCAAATGTCGAAGGATAGTCTGAGTTACGGGAGCCAATCAGAACGCACAAAAATTGCTATCCACTGATTTGGTAAATACTAATATATAGAATATCTAATCATACATCTTCTAGATGTTATTGTTTTAATTTTTAGGGATTTAGTTTTTAGTGCAGCTTAGAATTTTTAAGTAGGATTTTTATTGTGACTTAAATGTATTTGTCAGGTATTCTTTTCATTATCATTCGATGTCAGTTTTTAATTCATTATTTTTCTTTCTTATGAATTCTGTAAAGCACTATTGAGCTTTTGGAAAAAGTGCTATAAAAATAAAGATGATGATGATGATGATGATGATAATGATGATGATGATTATTATTATTATGTATTCATAACCTATAAAAGGAAATCAAAAAATACAATGTACATGCTTAGGAAGTCTATTGTTCATAATTGGGAATTCACAAGCTGCATTTGTCTTACCTGTCCATATGAACTGTGAATTAAATCCTGCTGTAAAACCACTTGAAACAACAAGAGGCTTGATCATATGTTGATTGTCTTTAGATACACACAGAAAGCCACACCCCTGCAAAGATAAACAGTCATCATGCATTATCACAGTTAATCTCACCAAAACTTCAATGGTTAAGTACCATTGACATGGAAATATCAAATTGTTTGTGCCCCCATTTGAAAAGCTTCAGAAAATATAGTCTGTCATTCGAGGAGATGCAATTTTTCTACTCTTTTTAGTTCTTCCAGCTTACCTGAATACTGTGTACTTTGTAATGGGGTATTTAAGTTGAATAAGTACAAGGTCAATATATAATTTTACAAGAAAGGAAAAACATACCTTAGGGCAGGCTAACCATTTATGAGCATTTCCCACATAATAGTCAGCTTTGAGAACTGTTAAATTTAATGGTAAGGTTCCCAATGCATGCGCACCATCAATCAAAACAGGAACACGTTTCCTGTGGCAAAGTTGAACAATCTCTTCCACTGGCATCACAATTGGATAATTACTAGGAATATGACCAAACACGGCCAATCTTGTACCTTCTTCCAAGGTTTCTTTTATTCTTTGAATAATTTCCTCACTGGTGGCAGGGAAAGTGATTGTGATTTCCTTCAGAACAACCCCTGAAAATAAACTCCAATTAGCATAAAATTTGGTAAATACCATAAATGTCTGATAAGTTCATCAAGTCTGAAGACATTCTTTTGAGGTAATGTGCCATCAAACATTCTGGTATTTCAGTCTGGTTAATCCAAGCCTCTCCTACCAGCCAGTTGGTCCTATCTAGTCATTGGAAGCAAGGTTTTCTCCACATAGGTGGGAATAAACCGTAAAATTCAACCCACTTTAGATGGGTATTTAACTAGCCACACAAAATGATCATGCAGTTTTAGTCATCTTTGTTATTAAGTGAAATGACAGGTGCTTTGTGCAACTATCAGCCAGACTTTTTTTGTGTCTTCTTTTTTAAAGAATCCCTGACAGGAAGAGCATTTTGCCATCTTAAGTGCAAACATTAAGTGGCATTTGAGCAAAATTTACCAGAAGTGATCAGCACTTTGGATTCGATGTCCTCACAAGAAAAAGATCATGTTTAGTCCACACAAACAATAAAAGCAATCATCAAAAACATTGCATATTTTTGCTATCTACATTGGACAGTTCATAAAAAGTGATTCCTTGGGAAACAAGGGTAGCACCCTTAATGCAACAACGTTAACAAATTTTCAGAACTCCTTCTGTGCATGGATTGCTTAGCCTTTATATACATATTGGTTGGTGTATGCAGTTACCTACATGTAGCAACTGTAGATACCAACCAACAAACAAAACTAAAACCACACCCCTGAACATCAGAAGCAGTAATTTACTATCAACAACAAAAGCCAGCCTATAGCTAGTGCTTGATTTGTAAACGTCTGTATATCTTTACAAATAGGCTCATGTGGACATAACCTCACAAGTAGAATAGGCGACCAGGCGAGCCATCTTTCAATATAAAATCGTAAACCAAAAATTATTTCGCCTACTAATACGACCTTATTTATGACAAGATTAAAGATAAGGATCAATGCCTTCTTTGTGAACAAAAACAAACACTAACTCATTTATTTGTATCTTGCTCACGTGTAAAAAAATTCTGGTCTAAATTCACATTATTGGTGGAATACCAAACACGATGGCTATGTTGTGCTCAATAAAAAAGAATTATCTATTGTTTTACAAACAAATTTGCACTAAGGCTTGGATTGAACCTCTGTTAATGATAGCAAAGTATACCTGCCAACCCTCACGCCTTAGGCGTGAGTCTCACGCCTGCGGGTTGAAAACTTCGATCTCACGCCCACTCACGCCTGCGGACCAATTTCTCACGCCTGATTGAAAAATGTGAGTTGTTGTCGTCTTGCTGGACACAATTTCCAAAAATATGTTAACTCAGACCCATGTAACGAACGAAAACCATGTGTAAAATGAATAAATGACAATACCTTCCTCGCGATCTCTGATTTTGTGGATAAGCGTTTTCTCGATAACTTCGCCTTCGGCAGACTTCGGACGTCTTCGGAAGACTTCAGACGTCTTCCGAAGACTTCGGACTTCTTCGGGAATCTTCGGAAATGATCGTGTCGTTTTCAAAAATCCCAGCACTCCCAGGATAAAAATCTCACGCCTATATCTCAGAAAAAGTTGGCAGGTATAGCAAAGCATTATATTTACACCACCGCAGTTAAGAGAAGAAGACCACTATTTCTTCGAAACCTTTCTTGCTTAAAAAGCACAAATCCAAATCTCAAATCATTTCATTAGTAGTTTAATGTTAGTTGTTATTCTGTTTGCTGAATTTTTTGTTGTTATACATTTGAACTAAATTAAGCTTATTTAAAAAAAAAGAAACAACAAAAAAACAGAATAGGCAAACAGCATTAAGAACTTACCATGTTCACTACTGATGTGCCTAAATAATTTCTTCACAGTGTAGTAACAAGTGTTCAAGAAATAAACAGTATCTCCAGGACGCCAAGCTATTGATTTAATCACAGTGTTGATTGCAAAAGTGGCATTAGGAAGAAGGACAATATCGCTCGGATCACAGCCAACAAAGTTTGCCAGTCTCCGGTTAACGTGAGCCAAATGGGGCAGCATTTCTCTGTCAACGAAGCGCACAGGTTGTCTTTCCGCATAACACTGCCACTTAAAAGCTGCTTCTAGAGCTTCTTTAAGGACGCACCCGAAAGCTCCATGATTTAGAAACGTCCAGTTGTCGAGATCAAGAAAAAAGTGTTTTCGCATTTCTACTCCAAAAGTGGACGATCTGTTAAACGAAGGCAGGTCAAAAGGGAACTTTGGTGGTACATAATCTTTGTCAGAGGTGCTTACGAATTTCTCTACTGTTGCAAACGCCATAATACCTTGATAGATGGGTTTTTCAAGGACTGTTTTGTCGAGAGAGTTGCTCACCTGATTCGCCATTGATTCCTCCATTTCGTCCGCCATTTTGAATTAGGCGCCCCTTTATGCTCAGCGGTCGGTGCCAAAAATGTGTGCGCACATTTTTGTGGTTTACCGCTGTTTGTTCCTTTCCAAAATGCTTGTGGCGGGCTCGTGTTTTCCGAGAGAGACACTAGAGTAAGAGATGGAGTTTCCATTTGTCCAGAGCAGATTTCATTAGATTAGTTAGAATATAGATCTTCTCTTCAACGAAATTGATATGAAAAAAACTGATACATTTAGTTTTGGACCTTGGAAAATAACTACTGCGAAAGGAGCCATTTTAAAAGCAGGAGATGTTGACAGGTAAACTTAAGCTTAAAACATACGCTTGACAACATTAAATTTTGTCAGTGTTGTAATCTTGTACAGTTACTTGACATCTCTCTGGGTGTGGGTGCGCTCCATTTTTAACTTGAAGGGTTAATACTTTTTCGTCAGCAACACTGCAAAACATATGCAAAGGGTCTATATTTGCCCATCTTCTTTAAAGAAAAAATCTAAACCCCCTTATTCAAAAAACTCACCACCCTAAAGGGGGCTGGTGGTTAAAAAGTGTAAGGTTATGTGATCTGATAGGTATTAGAAATAAAATAATAACTGGAAATCGCCATAAATAGGCCTTCCAAGAGCCAGTAGACTCTACAAACAAAATGGTCCCGAAATCTGGTAATGATCTTGTCACAAAGCACCAACAAGAGACAGAAACAGCTTAATGAATTGTGACAGCGGCAATCATTTTTATATGAAGGGAAAGCAACAATCTGCTCAGTTTTGTGGTTGAACTGTTTCAGCTGCAAAATATTAATAAAAATCTCCCCTCTCCGGACCAGCAGGGAAAATTTCATACTAGCAAATGCAGCAGTGCCATTTTTTCTTAACCTACCAGGTAAGTACAGGCAGTCTCAGAAATGACTAACAAAGTGACTGCATAACCCTTAAGAAGGCCTCCATTAAAGGCCAAAATGCTGGTTGTACAGGTTACCTGTAATAATCATTAATATCCACTTCGTCTCTGGTACTATGATTAGCCTGTGCTATTGGCAATTAACTGATTGAACATATTACTCCTATACGTGCAATAGTAGAAACTGTAGGGGTCAGCTGTTCTGATGGTTGCGTGATGAGAAGATTAAAGTAGGGCATATGTCCAAGATCCTCAAGGGAGGCTGGTGGGGTGTACTGTATGATTGATAAGTGGAGTAACCGTAAACTATTAAACCCTGCCCTAGTTTTACATGCAGTAAGGCTGTCATTAAAATTTAATTGCTGTACAACACTTTATGATTTAATCACTCCTCAAATTTTTATTGACATAGGTCAGAAAAGGACGGTGAATGTTAGGGCCTGTGACCAATATTTTATTTATAATTAAGAACAATCACCTTATAGCTGCTATTGGCTTTAAAGGTAATTTACTTTATTATTATTTTTTCTATTAATCATGTGTAGAATCTCTGCTGAACTTGAGCTTCCCTCCCTTCCTGAAATGGTGTTTGGCGACAACATTCTGCAGATCGATCACAGTGCAGGGTTTGGAATTCAGTTCAATGCAATAGATGCACTTAAACGTGTGGATAACAGACATGACCTTATGAAAGTTGCTGTAGCAGAAGAGTGGCAGAGTAAAAGGTAATAGAGAGGAGAAGTTGTTATGTCACATTGCTATGGTAGCAAAATTTCTGGATCTCAACAAGCCATGATCCTGCAAATATGGCAGAAAAACATGAAGTGTTTGACTTGTATGACTTTCCTGTGCATGATTGAACTCAGGCACAAAGTGGTAGCCCGTACAATGTACTTTTCTTCATCATTTGGCAAATTATGCAAATAACCATCTCTGTCAAGAAAGATTGTTAAGATCCATGAGTTTTGCTTCCATGGTAATGGGACATCACACTTCTCCTCTTATTCCTATGAGAGGTCTACTGCAAATTAAAATGTGAACTGAAGATATGTTCTTGTATTATTTTTCAATCCCGATTGTAATGCACCATTTATCATCTTTTTTGACAATGCCACTGATTAAGTTGTGGAGCAACAACTTATTAACAGTGTACTACAGTATACCGAGTTTAAGGTGATGTACTCTTTGACAGCTTGTTATGGTTCACATTTCTCCATGGTTTGCAAATTTTATCTACCCTAATATGCCTTTAAATCAAATTATATTAATAAGAAAATATTTTATAAAACATTTCATTGCATTTTATTTTTGTGTAGCATACATTATTTGCAGGTATTTGCAGTTTTTGGCTCTTGCATGCTTTTATTTTCAGGGCCTCAAAGCTATTTACACATGCTTTCTGAGAATTACAGATTTGTTTGTTTGTTTTTTCATTTATCCTTATCTTCTTTGAAACCAATCTTTCTTTAGGCAGGATTCAGAATATATACAGGAAGTGATAAAACCTTTTGATTGGACGTTCACAACAGATTACAGGGGTACATTGACAGGCAAAAACAAGATGACCATGAAGGTAAAAATCTTTTTTACATTGTCATTAATTAATACATAAGTTGTTGTTTTAATGCACAGACCTAGGGCATGGGAAGCAGCTTCTTTAATCCAGCAAATGGGTACATTTTTTAAGCACTTGATCATGATATGCAAATTGAAAAGAACATGCCAATTGACCCAACAGATACAATAACATGACTGTTTACATTAGATGTAGTATAACAGCTCATCATGGAATTTCCTGAGAAGGGCAGTTCTTAATACACATCATTTTGACCAAAATTTGTTGTATCATGTCACTTGCAATTTTCGAAGGGTTTTTGGGTTTTTCTGTTCTGTCCCTGAAATCATTTGAGTGGGGATGGGGTTCATGCAAATCACAACGCAATGCACTTGCCCTGCTTCACAAGGAAAAACAAAACTGCAAATGACTCTAAACTACTCAATAATAGCAAAGGAAATCGCAATGGTGAGTGGAATTTTTGTCGATGGGAAGGAGCCAGACATTGCTTTATTCATGCAAGTGGGGTAGAAATTCATAAGAAAGATAAAAAAAGTCTTGGAACAAAAAGAGTCAATTATTGCCTGAAACAGAATGATCACAGAAACAAACAAAATGGATCAAAATCCACCAATCACAAACCATTACCCTTTTGAACTCATTCAAGTAAACATCTGTTTCCTAACTGAGAGGTCCGCTAAGATGATTGACGGAACAGAAAAACCCAAAATTCCTTCGAAGTTTGCAAAACGAGCAGTGTGCGGTACAATGAATTTTGCTGTAAAGTGTATTCTTTAGACTCACCATCGAAGGCATAATTGTAACAAATCAAGTTCTAATCTAACCTTTGACAGTACATGTTCTGTCATGAAACTGCGTTGTGAGGCCGGTCCCCTTCAGCATGTGCAGTATGCACCTCTATTTTATAAATGTTTCAGTTTGGAAGCAGCTTCAATACTTTATCTCCACCAGAGTGCAGTTTCCTTATCTTTATGGCAACAAATATTATATGGCTTCCATAGCCTTGTTCAATGATCTGTATTCCTTTCAGGTAGAGTCTACTGATGAGAGAATAGATATGGAACAGTTGAAAGTCAAAGAAAAGATCTACTTCTATGAGGATGTTATATTGTTTGAAGATGAACTAGCAGATAATGGGATTTCTAAATTAAATGTAAAAATGGTAAAGACTAAATGTCTTGTATAATATTATAAATAATAACAAAAAATTGTACATCAAAATACTTCAAATACTTCAAAAGAAAAAGAAAAGTTCATATGCTCTTTTTATCACTTGTAGCTTGAGGGGTAAAGGGTAAGGCAACTCGCCCATGCACTCCGTTCTTGTGCACATTACCTGTATTGTATTTTTCGAAAGCACCACACAGGCCAGCATTTCGTCGCAGTCTTTCATTGTAGAAATAGAGAGACTTTGAACAATTAAAACAGTTAGGAATATAGTGCCATGTTCGTACAAAATAACTTGGAGTTGTATTGCAGCAAAAAGGTGCTAATTTTATGGTATAAGCAGAGGGGGTGGTGTAAAATAGGTATTGTGAAAGAAAACAAATTTATTTTCATAGTCAGTAACATTAGCATTGATAATAAATCATAGAATCAGTGACTTTGAAGAAAATACCTGGTTTTCTTTTTTTTTTTAGCGTGTCATGCAAGGTGGCTTCTTTTTACTTCTGAGGTTTTTCATGCGAGTGGATGGTGTCCTTATTAGAATCAATGATACAAGAATATACCACAAGGTAAAAATAAGTAAAATCAAACTTTGTCATCACTCAGATGGCTACATCATAGGATTTGATTCACACAAACCCAAAAGTTACAACTACATGGGACAATACCCAAAGTAAGTTTTGTGTGCATGTCAAGAAAAATCAAGCCTGCACTCATGAGATATTTCACAGAATGCCACTCGAAAGCACTACATTACTAGCGTGTACACAATAAAACACCCTCATACTTGTCTTAGGATGCTAGCCTGCGTGCAGACTTCTTTTATGCACCCAGGCTATAGGACACTTATTATTTGGTCCGAAATGACCGGCCACACTGGTCCAGCCATATCAGTCCGTAATTTCTAAGAAGTATGTAAGGTAGCGATGTGTTTTAAGGAAAACTCAACCAAAACGCTGTAGCTGTCTCATTCTTTTGTGAGAGATATGAAACTTTTATCATCTTCCATCATTATGTCTAAATATTTCAGGCTGGTTCTTCGTACATGTTACGAGAATATTCCTCAAAAGAAAGAAAAATGGAAGAAATCTTGGGACTCAAGGTATAGTTATCCTGAATGAATGTTACATTAAATATCTTTTTTGTTGTTATTTAGAATCCAATGCACTGAAGACTTTGGTGGCTGTACTTGGGTGGCAGGGGGACCAAGTGGTCAGTGCATTGGACTCACAATCCGGTGGTACTTCCTCCAAATGCCGCTCTGACTTCACCAGCTGCATTTGTTTATCGTCCATCCCAAGATCAACTCCTTGGCCACGCTTATGAAAAGCCGACTGATTGCCTCCTGTAAATTGTAGTATTTAATCTTATTATTGATGTTTTCTTCACATTATATCTTCCAAATTATTTGAGTGGAGTGCTGGTAAACTTCAATTCTGGACAAAAGAAATTCTAAACATAGTTTTCCCTTTGGCTTAAAACCTACCTTTCCCCATTCAATTTTGGGAGATTACAGAACAATTACGCGCACAAACACCTACGTTTTGTTCAACATTGGGGCCACGGGGCGTGGAAAAAATAAAACTATGGGGTAAACAGAAATAGCCTTTGCAACAATTTTGACTATGATTGTAGCTAGAGCACTACTGCTATGATCAAAACATTTATCTTATTTACCATTTCATACATTGGTATTTTTTAAATCTATTTATTTATTGCGTTGACGAAATCCAGTCGTTGGGCATTCTGTGATTTCGTGGGCAGCCTGTGCATATTCCCAAGCGAGAGAAATCGTGAAAAACTGGTAATCGGTGCTGAATCTGTGCGTCACAATTAGCATCATTATGTCTCATTACAATCATGCTCAGCGTGTTTCGTACCGTTCCTCGTGTCAGCGAAAACGTGATTTATGCCATACTATGCCGAATGATATTCAGGTGCAGAATGTGATTCAGACACCGGACACAAGACCCAGCTGGACTGAATGTGGACTAAATTTTATTTGAACCTGTCAAAGTCAGCGCGCGCAAGTAACGTGACACCTTTGTTTTGTATTTTTATTTAAACGTTATATTGCGCGTGCAGTTCCTTTTAAACGAATATTTGCGTTGCATTGTTTCTTCACAATTTTTATAACACTTTAGATTAATCTTTTTCTTTTCTAAATATATCGTAGATCAAAGCCTGATCAGGAAATTATTAATAATTCATCGAGTTTTAAGCGATTCGTAGTGTTTATCCGACACCTGATGTATATTTTTGCTAATGAAATGAGTTTCGGTGTCTAACCAGCCCCAAGGCGACGCCCTGTAATCTTTGATTATTACTAGTTTCTATAGGTAATAGCAAGATTATTAAAATCATGCTATTATTTGTTTATACTACTTCCTGCAAAAGGTTTGTAATTTTCACATGTAGGTATTTCAAGTTAAGCTGAAATACCACTGCTCTAAGCCAATCAAATGGCAGAAATTTCCCATGTAGTAGTATAAGTATGGGTAATAGCATGATTAGTAGTAATATTTTGCATAAATACCACGAGTGATATTTCAAAATTGTTATACGTAATTTCACGAGCCGTTGGGCGAGTGAAATTTGAGACAATTTTGAAATATCATGAAGGTATTTATGCCAAATATCACGTACAAATCATGCTATTATTTGTTTATACTACTACCCGCAAAAGGTTTGTAATTTTCACATGTAGGTATTCAAATTAAGCTGAAATACCACTGCTCTAAGCCAATCAAATTGCAGTAATTTTTCATGTAGTAGTATAAATTTATTTATTTGTTTGTTTGTTTAGGTTCCTATCACAGATCCCACAGAGCTAGCTCAGCATTTAGTTCTCAAGAACGAAATATTTGAGAGACTTTCTTTTCCCGATGGAGTCGATGAGAAGTTTGGCGTGGAGCAATCTGTAAGTCAAGGATGAAATTGGCAAGTTCAGTACATCACTCGACGTTTTACGCGTAAAGCGGTCAAGTAAAAGTAGGAACTGAATTTGGGTGGACGAGAAGGAAGTGTTTTAAAGAGCGAAAGTCTGTCTTTGTTTTACGCAAGTGGCGCTTGAATGTTTTGTCGTGGTTAAAGGCGAGATTAATTTGAGATCAACATCATAAAGGAAGCTACATACATCATAAAGGAAGCTACGTACACGTTGTAAAACCACCTTCGAAGACTGGAGAAATGTCGTCTCTATTCTCCACACGCTAACCGTGAAAAAAGGTGACCGTGGCGATTGGAATGCTGACCGGATTGCATATTTTGATGACATCTCTCGATTATAATATCGAACGATAAAAAGTCGAAATTTTGTGGATCCCGTTCTTCAAAATTCTTATCTAGTCGAACCTCGCTCAGTGGGACTTTAAGATCCACGACCGAAGCACCTCTATGACCTGACTCTAATTATTGTTTTCTCCTTTTTGTTTTGTTTTGATTTTTGTTTTTGTTCTTTTAACAAACGAAAAAAAAATTGAAATTTGGCTAAAATGGCAAATCATATAGTATCGTTTTCTGGAATATTTAACAATTATTCCTTGAGCCCGAATGGGCTCTGAGTCAATAACCCATGGGGCCGAAGGCCGAATGGGCTATTGACTCAGAGGCCATGAGGGCGAGAGGAATAATTGTTTTAGTAAAATCCAACTAGTTGGTCAAAAATATCGAGAATGAAAAACTTTTAGCTAGTTAAAGCTTGACTTTAATCCTTTTTTGCCGCCAAAAAGCCCGCGCTTTTCGCTACTAGTGGGCTATAATGTATAATAGCCTAGTAGTAGCTCAACCAATCAGAACGTAGCATTGATAATAGACCAATAGTTGGATTTTACTAAAGTAAGACCCTGTTTACATGAAGTGGGGGACCCCGGTCTAGTGGGGTAAGTTTCTTTTGTTTTGTGTCCCACAGAGCGTAAAAACAAAAGAAACCAACCCCACTAGACCTGGGTCCCCCACTCCATGTAAACAGGCCCTAAATTACACAAAGGCGTTAGCGGTAGGTGGCAATTCTTGAGGATCGTTTTTGCATTGTGTAATATGTTATATGGGGCGGTAATGAGCGGCTGAAATGGCTCCGAAACGGTATGTAATGACAAGAACACGTTAATAGAACATACGACAAGATAAAGCATTTTGCTGTACGTTATACTGCTAAATTGTACCCTGGGTGCCAGAGACTTCATGCGGCCGACAACGAAGCATCACACCGCACGCGAGAAAGGAAACCCCTGGTACCCGCGGTAGCTAAATTGCGATTGCTAATTTATGAAATAATCATGATGCTACAAATATTTTCACCCGTGAGCTTGAGGCGCCTTTGTAAAGTAGGTAACGTTTCCTCGATGTGCATGCGTCTTTCCTATGACCCTACAATCACGTGAACGCCAGAGGGCCTGGCACGTGAAGTCCGCGGCGCGTAAATTCCACGCAAGAGGGGGAGAGTACTCCCCAACCCCCATTCCTTTTCCCCTTCTTTCCTCTCCTCAAGCCCTTTCGACACTTGCTACAAGACCCTACAAGGCTAAGTGACTACCGACGTGTGCCCTCTCTTCATTTCTTACGTAGGGCCGTATCATTGTAAGATTCAGGGAAAGGTTTATGTATGGTTTTAACGGTAATTCAATCATTTTGCTGGCAATTCAGAATTCTGGATTGTCGTCTGTACATTACTAAAGTATTAATTTCACACAAGCTACCAACCAAACTCGGATGGTAAAATTCCGTGTTATGTATTAAGTCTGCCCCGGATTAAAAACGGGATGGGATGTTGTTGGGGGGGGGGGGTTGGGTGCGCCCACAATATTTTCTTCTGCATTAACATGACAATTACTGACCTCAGTGATCTGTTTGATTGATGGATGGTTAGACATCATTGTGTTAATCGATCCCAGTTGCCTTAACGCTGTTTAACCTTTTTAAGCTCCCTTGGCTGCTTTGTGACACGAAATAACTGGAAACACTCTATTCTCTGGCATATAACAATTCTTTGCACTTAACAGTCGAATATTCTGGATGATACACCTGAAAAATTTTAAAACGTGTCTGAATTACGCTATAAAAGTATGTTTTGCAAAGTGTGATACCTATGTCGTAATGTATTGTGCATTTCGTCATGCTTGAGGCGTTTTGACAGATCTTGCCATATATAAATTGTTTGAAATTGTTGTAATCTTTCCTACCTTGACGGTGCTGTCGACGGACTTCTTCTGCAGGAATACTAGATTAGCGCAATTTTAGAATGGAGAACAGGAGTGTTATGAAATCACTTTACCAGGTAAGACTTGAAATTCATTTCGCTAAGTACTGGAGAGATATGTCCTTTACCTGAGAAATAGTCTGCGATTATAGAGGCGGGTGAGGGGGTGTGTTGGAGGTTTGCCATTTTAAAAATCATACGGTTGAACCGTGCTTTAAGTACGCCACGGAAAGTTTTCTTTGCCCCTGGAAAAAGCCCTTAAATTCAGCCCACCTAATACGGACGGACACCCGTTAACGTCGACGAGGAACATTGTCGTCATAAAATGTCGTCCTCTTGAAACCTCGCCAAAACGGACATTTCGTTGACAACTGTGTGCAGCTGTAACAAACATTTTCTAAAGGTAAAAAGCTTTCGGATAGTGACAGCAGGTCGATGTTCACATTCATTGCTTTTACTGTAAACGGAATAAGACGTCAGTTTCTGACTATTGACACAACTGAATGAGCTATGCAGAGCAGGTGCTGGTTTTAATTAATATAATGTTTGTTCCCTCGGAAATACTCTGCAGAATAACGGTTTTGTCTAACTCGGAAAAGAGATTACTTTACAATGCAGATTATGACCTTTTTTTATTCACTTAGTACTTTGTTGGCAATAAATGGCATTTATTTTTACCTATGAGTGTCCGCCTACCAACGGGGTTCGAATCGACTGTATTACTTATTCCCAATTAATATTTATGCCAAAAAAGGAAAAGACGTGTACAATCGACTAGTCTGCAGCAGAGTTTCAGTATCCGAAATGATAAACTTTTTGACTGGAGTTTGAGTGTTCGACTCCAAAGAACTGGTTTATTGAATTTTACCTTTGACTGTCGAGACTGTAAACCGAGCCTAAGGGAGTTCTCGCAGTCTTATTTTTTTCCCCACTCAAGGACAGGAAGCCATTCCGTGCTCCCAACGTGTTACCGGAGCCTAGAGATTCCTTTGACCCAGTCATAATCCAGTATTTTTTAAATCAGTCGCTTAAGTCAACAAAATCAAGTCAAAACGACTCAAACTACGAAACTACATTTCAGAAACCGGGAATGAGTTTGTTAAACAAACGTGCTAGCCTATACGCTCGCACACTCGAGTTCGTTTTGCCTTTTATTATTTTTCTTTGCATTCTTTCTCAGGTCCAGGAGGTTTGCCTTGAACTATTAATGAATTGATTAAGGGTGTCAGAGAGCTTTTGAATAGCCTATTCAGTTGTGTTTTACGAGTGTTTAGTGAAGTTCTACCCGGGAGTCCATGTGAAAAGGGGTGAACAGGGGTGTGGAGCTCGTCGGAACTTTGGACTATGCTATCTTGGAGACTAGGCCAGGGTGGAAGTGACTCAATTTTTATACCTCTATGATCTAAGATACCATTAAAGACAGATAACAGAAAAAGAGGTCAAGACTTGACCCGCATCGTTTTGTTTCAGTTTGTAAATACTGTGGAGGAGATGGAAAAGGCCGTTTTGGTTCCTCAAAGCTTGCAAGATATGTCTCTCTCTAGCAGTAATGGAGTGGTCCTGGAGAAGAGTCTTTTTGAATCATTCACAGTTCTAAGGAACATCAAGAATATTGTTCTTACTGGTATGATCTTTTATGTCGTAGTTAGATACACACTATTGTGCAAAATAACAATGTAAGCAGTTCGCCGGCCGTCGATCTATAGTCCGCTGTGCCATAGCCCTTGGTTTCTTTGGGTCACGTGACTTTAAGCCGAGTGGCTCTGGGGACGACAATGGGGTAGGAGCACTAAAAAATAGCTTCGAAGAAGAATACAAAATCAATCACGTTTAAACTGATAAGTGTCTTATAACATTTTCTTTTTGCCATTTTTGACGTAGGTCACGCCTTGGACGACGAAAACGGGAATACCCCTCATACCCCATTCAGCGATGAGCTATTAGCCTTAACGCAAACGTTACAAAAGTTGACGGGACTGGCAAACAACTTGACAGCCGAGTATAAAGAAAAGTTTAATCTACTCTTCTGAACTAAAGTGTGTCCTTCAAAGGCGATGGGAAACAGATGGAGTTCAAGGCTGAACAAAAAAACGGATGAGACGAGTTAAAAAATAACTGAATAACAGTAAAAATAGTGGAAGCGAAAATAAAGACATCCTCTTGTTGGAGAAACCCAAAAAAATAGAGACAACTTGTGCAATAGTTTGTCCAGCTATTTGCCTTAACTTGCAGTAAAATCAGTGCCCTGGTGTGTAAAATTAGGGGGTTCGTTGACTGACTTGTAGCCCTCTCGACATGCATCAACGCTTTGACAAGCAAGATGAAAAAAATATTGATAATACAGAAATGCACCCCGCTAATAAAAAAGCGAGAGAATTTTCAAGGTATTTGCATCACCTTCAAAAACTTCAGAAGCCACTATATTCCATTGAATGATTGGACTCGTCCTCCCGCACACAAGTGTATCAATTTCGGTAGTAAGGGAATCCCGAAACATCGAGTTTGGACTCGAGTTCGGGTTCGAGTTAGGGACCGGTCATTATTTATCGCCAGAGGGGGGGTGGGAGGGGGACGAGCTCGAGGTTTTGGGGCTAAACAAGGTGAAATTTAGCCGATCCCCCCTTCGAATGTTACTTCACTGAAGTGATCCCCCCTAATAACTATTGATGACTTTCGCGATACCCCCCCCCCCCCCCTCCCCACACACCCCACAGGTCTTCATTTTCCAAGCAAATGTGCGTGGTCCCCTCTCTGAATCCTTCCTACTCCCCCGCCGGTAGTAAGTGCGAATATACATCAACCGCTTAGAAATGAAAACCCGCGACCCAGCAGGCGCTTTCTTCCCGTAAGATACAATGGGGGGAGGGCATGATCTCAGGCTAACACAAAACTCTTTACGGTGAATTTCTTTATAATATTATTTATCTTAGAAATAGCTAGCATTCATTTATCTACGTTGGAAATTTAAAAAAATGAAATTAATTATAAGCCGACTTATACGTCCAGTAGTTGACGGGGAATGATGACGAAGAAAATCCGAAACTTCTTAAATCTAGTATCACATGAAGCATCGATCCGCCTCTTACGAAAAAATAGCAGTGGTTAAAAAATCAAATTGTCCATGTTTATTATTTACAACAGTTTACGCCAGCCGTTCAGGTATCGGGTTCGTAGGTTTGAAGACTTCGCCACGTATCGCAGAGTTAGCATACACTCCAGATTCGTCATGCCAAGTGTTTGCTCCGTGACGTCTGTAATCATCGACGTCTGTAAACTGTGAGTGGCATTTACGCCAGGCAGGGGATCGGTCGGGCTCTGGGGGAGGGGTCTGTGGGGCAATAAAATAAAAATTAAATCATAGTCACTAATACTGTCTCAGGTTGAGGGCTTCAATCCTGACCGGACCAAAGAACAGGACATAGTATAGAGAAACCCTGCTTTACTGGCCTGTGAGCAAGCTCTTTATTTGGGAAAATGTGTGCGGACTCATCCCCGAGCGGCACGGAGAAAGAGATGCGAGATCGAGGAGCGGGTCGCACCCTCGCGGTTCGCTCACCAATAGGCAAGGAAAGCTTTCTCGTAAACAAATACCCCATTTCTCTCCTTAAGGGGCAATCCCTTTAAAGCTTCTTGGAGTTTGTCCATCCATGCCTTATTTTGTATTATACATCTTACTCTGTTATTTAAACCTTCTTTCAATACTGTACTCTGAGCGGTTATTTTATGTTTCAATTTAACTGGTGATAGTTCTCACTCTTTAAATTTGGAAAACTCTCGTGCCTCCGCCCTTTAACTTAGCCGTCAAAAAGTTATCCATATCATACAATCCTGTAAGTACACGCCACAAAACCCTTACCGATATGCTTAGCTTTGGACATTTCGAGGTTACAAAAAGTTGAAAGTGAAGACCGGCAGATATGTGGTGGAGTGATATGTGGTTCCAGGTTTGAAACCACACATAGCGCATCAAAAGGAGCATATCCCACCAAGCCTCTGAAGTTTCCTTGCAACCTGTTTCGCAATATTGCCGCGCTCTCCCTATCAAGCTGCAGGAACCGTTTTTCTAAGGTACATGTAACTTCCTCAGAAATAAACTCTTACATTCCAGTGTCAAATCATTGTGAACGGCATAACTTGATTCTCCTTAGTGCAACGCATACCGGCAACAAAAACGTTGCAAGACATGTTCAAGGGTGCGACGTATACCCGGGGGGGGGGCACTTGGGTATTTTTTGGGTGGGTATGTGCCGCCCGAGACTTCAAATTGGCACCCCGTTCTAAAACAAAATTCGCCTAAAATTGATACCCCGTTCTAGAAATGGGCCAATTTTTTATACCCCGTTCTAGAATTCGCCTTAAAACTGATACCCCGTTCTAGAAATGGGCCAATTTTTTATACTCCGTTCTAGAAAGTTTGCAAATTGAAATAGCCCTGTTTTTTTAAAAAAATATATTTCTTTATTTGTTCGACTTATACATCAAATAAATGATTCTTCATAATCAGCAGCAATTTTAAGGAGAAGATAAAGCCGTGATCCACAATTTTTTATACCCCGTTCTAGAAAACGTCTCTGAAATGGATACCCCGTTCTAAATCAGGAGCTTCAAAATCCCGACCCCGTTGGGCGGCACATACCCGTATAGGTAATGTATGGGAGTACCCCCCCGGGGACGTATACTAGGTAATTCTTCTAGTAAGTAGCTTGCGATTCACAGGAAATCTTAATAAAATATTAAGCCGTACTCTTTACTCAGTTAAAGGTGAGGATTCTATTACTGCAATATATATAAGTAGGTAGGTTGGGCTCTAAACGAAGAATTGACTGAATAATCGGAGTATACCTTCTGTTGCTCGTATGGATACGGCGAATCATAGTCCACTCTATATGTCGTGTCTAGGTATCTGTGTTATTAAAAAAAACAAAACAGCAACAAAATCAATGTATATTTATCAAATAAAAAGGGATAAAAATGGGTATCAATGAGGCACAAGACGCTGCTAGCTGACTATGGTTGGGGGTTGGGTCTAGACTGAGGGGGGGCCAAGGAGGTCTTCCCCACATTTGCATGTAACTACATGTATGTACCTTTTTTACGATATAAAATAAGCTGCATGTCCCGGAGTAGGCTTTGATATAACATATAGCCTAGTAGTAGCTCAACCAATCAGAATGCAGTATTGATAATAGACCACTAGTTGGATTTTACTAATTGGGTATATCAGTTGTGGGTGGTTAGGGACACCCTGACACTGTAATAACCTCAATTTTATTACCCTGTTTAGGGCAAAGGACAAAATGGATGCTGTCCTGTTTTAAAGCCATTTATTGGCAATTGCAATAGATCAGCAAATTCATGTTATAGCCACTGCTTTTGTATACCGGTAGTGCAAAGAAACTTCAGCTTGCAATTGGAATCAATCGTAGATATAAAAGGCATTACCCTCTTTATCAATAGGACTGACTTGCATGAAAGTTTAAAACTACCCTGTTTAAGACAGAAGGGGTCAAAACCATACCCTGTCCAGTGACACATCCCTGTATAGACCACATAAGTACACCTCCAGGGTGCTTGTGTTAAATCATCTTCCCAGAGGTGAAGCCCATTTAGGCTCTGGAAGTACTTTATTTTATAAATATATACCTTTTCCCATGATTTTGGGGATGTCTTGGGAGGACACTACCAAAACCTCTGTCAGGAGCTCCAGTGTCTCTGATTTATTCAAGACAAAAACACAAATCATTGTATGCTACAGCAACCATAAATATACTTGCATTAAATCTTTGGATACCGATATAAAAAAATATGGAAATTAGGATCAGCTTACAGAAGATTACTGTGTGTACATTTTATAGATGAGTTGTGTGGGTGTGCTAGCATACAGAAAATGCAAAATTACAAAAGGTTTTTCAGTTTAAAACTTCTGATCTCTCAACAAGGAATTGGTTATCTTACCTTTCGAAGCTGACGCTATTAAATGTATTGATGTCAACCATCTGCCGTCTAGTATCTCTTGTTTCAAAATCACTTTTTAGTTTCACTGCTTGCTCCATTTGATCATGACTTGTTGTATCTGGTAAAGACTGAAGGAGTCACAGATTCAAAAAAATATATATCAATGGACTTGACAACTGAATTACATAGTCTGTTCAAAGAATGAGAAGTGTATATATATCTAAGTTATGCATCATTCCATTCCACCCACACTTGATCATCTCCCGAAAGCCACTCCAACAGACAACTATGGGACATACATGTAGGTTACCTGTTCACTATCCGTTAGGGTGGGGCATTAGTAAAGTTAATAAATATTGCTAATAATCTACACCCATGTGATGTGAAATACAGTGGAACCTCGATATAACGAAGGCTGAAGGGACTAGCTGGCAAAATCTGTTCACTATAAAGAGGTTTCATTATATAGAGGTTCTTTTTTACATGTTTTACAATAATTACTAAGGTAAAAAAAATCATTTGTTATACCGAGGACTTCGTTATATAGAGGTTTGTTATAGCGAGGTTTCACTGTAGTACTGTACATGGTTTCTGTAAAAGGAGCAGCAATTTGTTGCTGCCTTGCCTAAGTTGCCTTTTTTTTGCCAAACTTTTACTAAAGCTCCTTAAGACTCATTTAGAAATGATGTAATGGACTTGTATGGCTGAGAGAAATTAATAACCTGATTGTGCTAATTAAACTGATCTATGAGCGATAATCATGTGCTTTTCAAACACTATGATAAAATTAATTTAGCACGTTTTAAAAAATCTGAAGCAGCAAGTTTCAACCATTACTGACTCACCCCATCTGTGACATTTCCAATGCGATGATAGGTAGAATTATGCAGATTCCTCTTCTGAGGTTGATAGTCTTTGATGTCATAATCTTTGGGTTCTGCTTCCCTTGCTTGATGCCTGTATGCAACATAGAGGTGGATTGATGAAAGTTACTGAAGTAAGCTTATTTGTTTTAAATGTGCAGACACAGGCGGACCATCCAAACTGTTCAAGGGATCATAATGTCATGTGTGACATCTGATACTATACAGTTAATGTATTTCATGACACCCACCCTCAGCTTGATTCAAGTGATTGGTAGAAATGCTTCAAAAAACACAGAATTTTGCACCCTTTGATCCCGAATGGTGATATAATGAAAGAAAAATGAATAAAACTAACTTACCGTATGTTTTTAGTGTCGTGTCGTGCAGAACCCATTAGGTAAGTTATCTTTATTCATTTTTCTTACATTATATCACCATTTGGGATCAAAAAGTACAAAATTCTGTGTTTTATGAAGCATTTCTACCTATCACTTGAATCAAGCCGAGTGCGGGCGTTACAAATGGATCACACGTCGCGCGTGACATCACCATGCCTCGAACAGTTCGGATGGTCTGCCTGTGGTGCAGAGTAGAAAAAAAAAATCCGATGCAAAGGACGATGAGCTTAAAGTTTAACCTAACGTCTTGATCGATCTGCTCCAGTGATTGTCTTTTTACCACTGATCGACATATATTTTCCGTATTTAGAATAAACTGAGAACAACTATAGTCTGTCATAAAACACACTGGAGAGGATACACTAAGTAAGATACAGGCAAAGCAACTTTAGACGTAGTAGGCCTTATGCTGCTGCCGGCAGTCGAAACTCACCAGTTAGACACGAGTGTCGGCCTGGCGTAATCCATGTGATCAGATCGCAAGAAAAGAGAACCCTTTCTCTCAACATAATCGGGAATGAAAGCCAGTAGGTTAGGATGTGAAGCGGCCATGGTTGTGAGACGTTGTTTTCACAGCTGTGAAACGAATGGAAAGGACAACTCCAGAGTTTACATAAAATCCATGGTAACGTGGTAGCCTCGCTTTCATCCATCGAAAATGAGCCCGCGTTTTTTAAGTCAGCAGTATTCTTTCAAAAATGTCGGCGTGTTGGGCAGTTTCTCTTTGTATTAAAAAGTCGTTTCTCGACGTGTTTCCCAGCTAAAATGCAAGCCAATTCTCAGTATGTTCAACACTTCCAAGCCGCTAAGAGCTGTCTTAGAAGAGAGAGGTATGGTGAAGCTTTGGCTCATATTGTTTTCTTGGCCAATGTGGAGCCCTCGTCGAAAGATAATCTGGAGGAAGACTTCATTGTCGCTTTGCGCCAGTGGACCGAGATTCTTGAACAACACGGAGAGCTAGAAAAACTAATGGTGTGTCTACAGGAAGCTTTAAAGCTCTATCCACAAAGTGAGGCTGTTCTTATAAACACAGGAGCACACTTGCTCAAGTTGGGATGTACCGACGAAGCTGCCTCGTGTTTCAGACAAGTCTTGAGTGTAAATGATAGCAGTGTTAGAGCCAGAGAATATCTTGAAAATATCGCCAATTTATTAGTGGAAAGATGGCATTTTAGGATGTTAAATGATGAGAAGCGAAATTTAGCTTACAAAGAGGCCATCTGCAAGGCAATTTCCCAAGGATATGACACTGTTCTAGACATTGGAAGTGGTACTGGTATTCTGAGTATGTTTGCTGTCCAGGGGGGAGCTAGAGAGGTTTATGCATGTGAAATGTCCAAGACCATGTATGAAATGGGCTGTGATGTATTGAAAGCAAATAACATGGATAGTTCAGTCCATTGTATTCAAAAGAAGTCAACAGAGATAAGTGTTGGTAAGGATATTCCCAAGAAAGTTTCTCTTGTGGTGACTGAGACATTAGACTGTGGGCTTCTTGGTGAGGGAATTCTTGCTACTGTCCAGCATGCGTGGAAACACTTACTTATGCCTTCTAAACCCTCACAGGTGAAGCCAGTATCAAAGGTCATCCCTAGTGGAGCTGTTGTTTATGCTATGGCAATTATGTGCGATGATATCAGAAATCAAATCAGAAGCAAACCAGTTGTGAGTGGAATAAAAATGTATCCTGAGCTAACTGTGGGTGGTGAAGTAATGGAAAAATGTTCAGAAGGGTCTTCCAAAAATATATGCAATCAGCTGGAGCCATATAGCACAGAATGCTTAAACAATCTACGAGGTGGATTTATTCCTCTTTGTCATCCTTTTAAGGTTACTGAATATAATTTCAATAATCCAAGTAGCTTGTATGATGACAGAAAATTGCATTTTGAAGTCCTTGCAACCAATGATGGTTGTGTTGATGCTATTGCAATGTGGTTTGATCTACAATTAAATGAAGAAATATCCCTTTCCACTGGACCTCAGAGTGATTCTCTTTGCTGGGAACAAGCAGTTTTTCCAGTGCATCTAGACAATGCTAGTAGTTTATGTGGCATTAATAGAGTTTCAAAGGGAGACTTGATGTCTATTTATGGACATCTTTCTAAAGATTGTTTGAGATTGTATTTGAATGGTGCTGAAAATGACACAGAAGACATGGCCTTGCAATTATCAAAGGATCAAAGAGTTGATTCTGCTGTAAAGACAACTTCTTTGGATCTTGAAACTGAAGTTAGCTGCAAAGTAAGTAAAGATATTACTGTCATCCCACCATCTTATTTGAGGCGACTGAATGACAAAATTTTCAGTGAACTGTATGACAAATCAATCTGTGATGCTATGAAGTCTGCAAATCCTAACTTCAACAATGGTGGAATTGGATCACAAGAAACATCTGAACATAAAAGAAACATCCCATATTATGTTCTGGACATCACATATGGTCCTTCCCTGTTTCCATTCTTTGCCTCTAGAAGCAAAGCAGATCGCGTGCTGATCTCAAATCCACATGATGTAGAATGGATCAAACACATTATAAATGGAAACAATTTGCCACATGTTATTGAGTATGGTCCAAAGAAACTTGAAGACATTTCCAAAGATGCAACAGGAAGAAAGTGGAATGTTCTTATCAGTGACATTGTTGAACCATCAGGAATTATTCGCCAGCAAGTGGTAGAAGATATTGTCTTTGCCAGAGGATGTCTATTGAGACCAGAGGGGTATCAAATTATTCCCATGGGCTTCACCTTGTATTGTATGTGCATTGAATCTCCTTTTTTGTCGGCCAATTGCCGAATCCTCAGCCAAGACAATACACTGGGACTTGACATTGGAAGGTTTGTCAATGAGTTTCAAGTATCAACTCAAATAGATCTTGACTTGACAACCCTACCATTTTCAGCAGTAACAGACCATGTCAAAATTCTTGACTTAAATTTCATGCAGAACTTTGACACTGATCAAGGATTGCTTTCAATGCTTGAAACTCACTCAAAGCAGAAGGTCAGAGTTGTTAAATCTGGTCGAATCCAAGCTATCCCCTACTGGTATGTGCTGCACATGGACAATGTCCACTCACTGTCTACATACAGTGGAGCTTACACTGGATCACACTGGAGGCAAGCTGCTGTTGTTTTAAAAGAAGACATAATTGTGGAGGCTGGCCAAGACCTTTTAATTTCAGCTTCATGTGTAAATAGCTGTATTTTCATCAATGTTAATGTAGCTGTGGATTAATGTTCAATAATATTATTGGTGACTTATTATACTGGTGACTTGTAACTTAGATAATGGCAAACATAACAGCAAAAAGGATAAGGGTGGTAATTTTGTTACACCTTTTTTATAGTAAGGTAAGGTAAGGTAATGGCGCACACAAGTCAAAGGTGAGCTGTTGTGTGAAAACATATCTTGTTCACAACCAAAAATAACATGTAAAAAGATCACGGGTGCTTTGGTTAACTAATAAATTGTACTTTTTGCACCAAAAAAATATATGTTCAAGTGAAATAGTTTGGTATTTTACTGGTGTTTAATATAATAAAATAATGAATTATTATGTGGCCACTTAAAGATTATTATCAAATTTCTCTTCAAGTGTTGAAAAATGCTTGAAGAGTGAGTGCTGTGTATGACTGAAATATTTTCAATTCAAGAACATATACTTGCTTCATTATCATGATGTTCTGGCTTCAATTCAAGTTAGAGTTTTGAGTGTCTTATGTGAGTGAATAAATATGTGTGTCATTATCAGGAAAAGACATTTTTATGTTTTCTTTGCGAGTGAATAAAAATTAATATATGTTTCTTTTCTTTGCTTATAAGCTGCCCCTCCCTCCAAATGAATATAAACCCACCCAAAAGGCCTTTCAAAATAACAGGCCAGGGCCACAAAATTATAAATCACCATGTGTCACAGAATATCAAAGACTTCTTTATATTTTTATGTGTTTGAAGTATTGAATTTGTCAGAGAGAAAGCATTTAGTATTCTCAGATCATGACTTTGTCTTGTTTAGATGTGAAATACAAATTTTCCTTCACTTTGTACATTTCAAAAAAGGTATAAATTTTAGGTGCTTGTCTATTTGCCTGGGATATTTAAGGATGGTTGCAGTTGTGCTCTTCAATACTGACCGAAGAATTCAATTAGCTTCTTTTTCTCAGGGATGCTAAAAAGGCCAGACTATAAAGGAGGTAAAAATTTGACCTTATGAGGCCAGTCTCCTTGAATTTGCATTGTTTTGCTCCATCATCTCTGAGAATAAAAAGGGACTAATTATTGATGTATTTTACAGATTGGCGACAACACCCTGTACCTTTTACTTCCTGTTAATTCCTTAGTCCTGGACCTTCCCTAATATTACGAGCTTTTCTCCCGTGGTAAACACATCCTCAAACTTTAACACAGGCGATTACCAATCCCCTTCCGTTTTCCCAATCATATTTGTTAGTACTTAAGAGAGGGTTTACACATTGCAAATAAATCTCTTTTCTATTTTGTGTCTTGTTATGATCTATTTTTAATAATATTTATTTATCTTTTTATCTCGATGCAGGATGACCTTAACTCACAGGTCAAATGCCAACATAAATAGCACACAGACACAAAGAAAGCAAGAGAGAACGAGAGCAGAGAAGGAAGAAAAGAGAAACTACAAACACACCCGGGTAATTCCCTGTAAATCGGGCGAAACGACCGGATACTAATTGTAATCCTCTAGCGGAAACCGGTCGTTTCGCCAACGGTCGTTTCGCAAACGTCTCTGGTCAGTTCGCAAACGTGTAGAAGTCAGTTCGCAAACGTTTAGAAGTCAATTCGCAAACGTTATAAACATTGATATGTCAACCTACGTTTTAACTGTACAGTTCAGAATACTAACGTTATGCCTAAATTATTGGGTCTGAAATGTAACGTTATAAACCTTGGCGAAACGACCGACATTCCCTCTAGCGATACCGGCGATATTTTTACAGAGTTGACTTTCCTTGCTTTTTTATGTGACGGTTCACATCATTTCAAGTTCTTCTCAATGTCCCTTTTGACCTTTCCTGTGATAGTGATAAGCAGTGATTTTACAAGGGTTTAATAGAGTATGACAAGGCATGTGTCTTATGACCCGTGGAATATACATAGCAGCACGAAATGATGATGAAGCAAGGAAATGCGTCACCTGAATTAGACGGAAAATGAGTTAATTTCTGGGTAATTTACATTTCCTTTCTGATTGCTTACATTACTGTCACGGTATTATTTCATGACGATTTTACTCATTTTCCATGGACCATCCGGACGAGCGCTTCCTCGTCTGTAGCATTTTTGCTTTTAAAATCCTATCATAGAACACTGTTTTAAATCCGTTTAATTCTGAAAGTGTTTTGTAACTTGTTTTGAACCTTTCCTGTGGTGTTGGATGATAAAGTGATTATATATGCGCCAATACACGTACACACCCCCAACACGCCCCCGAATTATTGTGTTCTCATTTTCCGAAACTCAACACCAACGAAATGTGCTAAATATTTTTGTTTTGTCATTTTTTCACCGTGGTTTGATAGCTGTATCCATGTATATACATTTCATTCGTTCACTCTGTACGAATAAAGCTTTCATTTCTGGTTCAAATATTTGAAAACCCAAGCGGTGTTCATGATCCGTGACACGAACGTAAGAAATTGTTTGTTTCCCTTTTTTTAAACTCCCTTGTCTTATGTGACGTGAAGTGGCCTTTGTCACCCTTGTGATCACGTGTTTTTCTGTTTATAAAACACTGGTACGACTGGTTGTTCTCTCATTGAATGCAATTTTTACACGTAGTTCAAGTCCAGCAATGAGCGTTGCGAAATTAGCACGTATTCTTAGCGTTGCGGCTCGCGGCCCCCTTCGTTTCGAAGCGAGGGCCCTTTCGTCTCTTTCGGCAACAGCAACCAAGATGGCGGACTGGGAGACAAAGATCCCCGCTCCACCTCAGTTACTGGCACCACTTACGGTCCCCACAAAATATCTCTTCGGTCCCGGCCCGTCAAATCCTAACATGAGGATTTATAATGCTACAGCAATGTCCCTTTTGGGTCATATGCAAGCAGATTTCTACAAAGTAATGGACGAAGCGAAAGCAGGTCTTCAATACGTGTTTCAGACAAACAACCGGTATACACTTGCTATCACTGGAGCAGGGCACGCGGCAATGGAAGCTTCGATCATGAACATCGTAGAACGAGGGGAACCAATTCTAGTGTGTGATAATGGAATGTGGGGAAAGAGGGCACGTGAAATTGCGGAAAGGCAAGGTGAGAGAAATTTAAAAGAATGCATTAAGCTTCTAGGAATCACCGTTCGTGACGCGGAACCCGTGCTTCTTCTTCTTCTTTCTTAATTCTTCAAAAGAAAGATTACATTTAAGTGCCAAATAGATCAGACAACTTAGAATATCATTATATTGTTCGCCCAGAAGGGGTTGTACTTTTAAAAAATTCATAAGATTTCACGATTTGCATTTCGATCTTCCCAGGCTTTAGCTTTGTATTTGTAACTCTATAATATGCAAAATTTAAGTTTTCTTTTAGCCAAAGTATTAAAAGCGGACTGAGCAATTTATTGCTTTTGATTTCGAAGACTAAACATTTTTTGTTATTTTCAAACATTCAACCAAATTAGCTGACTGCATGTGTTTGGCCGGAGTTGTCAGCGAGTTACGTGCTCTCGCGAACTAAAATTCTTCCGGTTCATGTGGCGTCTTCGCCCGCCCAATACAACTAACCTTATATTTAAAAGTCACTTGTTCGTCTCGAAGAGTCTAAACAGTTACCATGTAGAAATAATCCAGCTCGAAAGTCCCTTTAGATAATGAATTATAACAAACATAAAAATTTCTCATTCTTTATTTTATTCCTCCTCTGTTCTTAAGGACAGCTGTCTTTAAAAATCAACGTTTTTGGCACAATTTCTGAAAATAATGCCCCTTATATGTCCGGCCAATTTGTCTGTTAGTACAAAACTGTTCACCACTTCACAGGCAGACCAACCTCTGATTGTGTGGCCCTTGCTGCGCCCATCTTTTTGTACTTATAAATACAGACTTGAGCGAGCAACTTCCATGCACTCTATCATTTTTCCGATGGTTTTGGAGCGAATTTTGAATATCTTTTAAATTCCACAAACCAGTCAGCTTAACCTACAGACCTAAAAATGATATGTTTTGCTTTTTGATATCTTATACTTCGATTGCACTCACAGACATGGTGAAGATTCTATTTGTTTATTTTGCGGGAAAAAGTGCCTTAAAATTTGTCTAAAAATAAACTGGTCCGTAAAAACCGCCCTGATATAAACGTAGTGTGGGAGTTGCTAGCTCTGGGTTATGGGCTCCTGGTATAGGTAATAGGGCTGTAGATATGCTGTCCAATTTGGAAATAATTGGATGAAAAAATTCCAAGGACAGCCAAAATTGGATGAACCCATAGGCCGAGTCCAGTTTGGCTGTCAGAAGAATTTGGTAAGTTTTTGCATGGCCCTGAGATGTACTTTGTGTCAGAGATAATTGTTTGTCTGGCAGCAAAAAGTAAAGAAAGAGAACAAGGTAGGCAAAAAGCAGCTGCTAGCGCATGACTTAACTGGAACTGATGCCCAACCATAGAAATTCTCAGCTTATAAACACCAGCATCTGATCAACTAGATACATCTTATGTTCCTCACCAAACCTTTGCACAATCCTTCCAAAAATTACAGAGAAAAGTGATACTGAAGTTGCAAAAGCAACTTTCTCCACACAATCGATGCCAAATTCTCTACAAGCTTCCACCTCTGAGTGTTCTTATTCCACTGTTTGTTGCTGTGTTTGTTATACCCGCTTATTAATTAGTATAATGATTTTTTTCTGGAAGGATGCGATGTCAGAGTTCTTGAAAAACCACCAGGTGGATATTTTACCTATGAAGAGATAAAAGAGGCAAGTTCTTTTGCTTTATTTTATTTATACAAGTGACCAGAACCAATTAACAGGGCTTCTGATATTTTGCGGAAAAAAAACCAAAATTGCGCGGGATTTTCAGGGGCAAATTTGCGGAAAAATCGGCCGATTTCGCGGGATTTTCGCAGGAAAAAAGTCAAAATTCGCGGAAAATCGGCCGATTTCGTGGGATTTTCGCGGAAGGAAAGTCAAATTTCGGGGGGGGAAACTTCGCCAAGAAGCAATCAGTTAAAAAACAGCCGATTTCGCTGGATTTTTTTGGCAAATTTCGCTAAAATCGATCAATGTTGCGTCGATATGACCAGCGTTGTGTACCGTTTTTTTAAGAGGGATAATCATTTGCTCTTTAATTTCAACAACAGTTCGCTCAAGAAATAAGCGAATGCTAAAGCTATTAACATTATGGTTAGTGCCCAGTTTTTCACAACATTAATCTAAGAACGCCTGTTAGTTTTGGGACGTTGTTTACTCGTTGCAGTGACTAAGTTTCAAGATAAATTTGGACGTTTGGGGTGAATAAAACAGGTCTAATTGCCAAGATAAGTATCAAATAATTATGTTTTGCCAACATGTATTTGGAAATATTTCTGGCGGATTTCGCGGTATTTCACGTTTTTTTGGGAATTTCGCGGGATGTCGCGGAAATACCTGAATTTCGCGGGTCCGCGACCGCACGAAATATCAGAAGCCCTGAATTAAGCCTTTCTGTAACCCCAACACAAATTCTCAAGACTAGGTCTCCACACAATCTTTAAAGAACTAGTTGAGAGAATTAAATAAAAGATCAAACCTATTTCCTTTAGTGATCAATTTCACAAGATTTATTCTTGATACTAGCACACTGTTGGGGGAAATTGTTGTTGGTCACCCTTGGAACTTAAAGGGTTAGCAAACTGTGAATTCCAAACAAGGTTGTTTGAGTTAATCAATAATATTATTGTTAATTGATTTGCCCCATAGTTATAGCTTTGTCTGTTCTGTGGTAATTTAATAGATTTCCTTGAAGCTAAGATCAGTGGCATAATTTGTTATGTGCCACACCAAAACTACAAGACTTAAGCTATGTCCAAATGGACACAACAGCTCCCAACATTGTTGGTCCATCAATGTTTGGAGTTGTTGTGTCTGTTTGCACATGACTTAGAAAAGTTTGACCGGTTTCAGAGATTGTGCAAAAACTCCCAACAACATGTAGCAACATGCAACAGGGTGACTGCAAATGGACACAACATGTAATGTCCAACAATGTTGGGAGCTATTAATCAACAATGTTGCACCCATTTGCCCTGCGTGGGCTTTAGCCTAAGAAACTAACCAACAATTTGCGACATCACCAGTGGTTTCCTCTCAAAGTGACTGTGCTCTAAGAAAAATTGAAGGGAGCCCTGAGTGCTCTGAACCAGTGACGTCTACAGTGCCCAGCATATGATTTCTATGAAAAGGCAAATATTTTCTAGTCTCCTGGGGGCAAAAGTTAAACACCAGTGGCCACTGGACACTGCTAGAACACAGCCTTAAACAAAAAAATTGCAAGCAACTAATGCTACTGTTAACAAAGTAAACATTTTTTCTTTTTGTAGGGTCTTGAAAAGCACAAGCCTGTAGCTCTTTTCGTTGTTCACAGTGAATCTTCTTCTGGAATTTGTCAACCACTGGATGGCTTTGGACCTCTTTGTCATGAGTTAGTTAATAATAAAAACTATTTTATTACAAATTAAAAACTGTGTGAAAATAATAATAACCACAAAACCAAGAAACATTCTGAACTCTAAAGGTTTCTTCAGGCTTAAAATCAATGTAGGAAAAAAAAAATAACACTTTGTCTTTAAAATATATTAAGGGCTAAAATGGAAGGTAATGTTTTGGTTTGTAAAGAGGGAGAGTTTTCTCTAAGATTCCAGCCCTTTGGCGGCAATGGCAGACCCAAATCCAAGAGAATGTAGAGAACAGGCTTCCACTTTTATGTTAAATAAGACAACAGTGATTTCCTAAAAATGTTTATAGGGGATTTAGCACTGAAAAATATACAAATGGTTAATGAAAAGAGATCTGAAAATCTTACTTTAGACAATTATAAATTACATTTACATACCGGTAAGTACTGTTTTATGTTCAGTGTTTAACTGATCTGTTTTTTGTTCTGTTTTTAGGCATGACTGCTTGTTAATTGTAGACACTGTTGCATCTCTTGGTGGGACGCCTTTCTTTACTGATGATTGGGAACTTGATGTTGTGTATTCAGGTTCTCAGAAGTGTCTAGGTGCACCGCCGGGTGTCGCCCCCATAACCTTCAGTCCTAGAGCTATGTGAGTGTTTTCTTTATTACTTTACTTCAATAATACGTTTCTCAGATTTTGTTTTATAATTATGTGCATTTATGAGGCCAGATGCCCCATTAGGCAGAAATAATGGTCAGCGAGGTTTTTTTAAAAGTCTGTACCAATATATTCTGCAAAATGGACCTGTATGGAGTCAATGCCCGCAGGCGACTCAGGATCACTTGAGTTATTCACCAGTTCAAGTTTCACTGTGAATACGTAGATAACAATGCAAATCCCAGTTTTATGGGGGTCCAATTCAAATTACAGAAGCACTGTAATCAATCCTGCTCATCAAAATGTTTTTTGGACTGGCCAAAAAGACTATGCTAGCCACAGCTTGCCCAAATGTCAAGCTGTAAAACTGACACCTTCTTTGCACTTTGGGATATATCGCTATCCCCTGGATAAATCTCTATCCAGTGTATATGTAGTGCAATTAGTTCCCCAACAAGACTTCTCCAGTGGATAGTGATCTATCCGATGGATAGTGCCATCCCAAGTTTCAACAACCAGAGCCTGAAGCTCAAGGTAGATTGCTCAACCTCCACATCTCTGCCTCTGCTGACTTAATATCTTGGCTTAATGTCATTTGTTTGCTTTTGTTATCAGGGCTAAGGTGAATGGTCGTAAAACCAAAGTGCCGTCATTTTACTTGGATATGACTGAACTGGGCAACTACTGGGGATGTGATGATGGACCAAGAAGGTAAACTTCTGAATTCACAAGGATTTCTCAGTATATCCTTGCATTATAATTTTTTTTGTCAGCCTTCTCAGTTCACTTTATACATTATTGATAAATTCACCAAAAAACAAACATTGCCCGCAATTAGCAACAGCTGCATGTAGTTGAGGCGAGCATTAGTGGAACTGACACACGTACAGTACATGTAATAACTAACATAAAAAAGCTCACTAGAGAAAACAGTAGGCAAAAAAGAGAAATTAAAATTGACTAATACTTTATTGAAAAAAGGGCAAGCAGGTGATTATTTTTAAAATAAAAAAATGTTAAATAAAAAAGGAGTTTTCAAGAGATGGTCATTCAGTAAGTCTATGTTAACAAAGTTGCCTTTGCCTAAGTTGAGAAAAAGTGGTACTTTGTATCAAGAATGAGAGGTGTTAGTGCCGAAGGCAATTTCAGTTGTTGAGTGGTATAGGATAATTGCACGATGATGTCATTTTTCTACCACTACCAGAATCCTTTAGTTTGTTGTTTTCTAGTGCAACTTAAGGACATTGTTTTTTAAAACCTCAGCAGGATTGACAAATTTAAATAAGAAAGCAAAACAAAGTGAATTCTGGTGGTTGCAGTCAAATGTTGTCATTGTGAAAATGGCCTATTATCCTGTAAGCAATGCAAGCTCCCTGTGGAGTGGGTGAAGGGAAACTACCCTCTCTCCCCTACCCTCACCCGCTGATCCACTTGATCACAGGTGGGAGTTTCAGGTGTAACTATAATTTAAAAAAAACCTATAGAACCTGATTAATCAAATCGACCCTTCTGCAAATTAAAAAAAAATTAATTATAGTTACATTTTTGTCTTAGATACCACCACACAGCTGCAATTAACCTGGTTTATGCCTTGAGAGAAAGCCTTGCTATTCTGGCAGAGGAGGTAAAGTAAAATGCCTGGGCTCTCTTCTTTTATATGTCGTTTACATATAATTATATATCTTCCAAAAAGCCTTCCATATAGTTGTAATTGCAGACTGAGTTGACAATATCCATAGTACAAATCATACCCTCAAGTCTCAGCTCCTATCACCCCAATTGGACGGCTTGTTCGTACGCTTTTCGTGGTTTTACTCTGACATCGAGCTAATGACCAAAATGTCAACTTTCTTATCTCTTAGTATGTGGTGACTGATTTGCTCTATCAACTCCGTTGATCAGACAACCTTTTTTGTTTCACTCAATGCAAAGCCACTGTTTCTTTACAAAGTAGCCCATTTGTCCTGTTGAAATTAGACTTTGTGCGTGCTTTGATGGTTAGTTACGCAACTATTGTGATCATTTAAAGTTTTTTCTGAACTTCAAGGCATGCACTGGGATGAATCACGATGTACGTTGCTGGAGGCTGGTCACCCCAATTATCTTGACCAAAAAAAAAAACCAATAATCTCCGTTGTGAGTTTAATTTTAATAATTTGACAATCACCAGGGACTAGAAAATTCGTGGAGGCGGCATCATGACACCATTGAACATTTCTGGGCGGGGCTTGAGAAGATGGGGATGGAGATGTTTGTAGCGGACAAGGTGAGTTTTACCTTCTTTTTTTTGTTTTTATTGTAAAACCAATTTGTTAGTCTGTGTAAGTTGTTGTTTTGTCGTACGTAAGTAATGAAACCACTATTACAATCGTCTGCTATATTATTGTGAAATTTAAAAAAGAGCATTAATCAAAAATTACGCAGCGCGTTCGACCTGTGTCGATCTCTAAGCTCTCCGCTCGCGGAACAGCGAACAGGATTGATTGAGTAAACAACAAACAAACAACAGAATCAGTAATGGAACCTCTTCCTTAAACGATAGAGGTTCTTTGAACTGGTTAAAAAACTCGCCAACGCACAGGCTATGGATTTCCGCTTTTTTTCTCCTTGAAATTGCGCGTATGGCACATTATTATCAAACTTTTTCAAGTACGAACACCTCCGTTAAAAATAAGCAGATCTTGTTCTCAACTCAACATTGATTTTAATGGCTGAATTGCGCCTTTATACATTAACTCTCACATTGCTGTAATGAATCGAAGCATTAATCATTACGTTTCCATTCACTGCTAAAAACGCAGATAATGGGGTAACTGTCAAAAATAGTTCTGCTACTTCAAATTATTTCGAAGTTTCTGATCGGCTTAAAACCGCGACTAACGACGGGAATCTTGATTGTAAATAATAACCCCCTCCTCGATCTGCTTAACCGTTCCTAGTGACTATCATATTCAGCCTGGTTCAATATTACTGTTGTTTATAAACTCGTACAAATGTCCATTTCCTTTACTCTTTTTAAGGCTCTTCGTCTTCCAACAGTAACAAGCATTAAGATCCCTGAAGGATTTCCAGACTGGAAAGCTGTCCCAGATTATCTGATGAAGAAGTGAGCGGAACACTTTTCTTTATTATCATTAAGATATCCCTACTCCACCCCTTCCCCCCTCCCGTTTTTCAGATGCAAACAGTAGACTCGTGTGTTACGAACAGAAGATTCTGTCACTACCACGAGGCCACGAACTGGGTCACTGTGGTCGAATTCCGTAAAGTAGCAGAGCATCCATGCATTTCAAAATTTCCACCATAGCAACTTTTATATTTTTTGACAGAAAACACTTGAATTTACAAGAGTAGCCAGAAGCTATGTTCTGTGTCAGTGGCATGCACAGTTTGAAGGGTCGTTGCTTTTTTTTTGTGCATTTGTAAGAAAAGCTCCTTTCGAATACCCTTCTATGTGACGGTACGAAGTTGCATTTCTTTGTCATCTACTATTTGGCCATTTCTTGAAGGTTTTATATGGACGCCTTCTTTCTGCTGTTTTATGCATTGAGCTGATTATGATTTCGTCAGCTTAAAATTTCAGGATAACCTTTGCATGGAAACTGCAAGAAAACAAAACTTCGTCTGAAAAAAATTAGGGAAGACTGAAAATGGATGACACTCCGGTGAACGTCGACCTAAGGCTACGTCCATGCGACTCCGATTCCTTTCTGTTCATACACGAATTCACTGCAAACGTACGAGTTTAGCACTTCCGTCCCTCGTGAACTCTATGTGTGATCTCTATGCAGTCTGTGTTCTAAACGGATACTACTGAAAAATCCCTATGTTGTGAATAACCGTAATTTTATATATTTCAATATTTGCCAGGTACAAGCTTGAAATTGTAGGTGGTATGGGTCCAACAGTAGGAATGGTAAGTCGCCTTGCTATTATCTGATCATGATTTACAAGTAAGCAAAGTCAACGGAACAGTGAATCAATTCAGCATTGACTGAGCACGCGACTCATCCGATTTTTACCTAACTTCTACAATGGAACCCGGACTTCTGCCGTGTAAGGAGGCTACGTTACATAACATTTACGTTGCGTTACGTTACGCCAATTCAGGAGGTACTCCAGCACGCAGGTATCTTTGTAAACGTATATTATTCACATTACGGCCAGTGATCGTTAGGAGTTTATAGGGAATCCTAGCGTCGTGAAGGTCTCGCTCCTATTTCGCGCCTTGCTCACATTAATCGCCATACTCGCCCGGCTCCCCTAGCTCGATTTCTGGGCATGTGTAGGGGTTATTAAGCATCAAATAACCGGCTCGCAGGGAAACATATCAGGTTGGTTCTCCTACAGAGTTGGTGGGTCTTTTACCGTATCACAAACTTGTGTTTTCTTTATTCATTTTTCAGGTGTGGCGTGTAGGGTTCATGGGACACAATTCCTACCCAGAGAACGTGGATTTATTCTTACGACTGTTTAAAGAAGCGATAGAATCTGTGCACGCTGGACGTCCCAAGTCTCAACTTTAAGCATTGATAACAAAATTGTATCATGACTGTACAAAAAAATTATAGCAAGTAAAATGGTTCAGAGAGTGTAGCGTACATTTTCATAGATGGCTCTCGATGGTGTCTTGTACTATTCGTTTTCACTCTGTATAATAGGTATACAAAAACGATAAATTTTAACAGGTTCAATTTTTGTGCGTGAATTCTTATTCCAAAATATGAAGGTGAAAGATTCACCAAATTACTTTGACAGGGCATTTAAACTCTGGGCACAGAATTTTACAGATAAAAACTGTAAGGTAATATATGTACAACAGAGTAAAGTATTGGTTTAGATAGATGTAGTTAATGCTAACTTTTATCAAGGACTGTGTAACACTCCTTAAGAAAACGATTGTATGGTATGTTTATTAAAATAGTCAGTGAGCAGGTTTCCTGTTATTTTCTTTTGTAGCCTCCAGTTCTATTTTACCGTTGAAGTTAATTTAGAAGTATTTGGTCTGGCACATTGCGATAAGCAATGCCAGCAATCCGCTATGCTATTTTCTCGTCTCGTCTCACTGAACAAGGGCGCATTTTTTTTTCCCGCGCTTATCGCGGCTGCACGCAGTGCTTCGAGTTCTGGTTGGCTGATTTGATTGTTTGCCTTGAGCGATGACCTTGTCGTGTCACTGTCTAGAGTAAGACCCTGTTTACATGGAGTGGGGGACCCCGGTCTAGTGGGGTAAGTTTCTTTTGTTTTGTGTCCCCCAGAGCGTGAAAACAAAAGAAACTAACCCCACTAGACCGGGGTCCCCCACTCCATGTAAACAGGCCCTAAGAGTGTTAAGGAAACCAGTGGCGTTATTTTAATTAGAAGCATATAACTTCGGCGTTATCCATTGGATAAGATGTATCCTGTGTACCTTTTTAAAAAACTCGGTCTTGGTTCTGCCTCGTACCCAGACGTCTCTCTTTTGATAAAAATTTGCGCGCAAAGGAAGGCGGGAAGCCTGCCGTCTGTACCCTTCCCATGGTCCCTTGCGGTTCATCACCAGTCACTCGTTTCGCGCTCGCCTCTGCCATGCGAAAAACGAAGCGCCTGAGGAGGAGGCTGGTCTTGATTATTAAAGGGACTGGTTCACGATAATGCGCATGTGTGAGTTCTGACAGTAGCTGATTGTTTTTCAACCAATCGGAAGCGAGTTAGATGCATGCAAGTAAATTTACAAAATTCAAATTAATTGTTCGCGACGCGAGAGTATTTCCGGGCATTTGGTTTGATTTTATTTATCCCCATAATTCAAGTTTATTCTTTGCTACTTCTCAGATATATGTTGCAGCCGATAAGAATAAGATTTACAGCCCTGTCCTGCTTTGAAACAAACATTTACCAACGTGTATTTTTACGAGGTCGTACCCACGCTAACAAAGCAGTCACCGATCGGCAAATAAAATTTGTAAACAAACATCTTATTACTGTTCTCTCAGTTCGCCTTATATAAATCCAGAAATACCTACAAATAGCTCCTGGCTGGTGACAAAAACGTACAACGTATGAGTATAAAGATTATCCTTAATTGAGCATAAATTTCAAATGCTTATCAGCAAATGAACAAATTCATTCGCGTTGCATCAGGTCAGTGTTCCGCAAAACAAATGTTATCGAGTAGCACAAATAAAGAAACTAGATTATAAACAGAATACTCAGGCAATAATTTATTTAAAAACATCAATTCTTAAACATATACGATCGTAAAGCAAAGATACAAGGAAAATTTCAAGTGTACCAGATCGGTGAAGATCGCGCGGCCCGTTGCGGTATAACTACAGGTCGGAGTCAAAAATCAAATCAAAGTTGAACGAACTCATGCCTTTAACCACTTTCCAAGTGTCGTGTATACTTTTCGTAAGCCACACACTACTCCTAGAACCATACCAAATCGATAGGCTAAGCTTCTCTATCTTCAAAGACTATTGAGAACGTCCTGTTGCCAGACGGCCACGATGCTCTTCTGAACCTCCATGATCAAAACATTATTTTTTGCGTCTTCTTAAAACGTAACCAGTCAAACGACACAACCACACGTTAATCACCACTACCGAAGTATAACTAGACCAGCCAAAGCGGCGGATGTCCGAATAAAACGAAGGATTTTCAATGATTGTACCGGTAATGGCGATTTCGAATTTAGTGTTGACCCAACAAATTTATTCTGAAGAGACAAACGGCGCGCATGCGCATTATCGTGAACCAGTCCCTTTAATGCGACTGTCGTCAGAAAACTGCTCTTATAGGTGGCCCGAACCTATTTATATGCGTGTTGGTGATGTTTTTGATTTGCGTTTTTCAGAATGAAAGATCCAACCGATTTCTATGATTTTTGGCATACCAAATAAATAATGATGGAACTGTAAGAAAATGTTATTTGTTTTCTTGTAGACATAAAAACCTTTGAGATATCGGCATATATTTAAAACCGCATTTTTATGAAAAATGTAAATAACTTCGAAATCCCACGACAGATTTTTCCCTAACTTCAGCAAATAAGCCTCAGAGCTCTCTAGTTTTACATCTGCAAGTTTGAAGGCAATCGTGACCGTAGAACTCGCTTCACAAAATGCTGTTCAAATTTAACCTTAAAATGCTACGCTAACACATTGGTCAAAGTTGACGCACTAATAGAGGTAGAGTGCCGACAGACTATCTCCCATCTGAAAGGATATTCCTACCTAAAGCTTTATTGCAAGAAACAGAGTAATCAGAAACCTAGGGCGAACATAGCACTACAAGGAGGAAAACTTTATGCTGAGTGCGCGGTAATATTAAAGAACTTCTATTCATCAAACTTACGTTGTATTTGTCCCTCTCTTTCGGAAACAAATCTTAAAAAAGCAAAATATAGCGTCTACGAAAAACTGTCGAGTTTTGAGCGTCGCGGGTTCCCGTTTTGAAGAGAAATAAGGCCACCAACTCCAGTACTTCTAACCATTCATTTTTCAGCTGCAATGAAAACCTTGTATTTGGTAATTTATTCAAGCCTTTAGACTTGCCATCACATTCGCACGGGAAGTTTACGACTTGGGAATAAAGATGAAGACAACTATGACAATCTCATTATCCCCAACAGCAAACTGCCCGTGCGAATGTGATGGTAAGTCTTAAAAGCGTGAATAAATTACCAAATATAAGGGCTTTCATTGCAGCTGGAAAACGGATGGTTAGAAGTACTGAAGTTGGTGGCCTTATTTCTCTTCAAAACGGGAACTTGCGACGCTAAAAACTCTTAAGAATTTTTCGTAGAAGCTATATTTTGCTTTGTTAAGATTTGTTTCCAAAAGAGGGGGACAAATACAAGGTAAGTTTGATGAATAGAAACGTAACCAACACGCATATAAATAGGTTCGGGCCACCTTAAAACTTTAATATTTATTAGCCAGCTACGACTGAAAAGATCTCGATTGTCAGTTCCTTTTTGTTACTAGCAAAATTTTCTCCGTTTCTCTTTTTATCGCCTCATTCTTATTGTTTAATTTTCTCCATCACATTTCTGACGACATTTTTCAGCGGTAACTATTGCTATTTTTTATTTTACCATTCTTATTTTCTCGTGCAAATACTCTTGATGCGGTGGGTAGCGAAACTGCAGATAAAGAATAAAGTTTGACTTCAGCTACTCTCTCTTGGTTTTGCTCTTTGGTTTTAGCTTCTGGTCTGTTTTGTTTAACGAACATAATTTTATTTCTTTTTTGACGCAATTTTAGAAACGAGAAGCGAACCAAAACACAGGCGGCCCAGACGTAGTATATGTCACTGAATGAATATATTGACATGGACAAATTAATGGGATGAGTCGTCGAAACTCCCATAGACTAAAATAGTCTAAAAGTCAAAATATAACAAAACAAAGCTAAGATACCTTCAACTGAACGTATCCTTGTCTTTCCTGGCCGGTTTAAGTGGCATTTTGTTGAGTTTTGAAATTGTAGGTACTATCCACTAAAGAAGAATTAAAGGCTTGCTACAAAACAAACAGACCATCTCCACGCGCCTTCACACGAAGCGCTATAAATTCGAGAATAATCGACGAATCCGCTCCAAATAACCATCGGCTAATCTGCAGGTAACGTGTGCTCCTGCTTCTGGCTCGCTTGCTCCACAAAACCCATTGCAACTGCACAATAATTGCTCGCTCATTAACAACCACTGTTGACCTTTACGCTTCGATATGACCGCAAACGACCAGGTTTAATACGCGACGTGAATATTCAAGCTTAGCGACCGCGTTCGCGCAACAATGCAGCACTTGCTATGGGAGGGATGGTACGATTGCTTCTAGGTCAATCGACTGACCGAAGGTTTGTTGCGTTAGTTTTGACCAGAAAACAAAAGGCGATCGCGGGACCGTCCGTAAGTTTTCAACAGGGCAGCCCTGGTTTTCAAGTTCGAATTCTTCTAACGTTCGCTGTCTCTGCATAGGTTCTTGACTCTACCAGACTTATTTGCTTAGATTAACAACGTCTTACTCCATAATATGTTGTCCAAACTGGTGAAGGAGGACGAGAATTTTCCGCCCAGGAAAAAGGCAAAATCTGACCCCCGCTATGCAGCTGAATAGAAGATACAGCTGAAGATATCGTAAAGTAAAATTTATGTGCGCGATATCTTTTTATTATTATTATTATTATTATTATTATTCTCAAAACTCAGGGGCACCCACCGGTGATTTCCCCCTAAATGCATTGAAAACACATTTAAGGCTTTCCAGAGTACTTTTGATCGAAAAATGCATTCTAAACAGCGCTTACATAAATTTAGTCAGTTGGGCTAATTAAAAATGAAGCTAATGATTTATAGTTTGCTCATACTAAATATAAAATATATCGTGGAATGCTAAGCGGAGAAGGCAACGAGACAGGGCCACCCAACGACTGTTTCCTCAAATACTTTCAATTGAAAACACTTCTGTAGCTATTCATAAAGTACTTTTAGCTCTATATAAATGCATTCTAAGTGGCGCTATAAAATTTGCATCTCAGTGTTCGGCCATTCTAGAGGAACTTGAGTCTTTTCGAAATTACGAGGAATTCAGAATTATTTTCCCGAACATTTTAGATGCAATTTAACGTATTACGAAGGAGATAATTTTTCAGATACCTTCTTTCATCACATTTTTGAATCCGAAAATTTTAGGATTCCATTTTACTCTCTACGAAAAAAAGCCTAACCCGGTGAGTGAAATGTGAAAAATTAAAAGTTGGATGCCCTTGACCAGAACTGTGAAAAACAACAATAAGTCTAATTGCAGCACACTTTCTTGTACATTTCCTTGCCGTTGATTTGCATGACTGCAACGTGAAACGTCCAGAAAACTTCCTGGTTTTCACTTTCTATGGGGAAAATGTGGTACATGTTCTTGTTCACTTTTTCCGCTGCCGCTCATTTTTT